GTGGTTGCATCATCTAATATGCGCCGTCTAATATGAGGTCCTCCAGGTTCCTGGAAAGACAGAGTTTTCTTGCTGCCCCCGCCAGAGCCTGCGCGGGAATTGTTCCAAGCGAATGCCTCATCCCGCCCAAGACCGGTTCCTCAACCGGGAATGGCTTGATTGCTTTCCAGCCGCTTGGCGTAATTGTTAAAGGGTCCTTTCCGGTTTGGAGAGGACTCGATCTGCAACGTTACCTGTTACTCGAGCGAAAAGACCCTATTTGCACGCAATCCCAATCCAGCACGACCAGCTTGCCCCCGCCGTTCCCCGTTTACTGGGACTGACCAGACAGAGAACAAGGCCGTCTCCATCCCAATATACAGCAATTACCCTCCCTGCAGGCCATTGCCTCCCCAAGTGCCGCTCCATGGCTCCAACCGGTAACTTTCTGTGCTGTGGGGTTTTCTGGCGCCACCAGGACAAGCAGGCTGATGTCGTGATGTGTCACGATGCATAACTTGCTTGGATTTGGAGAGTGGCGTCGATTTCTGTGGGTATAAACGCCTTCTTTGGATCGCGCGCGGTGGATGGGACGACTGTCTAGAGGCTGCCGGCGTTTACTTGGGCGCCCCTGAGGGCGTGTCTGCAGGGCTTACATTTGCCGGTTCCTGACCTCGACACCGACATATCGCCATCCGGCCGGGAAAAATGAGCCTGGAACACAGATTTGCTTATCAGCTCCGTCGTGTCAGTTCTGTCTCACTAGAACTTGCTAACCGCAAAACAGGGCCTGACCTGGGCATCATTTACCCTACTTGTTGCGCGGTACTTGCCTTCCCGGAACACCATACCTGGCTTTTTGCTCTAAACTCACTCTTGGTGTTGACGTGGAATTCGCAATGCCCTCTGCTGAGCCGCTCTGTCGCTTTTCACTACTGACCCGGGAACTCAGGAGGCCGCCGCTACCGAACGGCGCAGCTTGTGGCCCGCGTCCTGAGAATCGAGCCTAGTGTGTTTGCTGCCAACTGCTTCCACCCAGCTGGGTAGCTTCACTTGCTCGTACACTTCCGATAAGTGTCGATGTACCTTTGAAATGGGGTATAGTTCTCGCCACCATAAATGCCGACTGAGAAGCTCCTCGGGGATTGATTTCTCGTGGTTGATGGTTCCTCGGTCAGCTCGGAGACCACGGCCTGCTTAAGCTCGGAGGCAAAGCAATCATTAGCGGCTTTCCCGTCTTTCTGTCGGCTATAGCTCGCCCCCTCCTTGTTGCTGCTTTTTTCTTTCTCCGGCACAGTGCATTAGAAAGTATAATGGGTGGTATGTGTGACATTAGAGGTTTCTAGATCAATTGATTAGCCTGCGTCTCGAGTACATACACATGTGCATATAAACACGGAAGCCACCTACCTAACTATTATACCTCGGCTAGCTTAAGTGGCAAGTTTCCTTTCACTCCTCGTATCATTTCTGGTTCGGGTGGTGGCTTGTTTTGGTTTTGTTGTCGTCGGACAAGCAGTCCCACAGCACTCCCCAAACTTGGCTGCCTACCTAGTCAGCTAGCTACGAGGAACAACCTAGGTGACTCAGCACCTCTGCAGTCGCCATTCTCGTTGGCCACTTATGGGCAGGGAATATCAAGACCGGTATGAAGACGGGCATGATGCCGATAGATGGGGGGGCTTAGCCCCAACTTGGCAGGGAAAGCTGTGTAACAAAAACGGGCATTGTCGTTGACATAGTGTCTTGATACATGTACCAAGTGCTATTGCGTGGTGTACATGTGTGTGACCTGGTGGCAGGCCGGCTGGTGGTGGCTGTAGCTAGCTACCGACCCTTCTTCTTACACGCTCACTCCCTCCCTCCCGGAACTGGGGAGCGGCATGGTCGTATTACCTCCGAAGCACATGTCGCTTGTCAGTTTGCGGGGGAAGATAAAGAATGCCTATCCGAACCCGGTGGGCTGGATTTTTCTTGTCTTCGATATCTAAGTTTAGGGGTGTCCGGGGCAGGGCGTTCAGGCATACGCCTTTCTGCCTAGCTCTTGTACTTCCATGCCTCTCTTGAGCTGCCTTGGATGTGTTGCAGTGTTTCGCCTGCAAGGCTGATACCGCGTGCGGGCGTTGTTGTTGTTGTTGTTGGTTTAATAGGGGAAAAGGTACTTCCAGGCTGGCTGACTTGCGTGCTGATTGACTGCACCTAGGTACCTTACCAATTGTCCAGCAAAAAAAAGGATGAGTACCTATGTAATGCATGCAGCCAGCCCATGAGACGAAATCAACGGACGCTAAAAAAGAGAACAGAATGTTGTATTTGTTGGTGTAGGTATGCATCAGCCGTGAATCGAATACGGGGCCCATCGATAGCAACGATGGATTTTACCACTAAGCCACTGGTGCTTGCTTGCTTGCTTGCCTACTGCAGAAACCGAGCTGCGGTGGATGTTGAGAGAATGGGGCCGTAATGGGGTATACTTGACAGTTGGCTCCACAGTTCGGTCTTTTTTATTTTTTTTATTTGACGAGGTCTGCTCGGACTATCCTTGGTTGGCTACAGGCTTGTAATCTTTTCTCGCTTCTCCCTTTGCGACAGTACAGGCGTGTAACGAGAAGGTTTACGTTTGTTTTAGGTCATATAGATACCTAGCAAGCTCATTTATCACCTAGGTAGGTACTCTGTCGGTTGATTTCTTTGGCGGAAAGGGGAATTATTGGATAATGTACAATTTAGGAAAGGGATGGATTGGGAAATATTTCAAGAAAAAAAAAGTGAAAGTCTTCGTCCTTCGTAGCCTATGCTTTAGTGCTATGGCGGCGGGCGAAGTTCCGGAGACGCAACAGCCATGGATCTTTATAGGCGTTTTTGTCCCTTTATGCGACGCATTACTGCGTGTTCTTGACTTGGAGTTAGCGTTGTGTCTACCTGCTCAACTCGAGGTTGACATGGAATACCTACGGCTGAAGTGGACGAGGCATTCAGCTCACAGGGATCCAACCAAGTCAGTCAAGCAAGTTTGTTGAAAGATTGTGTCTGCCTCTGGTGTGAAATTTACATGCACATCGTCCAATCACTCTCAGAATGTCAGGGTTTATCTCCACCGCACTCCACTCTCCTGTTCACAGTAATACCAGAGAGAACGATCTAGATTCTATGGCTCATGTTATAGTCAGTTGTGTTTGCCAAGTATAGAATATCTGTAACTTCTAGGATAGATAACTGAGCACATATATTTATTTGGTCCTCTACTCTAGGAGCGACTTCTACAAGTCAGATATACCACGAAAGCGAGATGTTTGATACCCTTCACCTCGCACACACACAGATAGCGGAGCACATTATGAGCCTCAACTGAATCTTTCTGTCGTGTATGTATTATTTCGTCTGCTCAAGGAGGCTCTTCTACTCAAGGAGGGACTTCTACAGTTAGATTTATCACAAAAGTGAAATGGCTTATACCCATCAATCACCACGCACACACTAAAATTGGACATAGGAATTTACCGCGGTACAGCAAAAAAGTCAAACAATCGAACGGCACCGACAGAGTCGCTCTGTCGTGTATGGTGACGCGTAGAAGGCAAGGCATATCATGACATAGCTCAGCTACTGTTCAGGAGTGCTTCTATGAGAGTAGAATACCTAAACAACCGTAGCTCTGGCTTAGTTGTAACTTCGGTGCCAGAGCTTATAACAGTGAGAGATACCTATTCGCGAAGAAGCCTTGGTGCGAGAGTATTCTCTGACTTGGGACCAGTGCCGCCTGCGGACAAAGCTGAGTCCCTACCGATTCAGCTTGTTAAAATCTAGCCTGTCTTCATAAGACCCGGGGTGACACCAGGCCAAGGAACATGGGAGTGACATATATTCATCTAGCCTGGGCACTACCGACGAGGCATCTACCTACCTACTTAGTTGCTCCTTTTGAGGGGCAACACAAAGCCCATCAACACACACACGGCAGCTCGATAATCAGAGCGTAAAGGATTTGCTTTGACGTGATAATGTTTGAATAACCAGCTATGAAAGTAGACGGACGGAAATAAAAGGGGCCGACATAAACAACGCCGGCCTAACCGACACACACATCATCACTACACATCTTCGGACCGTGGACTAACTTAACCTAACCACAACCCAAAAACACAGAACACAGAACACAGAACTCGGGACGCTGGAACCAGCACCTCCAGACCTTGCATGACCGAATCATGAGATCCAAGTAGCTTATCGACAGAAAACCTAAATAGCATAAAACAAAACGTGAGACAAGTAGTGGATGCATGGTGACCGACTCCTTTCTAGAGGTCAAGGCTCATAAATAATGGCAGCCGACACAGATAGTGTTCATCCATACACGTGTATACCTACACTCGACGACGGACAGCCTAGAGAGGAGACTGCAGCAGTAAAGCATATAATGAGGGAAAGAATGAAGGCATGGTAAATGAAACAGACACCTTGTGTTGGCTAGTCTGCCCCTACAACTATTCAACTCAACCACAGACGAAAGAAAGCACAGCAAGCTCTCACTCACCAACACAGTTGGGCGTTCATATTCGTTATTATTCAATTCATTGAATAGCGACGCTAGCCGCAGCATAAATGTCTCTATCTTTGAAGAAAAAAAAGGGAAAAAGGGTTGATAGTAAAATGTATGTACACGAAAGTTGAAAGGCAAGTAGTAGAATATCATCAAAATGTCAAACGGCCGGCTGGAGTTGCTACATTTTGCAACACTCTAGAGACAAAAAGCCAAACTTTTAATAACCGGACCCTCCCCTCCGATATCGAGGGGATCAAATGTGCCCTCAAAAACGCCAGCCCTAAATCCAAGTAAAACATTCTTCGGAGAGACCGTCCACTCGTTCGCTTCTCCCGCGAACAAGGGCTCGGCATATGGATCGCACGCGGCTTCTTGCTTTGAAGTCCGGTTTGATGTCTCCTCCGTTGGCCATAAACAGCGTCTTTCCCAGACCGGAAATCCAAAAAATCCGTAAACATGTTCAAGTGAAATTTGAAAACCCATATTAAAGGTAGGTAAGTAAAATCAAGGGCAAATTGTATGAACAATTGTGGCCAAGAAAAGACCGAAGCCCGCCGCTGGCAATATTAGCCAGGGCGGGGGGAACCTAAAATAAAATAGGTGTTGCCTGTTTCGAGGCGAGAAGGGGTATCGATTGTTGAGTGAAACCATGAAAATATCCCAATGTGCGTAGGACTCCTCGCCCCGGCGGGGCTTCGAAGGTCCTGAACGCTGTCGAAAATTAATTCAATAAAAAAAACAAAGTGGCGACGGATAGATTTTGCCGACATGTACAAACAGGAAACGGATATTTAGTTTGGCTGTGCTTAGAGAAGCCACTGTAGCATGGCCAGAAGGGGTACTGTCATGTACAACCAAGCGGATGAGGCAGCTGGCCGGGCTGGGGCGAAGGAAGTGCTGGCAGCGACAAGCTGGTCGGCGAGTGTCTCATTGACGAAACCCGGCCCACATATTGTATTGACTTGCTTAGCAGCCGCGACGTAATTGTTAACCACAGGCTGCTGTCGGTTGGCCGTGGCAACGTGGTAGACTTCCATGGTCTGCTGGGTACAGACACCGCAGGTTGGGAGGGTGGAGCCCGGGAGAGACATGTTGAGAGGTAGAAAGTAGAAATACGTATTTGTAAAGTTGGTGGTATTTCGGACAGCAGTCGCAAAACAGTAAGCAGACGTCTGCGGATCCTTGAGACAGCCAGCGCTGTACAGCGGTGCGTAGGCTATCATGGCTAGGTGGGCCTGTATGACCACCGAGTTTCCTAGATTGTAGTCGTTGCCACAGTGCTGGGTGGATGTGAGGTTCTGGGCAAGACTCGAAAGGTACGTGTTGCAAAACGTGGCATTGGGCCGGCATGTCGCATCTAGAGTCTGTGTGATACCTACGAGCGACTTTTCCGCGTCGAAGAACGACTTGGACCCCTGAAAAAGAAACCCGATTAGCTGAGAGACAATAGGGACTGGCTGTAGGACTGACTCACTTGGAGTAACAGTGACAGCGGGTAGCACTGCTTGAATGTCGGATCCGTTAGAAACGAGTTGATGAACATTGCGCACGTGCTTGGGGTGTTGTCGGCGTTGGGCGTGAAGTTTGCTGACAAGGCGCCGTCGAGCGGACTGGGAAGCGCGCTCAACGGGGCAGTGTTTGTGACGTCTGGTGTCACGGTCGACACGGCAATCTCAAACGTGGTGGTGAATACCTGAGGCGTGGTGCTGGTAGTGGCGCGCTTTCCGAGGCGGTGCAGCTCGACCTCCTCAGGGCTCAGCATATTCCAGCTTTGGCCAATGCGGTACGGCACCCTCGTGTCGATAACCAAAGTCTCGAGAGGTTCAGCAGCGTCAGCCGTGAGGGCCAGGGCGTGGCAGACGAGGCAGGCTAGGATAGCGAGCACAGCGGCCCATGACGTCCGAGGTTGGCGGGAAACCGACTGAGAGGGAGAGAGCACGGCGGAGACCCTACGACCTGGGGAGAGCGGGAGCGGGATAGCAGAAGCCATCATATCGCGGTGGGGAGTGTCTGGCGTCGAGGTTGGTGCAACATCACTGTGCAACAATCCGAGGAAACGAGTGACTGGGTACCCGACCGGCTAGGTCAGAGAGGTCTGGGAGGGAGCGGATTGACGTCGTCGGACGGCGGCGGGCTCGAGTGTCTCGTCTCAGTGGGAGGTGTCGCAGGAAGCCGAAGGCGACGTCACGGCCCCTTGGTCCCTCTATATCTCGCGAAGCGGCTGAGCCCGGCGGCTTTGGCGGCGGGTGCCCCGAGTACTGAACACACGCTATGGCTCTCCACGCTTGCCTACCTAGGTAAGGTAATATGCAGGACTGCTAGGTGACGGAGCAGAGCCTGCGTAGTAGCGTCGTCTCGATGTCGTTGTCGACGCGGGCCCGACTCATTCGGCGGGCGGACCAATATGGGCTGACGGGTAAATAAGGGAGCTGCCGTGCGAGGGCGGACGCTGACACCAATGAGACAAGGTTGCCTCGACGAAGACGAATTTGCGCAACAATGCCGCCGCTCGCTGTTTTGGGTGCTGCAAAGAGGCCTGAGGAAGAAAGAGACGCCGTGGGGACTGACTAGTGTGCTTCCCTGCTGCGGCCCTTCTCTTTGTTCGTTGCTCGGCCCAGGCTTTCACTTCGGGATCCTTCGATGGAAGTTGAGACTCACGACGTCGGGTCCCGGTGTAAGTCGATGTGGACGGGAGTTCGAGAAGGCGCGAAGATCAGCGGTCTCCCGAGGGGGAACGAGTGGGAGATGATCGGTTTTGTCATGCAGCGGCTGGGGGGTGCTGCTTGGCTCTTGCTGGCTCAGAGCTAGGATACCAGCGGGGGGCGGCAGGCTGCCCTTGGCTGTCCTGGCCTGGCCTGCCCCCAAAGTGCCCAGGTCCTTCCAGCCCTTTGGAGGAGGTGGAGTTGAGGGTGGGGGCAGTCACCACAGTCACCGCAGTTGCATGGCCTGAGATGCACCATGCTGGTTTTATCGAACGCCCTTTCCTCTTTCATCAGCCCCCGCTGGGTACTTACCACCTTGGCGGTGGAGAGGGTTGCGTCGGGCCACCAACAGAGGGCTGCTTACCCTTCCAGTGCAGCCATTATTGGTTTTTATCTTTTATCGATGAATGACGCGGCCCGACGCTGACAGTGATGACAAGCGGGCGACAGAATGGGAATAGCTACAATGCGCCCGTTCTGTGCATGGATTTTGAGGCTTTGAACCATCGAGAACCAGTTCTCCATGAGAAAACGGCCTCTGGTCAAGTAACAGAATGAACATCTTAGGACCATGGGATTTCACTGCGCCAAGATGGAAATGTTGACTAGTGATGTCCATGTGTAGTATTCGTTTACGCGGATACTGTGGCCTACTTGACTATTACTTACAATGCTCTGCAGTTTGGTTGTTGGTTCCGTTGGGCGGTATTCCGTATAATAATAATAAGTCGTCACACAAGCAGAGTTTGCTTCTGTGGAGGGCGCCGTGACAACGGTTTGGTGCCTCCCAGCGCCCCGCCGTCAGGATTCACGGCCATCTCGGAGTATGTACAGTACGCGGTATGTACGCAATGCCATGTATGTAACCTTTTACCTTTGGGTGGGAGCTTGGGGATCCCAACGGTCTGACGATGGAAGGCTTCCGTGGTCGCACCTTGGCTGCGCAATTAACGACTAATAACGGTCCGGGGGCGTATTATAGCTGACGCCAACTGACGCCAAGCTTGTCGACGCAGGTACAAATGAGCTGGCGCGGCTGGATATAAGGCCAAGGCGTGCCCGTTTCCTAACAAGTCCCTCCAAACTCAAAGATGACCAGTCATTCTCCTTCCTCATTGTCATGTCCGTATATTATTGACAGACATCAATGAATCCGTGGTAGAACAATGGAATGAATGGCTGGCTCGCTGCCTCGAGGACGTGCATGATTTCATAGCGCGAAAGGAAATGCACGCGCTTCACCACTGGGGTATCGCGCCGACGTGTCTGGGCATGGAAGCGCAGGCAACCCAAGAAAATAAAATCTCCGCGTAAGCGAGATTCCCCCCCTGAAAAGCACGTCCCAATCGGCTCATAAAATCGAGATCCGAGGACGGTTTGGGAAATCGAATATTTGACGAGAACAATCTCCGAACTCTGATTGATGTCCTGCAAAAATTGGCTCGAAAAGGTTCAAAACCAAGGCCGGCAATCCATGAAGTCGTTCTGTGCAGACTATGAAATAACCCTTCGATCCTTTGCATCAGCCATATACTATCGGCGTTGCGAAGCAAACAACCGACTCTGTAAGGCGCCCGACGACAAGAGCGCATGGGCCCTTCCAGACTCTGATCACGCACTTCGGTAGGAGCTGGGTAGTATTTACGCTAATGCTCGGGCGTTACGGAATACTACGTGGGCAGTTTTTAGTTTTCCGATATCCATCGGAACAACAAATGTCCATGGCTCTCAGCTCTGGAAGCAGCCGGATCTGCGTTGCCCAGCGTACCCCTTTCGTAGTTCATGGAATAGGTAACAATCAGCCAGGGAACGCCATGAGGGCCGATCGAGTAGTACTATAATCACGTGAAAAGAACAAAGTCTGCGTACATTATTCTCGTTCCCCTTAAAATGATGTCAATTTTTTTTCATTAGATTTGATCTTTCCATCGCAACAAGACCTGTTTTTGCCTAGCGACCGTTGAGAACTTGAGATGATTCAAGTTCAGAGCGGGCCACTTTCAGGACTTCAATATTGGCCCACAGCGGCATGCCGAGATGTTGCTGGGGCCAGGGCTCTAAATTGGACCCAGCTCCGAGAGCCCGCAGTGTAGGACTGCAGGCAAGGGAAGGCAGGTACGATGCCGGCCGGCAATACTCTGTAGTGAGCAAACGGCTCCTACTCATTTAGTAACCACGGGGTGTTACCTAGGTATGGATGCATGGAGTAGGCAGTAACACACCTCAGCAGAAGCTGGCAGAAGCTGGCAGGTAGCGTGACGTGATGCTGGTAAACCTGGCCATCGGGCTGCAGAGTGCAGAGAGCTCACCGGCAGGTTGGCGGCTGAGCAGCTCAGGTCTCAGGTCGGACGTTGCAGCGGGATCCACCTATCGCCGTTGCTGCCCGCGGAGGAACCGGCCCATTCTTTGCCCTCGTTTTCCAGGAGGTCTCCTTACCTAGGTAAAAGACAAATGACAGTCTCGATGTTCTGTTATTGTTTCAATGTGCTGCCAATTAGACGGTTGACAACAGCTCTATCATCTCATGAAAGAACCCGTGGACCAATTGGACGGTATAGGATTAATACAGGATTATTTCTCTCATCGTCACGGCAGGCCAATAGAAATCCAAGGCCCTCAGGCACCTCAATCAACGCCCTTTCTCATCCACGACCTACAGTACCGACTCGCGCGTCGTAAAAAGAAAAACATTGAATGGCAGAGAGTGAGAGAGTGAGGCTTCGCCAGGGGCATATCACGTCACTCCTATCCCAGCATGAGGTCCTCAAACTCTTTTGTTGCTCACCAGTAACTACCCGCCACCGCTGGGCGTGCTCTCGGCGCTGTGCAGTGCTGTGCAGTGCTGTGCTCACTCGACGGCGGCGGCGCCGCACCGGGGCATGGGCTTATCTTATAATAATAAACTCCCCGCTAGGAGCCTACCTTGGCTGGCCCGCCAATCCTGGCTTGACCTTCCCCTTCGGTCAGTGCCTGCTTCTGCTTCCAGGTGGGTGAGTGGGTGGGTATCATTCCAGGCTGTGACCACCCACCCCTTTGGCTGCTGCCGCCGCTGGCCCGCCGACGCCACCGTGCCCCGACTGGCCGGCCCTTCCGGGGTGCTACCGGGGGACCGAACCCAAGCGGCCGTTGAGGAAGAAGGAAGAAAAGAAAGAATGGTGCAACGCCGCCGTGGCGCAATCTGTGCCGTCCGTTCGTCTGTCGTGTCGTGTCGTATCCATCCGATCTTGGCCCCCCCTTTTCTGCTCTCCAGTTCCCCGTCCAGTCTGTGTGTTTGCCAAGATGAGGCCAAGAAGGCGGAGAAGGCACAGACAGATTCATACTTGCGTCCTACCCAAGAACAAGGACGCCTGGTGACGTAGAAAAAAAAGCTATTGCAACTTGGCAGGTAGTCACGCGTATTTACCCTCCGACTGTGTTGTTGTTTGCCCATCCTAACGCCTTTGTCTTTCGGCTGGTTGGACCAGATCCCGTCCTGTCCCTGCCCAAGGTGTGAAAGCCATTGAACACTACCCTCGTCCGCCCCCCTCTATCTCAGACACCTACATATCCGTATCTCAGGGCCCAACCGCTGAACGCTAGCTCCGATTAAAGTGACTACTACTAGGCTTACCTACCTGCGTGCGTTGGGGATGAATTATTGGTAAACACGCTCCGCATCGGGGAAGTCAAAATTCATCCTTTCCGAACGCGTTTGCTTCCAGGGGGGTGTTTTGCTCTGCGTCTCCCATGATTCATCCAATCTCTTCCCAGTCAGCCCCTTTTCCATCCCATATTTTCAGGCATGGAATTGAATGCAAGAAACAAGGCTGTCCATCACATCACCTCACCTCGTTCTTCCAAATCCAGCCTCGCGCAAGAAAAACAACACCATTCAATAAATGATATATCACTACTAACCCGTACCCATCTCCCCTGTCCCGCAGCCTCATACTAAGGGGCTCGCCCGGTTTGTAACTTTACAGGCCTCTCTCGTTATCATCCTTGAAATGTTCATTATCTAGATGGAGCATTGTAAATAACTGGCAACCATCGTTTCAAACGATTGGAGTCGATCGTGACAAGTCAAAGACAAAACTTTCCAGCGGTCTTCAAGTCATGCAATTGACCGTGAAATGGTGTAAGTGCTAACGGGCTTGCGCGGGATGATCCGTACCGTACTATACATACATACTTGACTGTCTCCCCTTTCTACGAGTACAGTCCGTAGAAGTATAGGCAATTACACCAGTTTGTTGTGGCTGGAGGGGCGCTGAAGCCGTGACAGACGAAGAGAGAGTGACAGGGACAGACAAACAGGCTCCCAGAAGAGCTGTAATGTATTATAAGCTCTGATGTCTGACCTGTCCCCTGTCCTGTCCCCTGTCCTGTCCCCTGTCCTGTCCCCTGTCCTGCCCTGCCTTGAATTGCCATCCTTGCATCTATTTCCAAACAGCATTGCTCCCAATCTGTGGTTACAAGTAGATTTACCTATGTACTGTTTACCCACAAGCATGAGCGCGGCCACCGCCAAAGCGACGTCGGCGCGCAAACATACCATAAACATCCCTCCCCTTCTACCTACCCCCTCCCATTTATTGAGATTCCCCTTCCATGTATCCCAACCTCTGCCGAGCCCTAACATGACCCGGATTTCCCTTCCCGGCTGCCCCGTGTATAAAAAAAGATGAGGAAATGAAAAAGTTATAGACACACATGCGCTTACGCAGATACCTCATTAGTCGTTTCGTTAAAAGTATATTTTTGGGGAGGGTGCCGCTTGCAATTTCCGCCGCAACCGCGGCCAGTAAACAGCAACATGTGTGCCAATGGGCCTGGAATGCCGTTTTCTAGGCCAGATAGATATACGACCCGCCCTCTCGCTCGATGTAGTCCTTCTCAATGAGCCTGTCAAGAGTCGCGCGTCAGCAAAACCCACCTCTGCGGCATTAAAGTAGGCGGCGATGGGGAAAGGTGAAACCACAAGAGGAAAAACAGAGGGAGAAAAAAAAGAAAAACCCACTTCTCAATATTCAACTTGATATCTGCCGCGTCCACAGCTCCCCTGCTCTTGGTCTGGTTGATGACCTCGGCGACAAGCTGCGCGTGCGTCATTTGTTTCCTGCTCTTCATGATCCTGACAATGGCAGCTTGGGTCTCGAACTGGCGGTCGGCGGCGACGCGCTCGTGCGTGTCTTTGTTCTCCTCTTTTGTCTCCTTGAGCTGGATCTGATTGATCTTGACGCGGTACTTTGGGTCTGCGAAGGTCTTGTTGACGGTGAATGTGTCGGTGGGCTGCACGTCACGGCTCCGCGGCTTTTTGGACAGTACGCGCACCTTGCCGCAGGCGAGGCTCTGGAGCGTGCGGCCAAGCTCGGGGGCCGGCATGCCGGTGGATTGTAGAATCTGGTCGTACGAGAGCACGCCGTCGCCTTCCTCAACGTCGTTGAAGAGCACCAGCACGACGGCCTGCAGGGCGCTGACAAGCAGCTCCTTGGGCCCGCGGTCGAATTGGGCCTTGACCACGCAGTGCGACAGGTTGTGCTTCCACGTCAACCGGCGGCCTGTGTGCTTGTGAACGTAGAACTTATCAAACATGTTGATGCGCTCTTGCACGTCCGGCGGGATAAACACTTCAATACTGGAGTACGTGGGCCATGCCGCAGCCGACAGTATGCTGACGTTCATGTCTATCCCACCGGGCTTGAACTTGCGGTACGTGGCGATCCATTCTCGGTACGAGCTCATCTCGTCCCGGGCCATTTCCTGATCTTTGAACATCTGCTCCAGATTGTGCGTGAAGCTGGAGCCGCACTCGTTCTTAAGCTTGGAGAGCATGTTACGCTCAGCGTCTTGGCTGGCGCTACGGCCGAGCAACAGCCTGCGCGCCAGGTCCTTTTTGTAAAAGGCCTCAAAGACATCCTTGCCTTGGATGAACCGGAACAACTCAATGCCCTGGTCCAGCTGGCGATCGAGCTCGGCGTCCTCGTCGGCCGTGCTCGCCAGACCGCTCTTCTCTGCGTCGGCACGGTCCCTGTTGTCGGACAGCAGTGTCTTGGGCAGCGTCTTGAGACCGCCGCGGAGGAGCATGTCAATGTACTTGGCAATCATCTCGCCGACCTTGGACGTGCCCGTGTTCCACGACGACGAGCTCTTCTTGTCGTTGACGAAATAGCCAAACGCCTCACGCAGGCCGTACGTGAAGACGTCGTCCTTGCCGAAGGCGTCTCGGATCATAATGTCGAGCGACTTCCGGAGCTCTAGCAGGCGGATGATCATTTCGTCGCCCCTCGCCGTGTCGCTTACAATTTCTGATCCGGCCTCGCGGACATAGCCCTCCCACGGGCCCCTAAGCCGCTTTTGGATGTCAGACAGACGTAGCAGATCGTAGAGGGCTTTCATGGACGCTACATCGTTGGCTTCGAGGAGCTTGGCCACGCTCCCGCTGTCCAGAAGTTTGGACGAATAAGAGTCAACCAGGACGTGGTGGGCATCGTCCCGCAGCTGCCTCTTGGTGGTGCTGTCAAAATTGTAGACGTCACAGCGCCCACTCTCGCGGCGTAGTAACCTGTCGCAGGCCATGATGTAGTCCTTCAGGTTGTAGGTTATGTTCCACTCCTCGGCGCACGCGGAAAGGTAGAGGTGAGACTCGGTCAGGAACCTGGGCTCGAAGAACTTGCCATAGACGCCAAAGAGGCGCAGCATGGTGACAGCATCCTTGAGCAAGGCAGCATCAAACCTCTCGTCGCCGTGGCGGTCGTAGTCAACGAGCTCGCACATGGCTGCTAAGACACCCTCTCCAATGGGGGCCGGGTCGCTACGTGACCCGAAGACGGCCCTCCGGAACTGACTGATACCCATGTCGTTGAGGTTCTGAGACGTCTTCGACTTATCGTACAAGCCCTGATGGGTGGGTTTGCTATTTAAGAGGAATGTGCGGTCCATGTAGCTGTAGATCCACCGCACGAGGAGCATCTGGTCACTCCACGTCTTCCAGTGGGCGAGCACGGAGCGTATCACGGCGACGTGATCGGAGGAGACGCTGTCGGCATCGGCGGCGGTGCGTAGGCCGCCGAGGGCGTCATCGCTGTTGAGGTGAGCATCGCAGCGGGACCGGAGCTTCTCGGCCAGGTCGGCAGCGTCGCCCTTGCGGCATATGTCCTCGACGCCGCGGTAGAGGCGCTCCATGGGCTGGGGAGTCGGGCGGCCGGCGAAGATGGCGGCAAGGGCGGCATCCAGCTCGGCACGGGTACGCGTGTAGTACTCGTCGACACCGGTGGCGGCCCTGGCGGTGGCCGTGCGGTAGTTCTTGATGACGAGCCTGCGGGGACCCATGTGCGGCTGGAGGACCGAAGGACGGCGGGAGAGGGGCGACGAGCTAGGGCTGTTCTGGGCGAGGCCAATGATGTCGGGGCGCTTGCCCTGGGCCTTGGCCGACATGGCGGGCGGGGCGATGTAGTTGTCGGAACGGAGGCGCTTGGGGTCGTGGTCAGGGGCGCTGATTTGAACAGAGGGCGAGCGCGGGGGCGCGGGCGGGTCGGAATCGACGCCGTGCCTGCGCTTAGCAGTAGTTGGTGCAGAGGCGGCCGAGGAGATGCGGGAATGGGTGAGGCCGCCGAAGGATGGCTGCGATGGGGTGGGAGGCATGGACCTGGAGAGGTCTAGCAGCGGGCGTCTGTCACTCCCGGGAGCTGGTGCGACTGCTGGTGCTGGTGCTGTGCTCGTGTGTTTGTGCCTGTGTTTCGCTGAGGATGCCTTCCTGCTCGTCGTCGTTGTCGTCGTCTTGTCTCGTATGACCACGGTTGCAATGCTATGCGTCGATGCGTATGTTCCGAGTTGGCTGGCGAAGGCCCGGGTTGGAGTCGTTCTTGTCGGCGGGATTGGTAACGTAACGTCAATGTCGAGGCGGAACTATCTAGGTTGGCGTTGGGTTGGCCAAACGGGCCGGTTGTCTGTTGTCTGTGCGTAGTAAGTCTACTAGCAGTGTTCAGTGGCGCGTTCAGAGAGCTTCGATCCAAGTTGGCGTCGAAATTCGAGTCGAGGCGCCCACTAGAGGATTGTGCTCGGGGTTCAACTTCACGGCGGCAGTGAACAAAGTAACGGATTGGAGGTTGTCACTGCGTATGAAGTCGCAAGAGATTACTGTACATTGCTCGCAGTTTAGTGTAGTGATCAGCCGCCAAGGTCGGGATTAGAGCTCGTCATCCGGGAATCGATAACTGTGTTTGGCACTGTCCAGACCCCGCTATGGCGGCAGGGTAAGGGTTACTGAATGTCGTAACGTTCATGTTCCGTGCAGTCAGTTCACCGCAATGCAGTCAGCTCACCGTAACAACACAAGCACCCAATATTGACATTTACGACCGTCTGGCACCTAGAACCGCGCAATTACAAAGCTATACGGGTAGGCTATTATTAAATGGCAATGATACCTATTAATGTTATCTTACGTTAACCCCAAGCCGCCTAATCGGCATGTCAATATGTCAATGCAATGCTCTCGAGATGTTGGGCATTCGTGCCTCATGTCCATGTTCATGTCCATGTCCATATATAATAGTTACAGCGCTACCCGTCTAGGCATAGGCAGCCCATCCTGTAGATATCCAGTCAGTATTTCAAGTCTCAAGCGAAGACGGTAAAAGACGAAGACGGGGAAAGGGGTGGACAAGTCAAGCAGAATGGCTGGAACTTACCAGAATATAGCACGGCGAGGTTCCTCTCGTCCGTCGCCTGGTTGATGAGGTCGTTCACCGTAGCCATGACACTGAGCGTCTTGGAAAGCTTCTTGCGGACCACCTCGAGGGCGCGGTCGGCCTCGGACGGCTCGTTGACCGACTTCTTGTTATCAACGTCAGACTGGTCATCGCCGCCCGCCTCGCCACCGTTGTCGTCAGCCCCGGCGGCGCGCGCGTTCTGCAGCTTGGCCATGCGCACGGGCGAGATGGACCACGAGTACAGCGGATCGTAGCGCAGCACGTCGAGGATGGTCATGATCGAGTACGTCTCCTCGCGCAGCGCGTCGAAAGTGAACTCGCAGCAGCGCCGGAACACGCCCTCGGTCTTGGTGATGCCCATGCCGTCCACAATGTCCCTCGTCAGGCGGAACGGCACCAGTTCCGGCACTGGCAGCACCCGCCCCATCTCAAACGCCACCCCGAGGTCAATGTGAACCACCTCGCCCGTCTTGGAGTCCAACAGGATGTTGTGTCCGTGCCTGTCCCCCAGCCCGAGCACGTGGCCCAGCACCGACACGGCCGCCGTTGCTCGCGTGTACGCGGTTCGCCGCAGGAACCACTCGTCCGGGTCTGAAAAGTACTCCATGAAGAAGTATCGCATCACCGGGTGGAACTTCTCCGTCACCTTCCGGTACGCACTGACGCGCGCCTCCACCGTCTTGGTCTGCGCGTTGGAGATCTCCTTGCGGCACTGCGATCCCTTGAGGTCCTTGGGATAGTACCGCTCGTGCGCCGGCATCAGATATTCGTGGAGCGGAATTGTGTTCGACACGAACTCAATGAGGCCCGACGAGGACGTCAGTGGTAGGACTTTGTAAGTACGGATGCCCAGATTCCGTTGCCTCGTCGGCCTGTGGAGCTTGAGCAGCTCTGACACGGCAGCAAACACCTGTTCCATGATGGCGTCCTGCCGAAGATCGTCGTTGCCTCCCTTGACGAGCTGCTTGTACCTCTGCCCATCGGTCCCCACGGCCGTGATGATCTTAGGCGCGCTCACTCCAGAGGCAATCGACATGCTAGGCTCAAACTTCTGTATCATGGGCACCTTTGAGTAGTCGAGGTTGGCCGATAGCTCAATCTGCATCGTGGGCGGCGGGATCTCGTACTTTGCGAGCGTACTGAGGAAGGCCTGACCAGCCGCCGAGTCCCTGATGGCAAGCTTGTGGCCGGCCTTGTACCTGTTAGAGTCGCGGTCCAGCGCCAAAGCATGGTAGACTCTGCTTGTCTGGTCAATCGCCGGCCAAATCTTGGACACAGGCTCGGCCTTGGCGAGAGCCTTAGCAATGTGCTCTGTCGCCTTCTGTCGGGAGACGGCCACTTCGTCGTCCCTATTGACGCGCGACTTAGCCCCTGACCATATCTGATACATGCCGTGGAATGGATGGTCGACGCAGATTCGATAGACCAAGTCGACCAGGACCTTCTGGAAGAGCTGCTGCGGCTGGTCCTGAAGGCGCGAAGAGAGCTGGTTCATCAGGGGGGCAAATTTCCGCGTCGGAACCTTGTTGATGTGCTTCTTGACCGCCTCGTTCGTCGTCTCCTCCTCGGAACGCTCTAGCCACAGGGCCGTGAAGCGCAGTGCGTCGTTGTTATGCTCGTCCGACGCGGTTAAAGAGAGCAGATAGTTCTCCAAACTCAGTTTGACAAACTCGGCACGCGTTTGCTCAACACGGCGAAGTTCTTGCTGGTCGAGATCAAGCCACTGTCTAGCTTTTGCAAGATAGCCCGAGTACCGGCTCTTATTCTGCGAATCCTTCGAGTTCGCAATCAAGGCCTTGAGCTGCGACACCTCGTCGCTCTTGCCCTTCTTCAAGCTCTGCAACCGCGCCAGGTCCTCTAGACTATCTTGGTTCTGGAGCTGCTCGTCACAGAACATGGCGAATTGGTGGAATACCTGGCCAGCATCCTTGCCCTCAATCTTACCCCTGAGCTCCTTGAGCGCTGGCTCGAGATACTTTTTCTGTATATTTTCCGGGTTCTCTAGCCTCGCGACCGAGACCTGATAGCCAATCTTCGACAAGAGATCAGAACGGCTGACCGGGACCGTCTGCTTTTTTAGGGACGAGTCCTTGTCAATGTTCTGCAACATGCGGATGGATGAAATCATTTCGCCATGGTTCCAGAGCGAATTTGCAGCCTCAATTTTGATTGCGGCGTCTATGTTTAGTCCCAAGGACTCGCTCGGCTTGATGAGGTCGGTGAGTGTTGTGGATATGTTCAGGCTCTCCTGGTTGGCGCGGTGGAAGCGATATATATCAGAAGACAGCAGCATGCCGCGAATCTGTATCAGGCGAGCATCTGCTGGTGTCAACATCGACGGCCGTAACTTGTGATGTCGACTCCACATGCTTAGTGTTGTTTCCCTACAGGAAAGAATCTGTCCCACGTCGCCGTATCTATATATGGGTTAGCTTGTTTTGTTCGAGCTGCCAGGTTGGTTGCTGGGTATCTTACCGTCCGCTCATCATCCATTTTGATCGCTTCTCAAACGTGGAGAGCGTGGTTTGTAGCTCGGGCTGGTCAGTGACATTTAGGAGATCGTCGAGCTCTGCCAGGGCGGCAAGGGCCCCGAGTTGATGGCGTAAGCTTGACGTATTCAGGGTCCGGGTTGTGAGGTGGCGAATGGTACTCCTGAATCCTTCGTGGACCGCATCCCTAACGGCGTTGATATCAGGGGCTTGGTGCATGCTTTGATATGCCTTGTACACCGTCACGGCCCAGTTCTCATTACTCGAGGGAGCTGGAAGATTCCACATCTCCAGTCTCCTTGCCGTGATAAAGGTGCTATCGAGAGATGCCGACGACGCATCCGAACCTTGTTGCGTTTGAAGGAGAGAATTGGACAGCCCAGAAAGCCCGAGGCTGCTCAAAGCGTTGATAAGGGCTTGCCCATCCTGATGCGACGCAGGATCCCGGCGTCTCAGGTGGCTATCGTACTGAGCGCCGCGGAACGCGAGGCTCTTACTCCCATCATTCTCGTACTCCAGGCGAGCTAGGACCGTGGAGAGCGAGGCATCCGGCGTTAGGCCGTAGTACGCATCTGGGTCATCGATATTCTCGAATATGTCGAGCAAAATATCGCTTGAATCCTCAATCTCCCTGATGGCCGATGAGCGCCGAGAACCGCGAGAGGATTCGGAGAAGGCTAGCTCGGCAAACAGAATGGCCACTTTGAACATGCCACATCGCGTGGCGGCGGCAGCTGCGCTGGAGAAACTCACATCCAGCCAGTGTCCTCGGTCGGCGATTGAAGATTCGCCGGGCAACGGCTGGGTTCTCAGATACAGGATCGTGTTTAGCAGAAGCTTCACGTTTTCCGTGGCTGCAGTAGATGTGCAAGTCAGCCACTCTTTCAAGGCCTCGGAGAGGCGCCGCTTCATCCCTTGTTGCTTTTCTAACTGGTACACCAAGACCAGGTGGACCACGAAGGGGAAAGCCTTTTCAGCGAACCCCTTAACTTTGGTGAGGATTGGAGGCAGCACCCTCAGCGTCACACTCTCGGGCACCGAATAGGCCAGAAGCGTCGCGAGTCGCTGTGACCAGTCTGGACTCTCCAATTGGCCGGCGGTAAATACTTCTGCGTCCTTGGGTGAGTCGACCGCGTAGTAATCGGAATGCGGTGTTCTGTATGGGTCCCAGTTGGATGACACCAGTAGGGACTCTGAAAGGGTCTTTTGGCAAGCACCGATTAGGTCTTGATCATCTTCGCTCACCGCGTCCGAGACCACCGTCCGCAAAGCAGATTCAGCTAAGCCGGCGGTGAAACAATCGCCGTTCACAGTGAGCGCCTCGATGAGATTGATGAGTCCTTCCTCGGAGCCGCTGTTGTCGAATGATATCCTGCGATACTCCTGAAGTCGGGATTCACGTAGGAGCTCCTGTGGCACCTCGCCCGACGCAGCGAAGGACCGACCCAGTACTCGGCCAGCCCACGCCAAGTACTCGCCGCTCAGCCGCTGGGAGCCACAGCTCTTCCAGACAACAGCCCCATGGCTTATTGCGTCTGCGTCAGTTTCGATCATGTCGAGTCTACTCGATAAGGGGATCCTAAAGACACCGCAGAGCATGGAGAGAGCAACGCCGCGGGCCGGTTCATTGAGAAGCTGGTTCTCACGGTCCCAGTCATCGAGGATCTCCAGGAGGAGGTTGCTCTCGTGGGTACCTTTTTCGGCATTGCCCGACGCACGAATGTGAGCAGCCGACTGTGTGATAGATTTGAACGCACGGCGCTGAGCATGGTCCTTGAACGATAAAGAATCGTAGGCCGCCAGGTACTTGGCAAACCAGGAGTGGAATAGCTGTGCTTTACCCATGGTTGCTTTGAACTGGCTCTCCTGGGTCGTGCTGGATTGGCTCGATTCGAGAAATACCCGGAGGTCAGCGAGACTCGACAGGGCGTATCCAGCCAGGAACGAGGGCGTCTTCTTCAGATGGGCGTCTCCCTTAAGCACGAGATACTGAATTATACCGAGGGCATCGTCTGCGCACTCTGGATCAACTGCGAAGGCTCGGATGGAATGAAGAAGCATCTCTAGAGGATAAGCAGACAACGCATGCTCGCCGGCCAGACAGACGAGAACGCGAATCTTTCGTAGCACCGAGCATGCGTGGAGGGGGCCGAGCGCTGGATGGATTGTGTTCAGGAGCTTGCGAGCCACAAACACAACCAGGGCAGGCGTCCACAAGTTATCGGGCTCGTAGGGTGTCCGGCTGCAAAGGTGAGCAATTTCTCTTGTGAGATACTTTGCCTTGAACATTGGCTGCTGATTCGGTGGCAAGGGCGTGCTCAAGTGGCCAAGCTTCTTGATCTCATCCATTGCATCAGCCGCGGCGGTGAACCTCCCCTCTCTCCTCAGAGCCTTCTCAATTGGGTCCTCCTGGTCGAAGATGTCAAAGAAGGTGGCTATAACGTCTGCGAAGTTGAGATGGATGTTCTCCAGGAATCCTTCCTTTCCAAGAATCTTCCTGAGTCGGCTCTCCCCAGTCACACGATCGCCACCGCTCGGGACGCTGATGTCGTGCGCAATGCTGTATGCTACGATCTTGGTAAAGCTCTGCTGGATCAGTTTCTCGGGCGTCAAGCCTAGGCTCTGAGCTAGATCGAGGGCCTCTTTCTCCTGTCCACGCATAATCATGATCGCGGCTGCCTCAGTCTGGGCCATCAACAAGAGGTCTTGGAGACTCGCAAAGCCAAATATCTCAAAGGGAATCTCTTCAATTGAGTCGCTTTCAAGCCATGTATAGAGCAGTTGGGGAGCAAAGAGTTTAAAGAGCTCACGGGGGCTGCTGAGGTTCAGAGACACGGATATCCGTTCCAAGCAGCTCGCCGCATATTTTCCGGATTGGACAATCTTGCCCGGGGTTTCGAAAATGTGGTAGATACACCGACGTAGCAGGGTTGGCCACCTACAAGCCAACTCGGCCAGAACGAACAGACGGTAAGCAATGCCCTCAGTGGCCTCTGGATCAGCGGGAAGGCTCTCTAGAACATCGACGAAGATGTCGTCGTGCGTTTTGAGAACATATAGCCCGAAGATCTTGGGTAGATTGAGTGCGATGATGTACTTGACATCCATGGTGCCCTCTTGCAGAATTGTCAGGACTGTGGACCTGGCCGATGGCAGTTTTAAGGCCGCAGCATAATCTGATCTGACCTCGAGGAGGTGGAAGAGTAATTTCGAGAACCAGATCTGGGCGGGCCCGGACATGGAGTTGTTGGGTAAAGACCTCTTGACCAGATAGTGGTATAGATCGCCCACCAAAGTTGCTATCTCGAGCTTCTCGTCGGTCCACATGCTCATAAAGCCGTCCATGACGTCGATGCATGTGCACAACGCCACTTCACAGCACGAGAATTCATCTAGGCTTATAATCTCCCCCAACCTCTCCACGACTTTCATGGAGCCCTCGACAGGGGGTAAGGCATCAGAGTTAAAAAGCTCCTGCATAAATACTCGGCATAGTAAAAGCTGCTCTTTGGGGAGTTCGAGTAAGTGGTCGAGAACAGGACCCGGGACACAGCCGAGTTGGCCTTCATTAGAATAGATCACCTCAAGGAGAAATAGCCGGAGGGTGGTCTCTAAGTAGAAGGCTTCTGGCGTATGGCTCAATAGAACGTCCCGCCGGGGAAGAATTTTTGCTCCTGATGTCGAACTGATCTGGCTCGCCTGGGATTCAAAATCATCGTCTATGTCCATGGTATCTGCCTCACGGCCCGACGGATCTCGCCGCGCTCTTCCCTGTAGGGCATCGGAAAGCTTGGCAAAGAATTTGTGGAGATGGGGAAGATCTCGTTTCAAGAAACTAAGTTCGACTTCATCCATAGGAGGAATATACGCCGTGCATGACATCAAGACAAGATCGAAGAAGTTCCCGTTTTGGGGGGCGTTCAATACCACTTTGAGAGTGGCATCGATGACGCCGAAAAGTGCTGTTTCAAGGTCTTTGGATACAGATGTGTTCAGACTGACAAGCTCGGGGAGTAGCAGTGTCCCAGTGAGGCAGGCAAGGACCACGCTCTGTAGCCGCTCGGTAGATATCGGGACTGAGCCATCTCCGCCGCGTCTTTGCCACGACTCTGCCATTTGTGACAGCTCTTCAATCTTTGGGAAGAGCAGCTCGAGGACGAGGCGCTTTGTAGCATGAGTTCCGGTCGGATCGGAGGGTTTTCCGGGTTCACCGGCTGGGCCGTCAGACACAGAGGCCGTTGGGGGTGGTGTCGGTAGGACTTCGTCCCCGAGGAGCAGCAAGTATCGAATAAGTGGCTGGGCCTTTTTCTGGCTCTTCCAGAATTGGGCAATGGGCCCCCCAAACAGGAGGAGCGGTGCCTCCATTCGAAGCGGCGGCATGCCATAACAGGCTCGCAAAAGACAAACCATATCGAAAGGGCTCGAGTGGGCCGAATGAATAGAAGCATAACCCAGCTCAGCTTGAAAACCAGTCAGGACCATAACTTAGGGTGGCTATTTCAATGCTGTTACTTACCAGGATTCCATTTGACAAAAACCCACCGAATAATGTGATTTGAAGTCGCTTGACTGGCGTTTGGTACCATCATGTTCCGGTGGCGCAGTAAACCTAGCATCAAAGTCAAAGACGAATCAACAAGCACCGCAGGACCACTAATATCGGCGGTTGTGATAATCTGATTGATGTCGTCCGCCTGTTCGTGCCCTGGAATCAGGCCCGCTTGCATTATCGCCTGCAACAGCACGCAGGCAGCACGGCTAGTAGGGGGGAGGCTTAGAGATCGCACGGTGAGCTGCCAGATCTGTTTCCAGGTAGCCGCGAGGGAAGCGCTCCGAGATATTTTATGGGTGGCGAGACTTGAGGTTGTGTTAGCACAATCACGGACGCTGCGTAAAAAGAAAGACGCAAGGCCATACCTAGCGCATGCGAGCATTGCCCAGGAAGCCACAGTGCCCTGCTTGGCCGTGACGCATTTTGACAAATCAGAAATAGCTTCAGTGACGTCTTCTAGGGAGGGCGGCTTCTGGGCGGCCCAGAACGGTATGAGTTGCAACGCGGTTAGCTGGACTGCCGGGTCTAGGGACACAATTTTCTGGTGCATTCTATTGGGGCTCCCGACCACCCTCCTTCTCTTCCGAGGCTGGTCGGTTTCGGGCTGGGCGTGACTGCGGTCTTGCTGGGAGTTGCGCGAGTACATAGCCTCCAAGATGGCGAGGTTCTCTAGCAGAGCCCAGTTTTGCTCGCCTGCTTGGTGGTAAGGGCGGAGACTGAAGACGGCAGTGCTTGGATGGTCGGTAGGGAGGCGGATGGCAGAGAAAGTCACGTCGTCTAGCTGGAGGCGAGCTCGCTCCTCGCGCCTCGAATATTCGGACCACAAGGCATCCAGCAGCTCTTCAGCGTCTTGGAGGAGAGACCCGTCCGAGGACTCCTGGAGAATGCTTTCCATGTATAAGTACGTCCCAAATATGGTTTTGAGCATCTCGTCCCGGATGGAATTGAGCATGGCGTCGCGAGAAAGGGCACGCGGCTGCCACCAGTGAGAGAGCAGGGGAACCAAGGCTTTCGTTACTTTCTTGGCCAGGGCCACATCGTCGGTCTGAATGCGCGAGAAGATGCTGTTGATGGTGGAAAAAGCAGCCTTCTGCAGCTCGCCAATCTTCATCTGGCGAAGCTGGAGAATATGAAGAATGGTATGGGACACCTTGCTTGCCTGCCTCTGTACGGGGGCATTTGGAGAGGACATCAGCGAGTTAACGCAAGACACGAGCTCCAGGGCCAGTTGACCACCGATTTGGCTCGAAGACGACTGCTGCGTAGCAATTGAGGAGGATCGGCCTGTGCCTCCGGGGGCCGGAGAGGCGCGAGACAGCGAGGAGCCATCTCGGTCGCCGGTTTCGAGATAGCGAGAGAGGGCGTCAACACAGAAGTCGACACAGATATCCCAGCTCTCGCCCGAGAAGGCGGCAAGGTTCTCGACGTTGGCCGAGTTGTCGAGAAAGGTGCTCAGGGCCTTGACGTAGTCCTTGAGAAGCGGCTGGATGTAGCTCTCTTCGGGACCCAAAGGGACCTGGGTGATGTGGTCAATGATGGCTCTCGCCGTCTTGCGCTTGATCCGGGAAGCGCCATGGCGGACGGCCAGGCGCAGGACCTCGGCGCATTTCTCAAGCCTCGAGCTGGCGGCGGCACTGGACTTGGCCGACTTTTTGGAGCCGAAGTAGCCCTCCTTCTCGAGTAGGGTGCAGCGGAAGAGCGCCTCATAGATGGAGTGGTACGTCTTGTCATTGAAGGGACTCCTGCGCAGTAGTTAGAAAATCCGTCTGGCTGGGAGGTGCAGTCCGGAACTAGTAGTCTGGGGGGGGGGGGCCGATATGAGACTGATATGGGACTGGCATGGGATAGATATGGGATGGATGGACACGGCTCTTACTGTTTTTGACTCTGAGACGCCTTGTCAGCCGTCTTGAAGTAGGACAACAAGCCTATACAGATGATAGAATAGACGGCGATGGTTAGCAAAGAGCCATCCGCGGCAAGACGAAAGCGAAGCAAAGCAGGTAGGCCGGCGGCAAGGCACGGCACGGAAGGCAGCTCGCTTACTTTCCACGGCTTCCTTTCGCGTTGTTGCCGATGAGCTGACGAGGAGTCCTGGATGCCAGCCATTATTGTTAGCCAATTATTCGATTATGCATCATGCCGTTCATTTCATTTTGTTCGCGCGCATTTCACTCCACTCATTTTGAGGCGAGGCACACATACCTGCGATTTCTTTGAAGTTGACAATGTCACTGCCGTAGCTCCTCGACCGCGCCATGTTGCCCTCTGCTCTGGAAAGCCGAGCCCACCATCCGCAGACAAGGCAGCTGAGCAAGAAAAACCTGTGTGGCTGACTGTATCCAAATCGTATGAGACGACAAGTCGAGTTGAGTCGGATCGAGGAAGAATATGAATATTAGGATGTCGAGGAAAAAGAAACTACGAGATGCATGCCGCTCCAAAACGAGATCCGCGCTCCCGTGACAAACCCTGCCCAGGTTCAAATCCTTGAGAGGAAAGTCTCATTCTGTATATGAATGTCAAATAAAAATTGCTGTGATTATCACCAACACGCAAGGTCTTGCTAGGCACAAAGTTACCTACCTGCGAGTTGATCGGAAAATAGGCCTTTCAGGTCTCTTACTCAAACCCAGACCCAACTGGAAGGTTAGGTACCGAACTTGGAGCGGAAAGCAGCCTGGAATTCGATTACCCCGGGGAGCTAAGGCAAGAGCAATCGAAGCTGCAAGCTTCCCGGTCGTTGTTACCTAGCGTCCAGGTTGTAGGCAGCGCGCTTGCCCTGCCTGGAAGCCGCCCGATACCCTGCAATCTTGATGCCCACTGGAGCAGGGGCCAGGGCGGACAACGGCAGAAACCTTCACCGCCCAAATCTTTGTTGATTGCAGGGACTCAGCACCAATCGTCAATCGCAGGTGAGCGACGCAGCGCAGCGCGGGACAGCTTCCAAAGCCCGACTTCGTGCCATTGACGAATTTCACCACGGCTTTGATCGCCCGAACACGGCCACGAGCTGATTACTCCCCAGACAACCTCAACACGAGCTGCGCATCACGAGGCGCCAGACCGGAAGTTCCAACAAGATAAAGAAAGAAGGGGGGCAGAGAAAGGCGGAGGCAACGCGGCTTGCGAAGTGACGATTCCATAGTGGGCGCTGGAAAATGCGCTGAGCCACCATCCTCGTTCAGTTCACGACCCTCGTCCCCTCCCTCCGTCTCGCACCCTCGTTTGGTCGTCGCATCCCGTTGCGCTTGAGTAGGCCACTATGTCCGACCTGCGCCAGCTTGAGGCCATCCAGGCCCTGCACCGCGAACTGCTTGCCGTCCGCGATCATCGGTTTGGCGACCTGCAAATCCTCGAGCAGTTGCTGAACCATCGCGCCGAAGTCTTCGAGAAGCTACTCGACAAGCCTCCTCGAAACCCTACCAGCAGAACCGCCGTTGGGAGCGGTACGAGCCCCCAGAAATCTGCAGTGCCTTTCTGTCCCGAGACCGCGAGATCACGTCGTTGCTAACGTCCCACCAGGTAAAATAAAGATCGACGATGAAGAGTTTCAAATCAACGAAGACTTTGTCAACGACACCCTGAAACTCGCCGACGAGCTCGACTTGGACGAGCTCGAGGCCGCCCGAGTGCTCCTGGATGCAAATGCAGAAGGCGATGCAGAGTCACTGACCCGTCCCCTGTGGGAATGTGGCGTCATCCGCTTCCATCAGGAGCGCCAGTATCTCCTCGACTGCATGCGCCTTTGCATTGAGATATCCAACGACGGAAACCTCGAAGGGAATCTGGAGGACCGCTTTGCCAGCCTTGTCAGCGACAGAATCTACCGCATCCCGCCACCGGGACCTCAGCGGCGATCCACCGCCGACAAGATCGCGCCGAGATGCATGGCTGCCATGCAGGCTATCAAGGCGTCACTCCAAAGCATCGGCGACAAAATGGCCGCCCGCAGTGTGCTAACCCAAGCTCAACTCCTGAGGCCTATTGACCAGGAGGCGTACGAGATTATGCGCCTCAGTCTTGTCCAGCAACACGAACTTGTTGCTCACATTCTATGCTCTGCGGTAGAGAAGCATGCGGTTTCTCCTGCCGACTTTGAAGGGTTTATCGGTGTCTTGAAAAAGACCGACAGGTACGACCACTTCCTCGTCCACCTGTTCCCTGTACTTGGCGCGTATATCACCTGTTACGGCTCCACCGAGGGACTGGGCGATATCCAGCAGTCGCGCCAGTTCAACGAAATCATCTGCAAACAGGCAGACGATGACTCGTGGGCCATCCCGAGTCTTGGTGCGGCAGTTCGGGCCTGGTGGATTGCCGAGTACAGTGGCTGGTACTTGGACGACACGCCCTATGACGTTCAAGGAATCAACCTCGACAAGGAGGACGAAGAGCGGACGAAGCAGTTTACGATCTCCCTAAAAGATGGCGCCTTCGACTTCATCCTCTCGGTAGCTGCCGACAGCAGAACCCAGGAGTGGCAGGACTCTTCGCGACTAACCATGCGCAAGTGGCTACAGCGCAAGTCCCCCCCGCTTGCCTCAGACCCTTACCCCTTCGCCGCCTTCTTCCAGCAGAGCCTGGCGGTGCACCTGGAAGTCTTCGTCGATGCCTTCATCTCCAACCTTCCAGATATTCTCCGCAAACTCAGAACCGAAGAAGACGAGCAGCGGCAGCTCAGCCAGACGCACGAGCAGGATCTCGACCTCGAGCGCTTCTTGATTATCATCTCGTATGCCTACGATGGGCGGCCAGACGCGGCCATGTCGTTCTGGGAAGATCCGGACAGCAACCTGGCTGGCTTCTTGCAATGGGCTTCGAGACGGGCATCGACTCCTCTTGTGAGCGCATTTTGCGAGATGCTCCAGGCACTCTCGGAGAGTGAGGAATGCGCAACAGCTGCCCATAACTTCCTTCTCGACGAAGGCCATCACTCATCGGGCAAGATGAAGCGCTCTCTGTCTTTAACGTGGAGCCAAATCTTTAAGGAATTGGACTTCTTCACCGCCAAGCTCCGCGAGAGGCCCAGTCCGGCCCAGACGCACATCCATCGGCCCGGAAAGTTTAGCAGCGATCAAGCCGAGACGGAACCCGAGTCGGCCATGATGCTGGAGTGCTATCTGCGTCTCATTTCCAAGCTCGCATCGGAAAGCGAAGTTGCGAGGCATAAGTTGATGGCAGACGATGACGTGCACTTGGTTGATACGATATTCAAGCTGGCCAGTGGAAATATACCTCCTCGCCTCAGGTCCTGTGCCTTCAACGTGCTCCGAGCTTTCTTGAGCCGTAAGAGCCAGGTAGAAGCCGATGTCATGTGGAGATGGCTCGATTCTTGGCTCTGCGGCGGCTTCGCCTCGCAACCCCTCTTGAGAAGCTCCCTTCTCCTCCCAAGCCAGGGTGCTGAGCCGCTCATGGGAGCCGTTCTGCAGGAAATCAGCGAAGGGTTCGAAGAACCGAATGCCTTTGTTCAACTCCTGACCTCCTTTTTCGCGCCAATTGAGGGCCAGGAAAGTCTTAACGACTCTCTGCCATTCCCCGAAGATCTGGGTGCCCAACAAAGGATACCTGGCGTCGAAATTTACGTGGATTACGTGTTTGGCAAGGTTTTCTCAGCCAAGTCTAGGGAAGCTACGGATCCTGCTCAGCTTAGAGTACTGCGTCTTAGCTGCCTAGAATTTGCCTTGACGTGCCTGTCAACCTTTAATGAGGACCTTATTGTCCTGGGTAGCGAGTCTAGCATCGCCATCGATGCTGCCATAGCGACCTCGGATCTGGCGACATACGTTCGCCTACACCCCTTTGCCCGCGTTATGGAATGGATGTTCAGCGACAAGGTCATCGCTGCTCTGATCAGCACCATTAATCAAGACTCTACTGCTTTGGCCAATGCTGCTCCGGAATCCCCCCTCTTGCTCAGCATCTTGCGGGCGATCGAGGTCATGCTGAAGGTCTTCGAGTTGCAAGAGACGTACTTCGATCTCGTCCGGCCCGTCATAAGGAAACTGCCGGGGCAGCGGAAACCAGATGTGGCAAACTCGACATATTCGTCATTTGAAGACGGCATTATCAACCACTTGTCCCTGGTAGTGAATCTTGGTCGGTACTGCGGTCTCCGCCAGCCCGACCTGACTCTGGCCTGTTTAAAACTACTTGAGAAGATTTCGACGTCCTCCAAGATCATTTCAGCCTGGAGCCCTGATGCTGGCGGGCACGGACACCGCAACAAGGCCATTGTGCAGCTCGAGAAGAATGGCGAGAGCGAGACAATCGCCGCCTCCCTCTCGGCCGAGCTTTCCTATACCCTGGATCCTGTTCTGGAGACGGAGGCACCCAATTACATGATCAAGCTCTTCATTCTTGATTTCCTATACGAGTGCCTGAGGGCCGCTCCAAACCAGCCCACAATTGCGCACTTGCTCCTGGGCTTTCGCTGTGGGCTCAATGCCTTGAATGTCGAGCCAAGGAGTGCCTTTGACTCGCAGAAATCTCTGTTTCACAGCCTCCTCAACGCCCTGATCGGGTTTTCTGTGTTTCAAGAAGAGATAGGGATGCGTGGCTACTTGATAACCCTGAAGTACAAGATCTTGCGCGTATTTCAAGCCCTGTGGACTCCGCCTCTGTCGTCGGTACTGGTCATGGCCGAGCTGAGAGAAACGAACTTTCTATTCCACATGCTCCTGCAGGAAATGGAGCTGCAACCGCAGTTGACGTGGGATGGCATCGAGGCCACCGATCCCGAGTTCCCCGTCGCCGATGCGTCCGTATCCTTTATCCAATTTCTCGAGACCCGGGCCATGATCTTCGAGTATATCAGCAAGGAGCTTTGCAGTGTCTCTCAAAACCGCATTCCAGCCATCAAGCGCAACATTTTTGACGCCCTGAATGGCCAGATTAAAAGGGACAGTGACGAACCCGTGAGGATAGCCAGCATCTTTGATCTCTTCGACTTCTTGGGCGCGGACGAACAGTGGAATATTCCCACGCCGATGTTCGAATATTACAAGGATTTCGATCTCAGCGCCTGCGTCGAAGAGGACCCAGATTTGGGCCTGCAGTACAACATCTGCAAGGTTCAGGAGCTTCTCTTACTGAAGCGTAACGAGCTGCGGTATGCAACCCAAATAATACCACAACAGCAGATTAGCGAAGTCGAGCGAGAGGAAGCCCTCTTGAAGGAGTATCTTATATTCTCGAACCGACGGAAGCAGTTTATCTCGTCAAGACTAAAACTTCTCCGGGCATGGGCAAACATCATCCTGGTCATGTTTGAGTCCAACGACTTCAAGGGGACTCCGAAGACAGCCTTCCTGCTCCAAGCTCTACAGTCCATCCTTCCCAACCTGGAAGCATTTAGCACGTTGAGCCCTGCCGAAGCGTTCGAGCTCGCCCGAGTGGCCAAAGTGCTCCTGTTCAAGCTCGAATTCTCCAATGATGATGATGATGATAAAGATGATGCTATTGCGGCCGGCCTAGACCAGGAGAATGCAGCTTTGGGCAATCTAATTAGCGACAAGCTCTTCCAGCTATTCCAGGTGTGCCTCAACTCCATAGGCAAGTGGGCTGCGAGCCCCGAACTCAGGGCGCTTTACTACGGCATCTGCTACCGGTACCTGACGGGCGTGGTTGACAAGAATGTCCAAACCCGAAGGGGCCGCGCCAGGGCGCTGAAGGCGATTCAGGCCCACGGCGAACGCCTCTTCAATGTCATCTGCGACGACGCCTACAGCAGCGATGCCGGCTGCCAGACGGCGGCCATGATCCTGCTCAGCGCGCTGGTTCATCTTGGCCGCGCTGGCGACGACCCGCACGTTGTGGATGTGCTCAACCGGCTTAACTTCATCGGCGTGCTCGTCGACAGCCTCAAGACCATCCTTATTGACTGGCTTGCCGTCATTACCAATGGCGACGTCGCCTCCGAACAGTACACAAATGCCAAGCTCGCCTTACTCTTGCAGCTGTGTCAGACGCGCGCAGGCGCAAACTTCGTCCTCCAGGCCAACCTATTCCGTGCCCTCGAGCTCTCCAAGGTCTTCGCCGCCGACCCGGAGCTTGAGATTGACGCCAGCAACACGCGCGCGCTCGAGAAGCACTACACCCTGCTCGTCTGCCTAGCCCGCGTCATCAGCGCCGCCGTCCTGACTCGCGGCAACCACAACATCCTACAAGGCCGCAACTTCCTCGCCAAGCACCGTTCCCTCGTCGCGCACACGCTGAAGCGTAGCGCCGGCATCGGCACCGTTGGCAACGGCCGCAATGAATCCGTCCCGCAAGCCGGCGGTATTCCTGCCGCGAATGCCAAGGCACAAGCAGCGCTTGACGAGCGCATCCAGGACTTGACCGAGGCGTTTATGCTTTTAATTACCGCCACAGGGTTTTTGGAAGTAAGTTTTTTCTCTCTTCCTTTTCCTTTTTCCAGACTTCTTGTTTGTCCGTCCACCCACCAGCCAAGCTTTACTAAATAAACCGACGAGGACATTTCTAGTAGAGAGATAGGCCTCTAGGATTTTAAAATAGGGACTCTAGTTGCTATTACCTCCTTTAGCGAGAAACCCATAGGGCGAGTGTCTTTTATTGAGGTGTAGAAGAATCATTCCTCTGCAGTTGCGGGGTCGATGCCTGGGTACCAAGATAGATGGGGTGGCAATCTTGCTTGTCATTGACGCCAATAAGTAAAAAAGGCATTGCGCTCCAAACCCCTAGTAATCGCCTATCTACATGCCTACCCAAACCGTGTAATGTTTCTATTCCCACCAAACCCGAGAGATAAAAAATACCAGGTAGATATGGAGTCCAATCCCAAAATGTATTAAACCGCCGTCCCCGTCCGTATGTGTTGCCTTGGGAAATAGGGAAATGTGTACACGTACATATGTGCATGAACAAGGTTTGCAGCCTACATTCCTCTCCATCTTCTTCTCCCTAACGTACCCGTGCGCCTTACGCTGGCATGCCCGGGTTTAGTGCATAATGATATGAAGCCAACGAACGCCTCTGTCATTGGGAAGAACCCGAGTGTTAATTTCACAGCCAGGCTTCATGTTGGACGTCCTTCTACAGCCCGCCCGTGATATAAAAAGTGCAATACTAGAGTAGCTTGCGGCTCATATGCGAGCATTGCGCTTGCCTAAACTCTTTCTTGTGATCAGTTTAAGTTCAAGGGCGTAATAACCCTTTGCCCTTTGGGTGAATTTTCCGTCGTTAGGCGGCCGTGAGTCAATCTTCTGTCGACATATTGGGCAGATCTTTTTCGACACATCGATGTTGAGGGACGAGTGGAGGCACTCGGAACAGAATAGATGGCCTAGTAAACAAATTAATCAACACTTGTTTTGCTTTCGCATGCACGGCATAATTCTTACCGCAGTGAGTTACCGTCAAGTCTTTTACTTCATCCATGCAAATGGCGCATTGAAACGCGCCTAGCTTAACCTCGTTCTTTGGCTTTTTGCCCATGACGGAAGCAGGGACTTTGACCGCGTCGACCAAGTCAACAATTTTAATGTCGTCGTCGAGCCCGAAATTATCATCGTCAGCATTTCTCTTGATTTTGGAAATTTCGGGCTCTGCGGGGTCGTCCCGCTTCCTTTTCCTCGTCGGCTCTTGTGGAGATGACGTTGTGTTCAATATAGGCGGTAATCGCTGCCCCCTCGACTCCAGCTGGTTAGAAGGAGAAGTAGGGCGTCGACTTGAAGATGCCAAAGCGACCCCTTCGCTCCTTGCACCTATTTTGCTGCGCGTTCGGGTCGACGACATGCCGGGGAACATGAAAAGAGAGTCTGCCGGCGAAAGCGAAAGGGGGGGCTCTTCGCCGTCGGACGGCGGTGTTTCCCTCTTGACTCGCTGCTGGGAAAGCGAATGGGCCAGGCTGGGCAACAGTGTAGATGTGTTTCTCGAAAGTAGCGGCAGGTTGGAAGCGGCTGGGCTGTTGTCAGGTTGGGCAGCTCGCCGCGGGCTCCGAGATGGAATGGACGGAGTTGAGAAGTCGCGGCTGACAAGCTCGTTGAGGAAATCGTCACTGTTGGGCTCGCGGCGGCGGGGCGAGCTTAGTAGGTTCATCAGAGAATTTGGCCGAAGGCCTGTGTTTCTATCAGCCGGGTGGTGCGTTGGAGGTGGGAAGAGAGACGTGAGATTTGGTTGAGGTGGCGTAGGATTAGGTCTAGGTTGTGACGTGCGTTGGAGATGGAGGCGTGGAAGGCGATGTCGCGGGGTCGGAAGTGCCCGCCTATTGGCGGGGTGAGGCTCCTGGGAAGTCGTAGCGCCCGTGTCTGAACCTGAGCCCGAGCCCGAGCCCGCGCCTGTGCCTGTGCCTGAGCCTGCGCCCGCGCTCGCACCTTCACGCCATGAGGGAAGCTGTCTCCCAAAACTAGACGAGTACTGCGAAGTAGAGGCAATTACAAATGGCGGGGGGTCGATGGCCTGACGCCGACCGCAAAACCGGGCAAAATCCGAGGGTGGAAAGTCACGCAGCGAGTCTCGCAGCGAGAAGGGTGAAGCACTGAACGAGGGCCTGGGGAGGTCTGCTAGCAGGGGAAGGTGGAAAGAATGGTCGTCTTCGCCACGTGTCAACAAAGAGGGCCCCGGCAATTATCTCAAGTCAAGGGCGGGTTTGTGCGTGAGAAGGGATTAAATACCTTCGAAGAGGTCCTCAAAGTCGAATAGGTCGTCAGCCATGATTCCGTCGCGCTGCGCGACAAGACAGCCGCATCAGCATGCTCAGAGGCTAGGAAGCTGGGTAGCTAGGGCAGGGCAGCGAAGCAGTCTCGTCTCGGAGCGTCGAGGGAAAAAAAAAAAAATTAAAAAAAAAAAAAAAAGAGTACAAGTTGACCATGTGCAGAAGGCAGACAACAACAAGCGAAAGACAGCAGGTGCGTGTTTCGGAGACCCTATGTGCCCGTAAATAGTCTCTGTTCGCTCAGAAGCGTTGGGGACTAGTCTTCTCGGGCATGTCTTTTGCGTGTCACAGATTGGAGAAAACTGGTGCGCATCTTCTGAGCGGCTATTCAATTAAGGTCCAAAGCGTTGATCCTAAAATGGACGAGTCTAGTAAATCGACTATGCCGCCCGCTAGACCGACTGTATCCGACCTCAATAGTGGGGCCCGACCGCTACAGTCCAATCCTTAAATGCTGTTGTTAGCGGGGGACTTCTCAAGATACGAAAGACGTGACTGCCTCACGGCTTGCCCTGATGGTTTTGCTCTGATAGAGGTAATAGCTATTCGAGCCCCTAATAAAGAACCCTAGAGCCCTATCTCACTCATACGAATGCCTTTGTAAGGGTTTTCCGGGCCGATTTTATTCACTCGAATCCCGACCCCGGGTTGTTATCTCAAGTACGAAAGTACCGCGTCAACAGTTAGAGGCTGGACTAAAATACACTGAAAGACATCAGCCATAGCCAAAATGTAGAGGAACAACACCAAAATTACGCAAAACCTTAGGCCCTCTGTTAACTTCGACATCCAGAAGGTGTACCGCGAATATGACCTTCTCAAAAACGTACGTAGGTATCTTCCATTCATAAACTTCTTGAGAGATAGGCACCTTGGTTTTGATATCATGACCCCACCGTTCGTAAGTCAAGCGTTGCAAAGCCACGTTGTCCTAGGTAGTTTGTACTAGGCTGTCGTGCTGCTCATAGAAGTGTGTCGCCCACTTTTAAGCCACTTTTGAGCTACAATGTCAAACCACATACCTGCATATCCCTCCAAACAATGCATATCCCTTCATTTGTGACTTTCAGCCCTGATCCCTTTTTTCCGGGCTCCCGGACTTCCGAATGCCCTCTTTTTTCTCCCTTGCTACGGCTGAGTCCCTTACGGAGTACGACTGAACAGACTGTTGAACCAGGCTTCCTTTGTCCTTTTCTTGGAAGCATAAAAGGCCTTCTTTCCTGTATTACTAGATGGGGGACATACGATTAAAGACCCTTCGAGCCACTTTCAACTTTGATCACGGGCCAGAAAGTGTTCAACGAGCCCTGGTATTTTCTCATCTCGTTCCGTAGCACCTACTGTGAATCGAGCCCCCGATATATCTAGGTACCTACCCAGTCGATTCCCAAGTCTCGTTCATTTAGTGTTACATCGTCCGCACGCCCTCCAGAGCCTTCTGTTCTATCCGAACCTGCTACAGCGAGATGGGCCGAATGACCTGGCTTGAAAGCATTAGGTAGAGAATTGCATCGCTGTGAGACTTGATAGGAGCTTCCTCCAGCTGTTCCTAGACCCAACTAAGTCTCCAACAGTCATACTATTTCACGACGGCTTCCCAAGCCTGGATCACAGATGGCTCCATGGTCAATGTCCATGTGCCTCTCCAAGTAATCCTAGCCTGCCTTGTCGGGCGGAGCGCCTGGTGCTTGGAGAGGGCCGCCAGCCTCTTTCTTCCGTTCCAAATCTCCATTGTTTTCAGTTGCGGCATCTTTTTGGCCGCTGCCGCCGCTGCCTGAAGCATGGATCTAATCTCGATTGGATTCCCGCCGAGTGTTAGTAATTGTGAAGTAAGCGCAAGCAGGCCAGGTTTGGCCACTCCCAAGAGGGTTCGATCTTGAAGAATTGGCCGGCATCTACGATGAACGATGTTGCGAGATACTCAAGCTTGAGGCTGGCAAGTGCGATCATCCGGCTAACAGCTAGGGACAGCTTGCGGATTCTATCTCATTCAGACACAAGAATCCCAGATTAGAATCGATTCATAGTGACTAGGCATTGTTGATTGAAGTTCTCGAAGGCCATGGGTCTCTTGAGATTGTTGTTGCAACGCTGGACGGACTCGAAAAGACATCGATAATCTAGAAAACGGGTGCGGATATCAGCAATAGAGCACCCATACAAACGAGAGCGAGTAACAACTTGGGCATGTATATGTAGAAATACTCACTTCTATCTATAATCCCCTAAAACGAGCACCATTCCCTCCAGGCTCGTAGTGGACTTCCTAGAGTCTTAGAAACCGAGCAAACATATGTGCAAGTGCGTCCGGCTTCCATCTGCGGCGGTTCTATTGACTGAGAAGTAGAGTAGTCACCGCCGGGACTGATGAAAGCTGGTCCCACCATTGGAGCTCCAACTGATCACTTTCAAACGGTCCCAAGTCCATAATCTCCCAGAACACTTTGTCGATAGCTGCGGAAGGCGGAGCGGAGCGTCGAAAACTGGCAACCCAACCATGTTTGGGATCATCCCAGACCTTGTCCGATATCGTTTGCTCTATACCACGGCCCACTCGCATATCTAAAGGCGTATCGGGCAAAAAGGTCAGATATTTAAATCAATGTTCCGAGTTACTAGGCGAGTACCTAGGTGCTAATATCGAGTGTCAAATCGCCCCCATAGTCCCACGTGCTGAGAGCCAGAATAGATTCTGGAATGCCGTGGTGATAGGACAGTTGTCTGGTATTGTACGGTACGTAGGTGCGTAGGTGGTATTGTGACGGCGGCGCTCAGCACCTACTACCGCTGCACCACACCTTCGAAACGGATGCCAGAATTGCAAGCTGCCAAGCTGCAATCTGTAGTAGGTTATAGTATGGTCACGCACCCGTAGGCCTGCCCACAGCGCCTACGTACCGTGCCGTGACAGGTATAGTCGTAGTCGTCGAGTTCCAGGCAGAACCCGGTTGCGACGAATCATCGAACCAAAGTCAACAGTGCGCAATGGTGTCAGTTTGATTCGGGCGAAGTTGTGTCGCTCGAGCACCGTTTGCCACTCTCGAGATACCGTTGCAAAGCGACTCAGTGTACAACCGTCTTGCATCAGGGCTTCTAGGATGAGAAGCTGGATTACTCTAGGCAATTTATTCCACCCCGAGCTCCCTTGCTTCATGTCAGGGTTTGTTGGAGACATGGTGTGATGGAGCGGTAGACTTGAAGTGAATGGTTTTGGGAAGGGAGAACTGCCTCCTGGACAGAGGTACGTCCATATATATATAGCCTAAAAACCGGCCACTTGTAACCCTAAACCTTCCATTTTGTTTTATTTTTTATGTTGAGCATGTCTGGTCGACTGTCAAAAACGTTGCCCAAACCGTAGCTACCTCCGTACAAGAAATAACTTTGACAATAGCGTCAACCACAATTCTCGCGACCTCGCCAGCTGCTGAGCATATCTGATGCCGCAGTCCTCGAGCAAATGGTGCCAGCATCGGTTTGGCCAATTCGAAGGTTATCAGATATGCGGTTGAACAGTACATACCCCGTAGCCCACGAATAGGGCGAAACTGCGATGTCCGACATCTGGGAATTGAAGCAGCTTGAATTCAGTCAGGTCCAGTACGGCAAACATACTCGTTAGGAGGGTTTAATTAACGTTAAAGTCACTTAAGAATTACCAGAAGCGGATCCATTGTGGAGAAGACGCAGGATCTGGATTTGGCGGGGAATCTCGCTAGGCTGCAAAGGGCCAAAGGCAAATGACCCAAGGAACCCAGGGTCCTGGCCTGGCCTGGCCTATTGGCCCACTTCTTGGCAGCAAAATTTCTGGGCGACATAGCATTCATTCATTGCCAAAGCAAAGCAATTCCAATGTCCATCATCAGACAAGAGTCGCTTGCCACAAACCAACCGACCGTCCGCCTCCCGTCAGCACACTGCTGGTTGCCTCAGCGACATCGAACATGACTTAAACACGCGTTTGCGAGCTCAGAAGAATGCTAGCCCCCGTGCGCGGCCTTGCGGGGAGACATGGGCTGGTCGCGACGCCTCGATTCATCCACTTCGCGAAGCAGTGCGCCGCCCCCCGCTCCTTGCCGTCCTTGGCCGCATTCCACCAGCGCCGGTGGGAGTCTGACGTCGCCGTCGCCCCCGCCGCCACTGCTGCTGCCGACACAAATCTTGCCGTTCCCTGCGCCGCCCGCTTCAACGAAATCGGTGTGCAGCAACTGAGCTCCCACGTCTACGACCAGCTCTTCCCCCGTGGCAACACTTCGCCGCCGTCCCCAGAGCTTGTTGAGCATGCTCGCGACCACCTCCGCCGGCACGATCTGCTTGGCAAGAATACCGACAACTCGGCCCCCGTTGCCTTTGACCTGCCGCCCCTAGCAGGAGAAACGCTAGATGAGCATTTCTGCAAGCTTGGCGTCGACGCCGCCGAGCCCTTTCTCTCGCACGCGAAGCAGTTTGCGCGCGCCACCCTCCCACCCAAGCCGCGAGCATGGAAGCGCACGAGTGGTTGGACCAAGTACTATCCGGATGGGCGTACCGAGGAGGGCGTGGCCCCCCAGGGGAACATGCTCGCTTTCGACACCGAAGTCATGTGGAAACACAGCCCCTTTGCCGTCATGGCCTGCGCTGCCACCCCTGACGCTTGGTATGCGTGGTTGTCGCCGTGGCTGCTCGGCGAGACGGACAACGACAGACAGCTGATATCCCTCGGCGACCCCTCGGTGGAGAGGGTTATCGTGGGACACAATGTGGGCTACGACCGCGCCAGGATACTCGAGGAGTACGACCTGAAGCAGACTAGAAACTCGTTCCTCGACACCATGTCACTGCATGTCGCTGTGAACGGTATGTGCTCTCGCCAGCGGCCAACGTGGATGAAGCACAAGAAGAATAGAGAGCTGCGTGACAAAATCTCCCAGCAGACCAACGACATTGAGTTGGCCGAGCTACTCAACAACAACTCGTTTGCCCATGACGAGGAGGAGCTCTGGGTTGAGCGGAGCTCCATCAACTCTCTCCGGGATGTCGCAAAGTTCCACCTCGACGTCTCCATCGACAAGGAGATTCGGAACTCGTTCGGCGAGCTAGACCGCGAAGGCATACTGGCCAAGCTTGACGACCTCCTGACTTACTGCGCTGCAGATGTCGCCATCACTCACCGAGTTTACCAGATAGTCTTTCCTAACTTCCTCCAGACCTGCCCGCACCCTGTTAGCTTTGCTGCACTCCGCCACCTTTCATCCGTTATCCTCCCCGTCAACAAGTCCTGGGACTCGTACATAGCGAACTCCGAGGCAACATATCAGCGCCTCTCGGCGGCTGTCCAGGAACGCTTGATCTTACTGACCGAAAAAGCTCTGGAAATTAAGGGTGATCCCGACAAGTGGGCCAGCGACCCCTGGATGCAGCAGCTTGACTGGTCCGGACAAGAGGTCAAGATGGTCAAGGGAAAAAAGAAGAACGACCCGCCGCGGCCCGCAGCCAGGCAGAAGATGCCCGGCATGCCCAAGTGGTTCAAGGACCTGTTTACCAAGGCCGACTCGCCTATTAATCTCACAGTCCGCACTAGGATAGCCCCGCTTCTTCTCCGTCTATCGTGGGACGGTTACCCCCTGTTCTGGTCCGACAAGTACGGCTGGACTTTTAGGGTCCCGCGCGCCGAACTGGCCACCTACACGGCGCGGCAGATGGTGCCGTGTGACGTCAGTGACGAGACCGTCACGGCGCTGAAGGAGGACCGCTCGCATGTCTACTTCAAGCTCCCGCACAAGGACGGCCCCACGGCCCGGTGCGGCAATCCCATGGCCAAGGGATACCTCGCTTATTTTGAGAATGGAACTCTTTCGTCCGAATTCTCGTATGCAAAGGAGGCGCTCGAGATGAACGCGTCGTGCTCGTACTGGATCAGTGCGCGCGACAGAATTAGGTCCCAGCTAGTTGTCTACGAGGACAGCCTTCCCGGCAGGGACAGCGGGGCCGCTTCTAACGAAGGATTTATCCTCCCCCAAGTTATCCCGATGGGCACCGTCACCCGCCGCGCTGTCGAGAACACGTGGCTGACAGCATCCAACGCAAAAAGGAACCGCGTCGGCTCCGAGCTCAAGGCCATGGTTCGCGCCCCGCCCGGCCATGTCTTCGTCGGCGCTGATGTTGACTCGGAGGAGCTGTGGATTGCGTCTGTCGTAGGCGACGCCACCTTCAAGCTCCACGGTGGCAACGCCATTGGCTTCATGACACTCGAAGGCACCAAGGCGGCCGGCACCGATCTACATAGCCGTACCGCCGCTATTCTCGGTATCACTCGCAACGATGCCAAGATATTCAACTACGGCCGCATCTACGGTGCCGGCCTCAAGTTCGCCGCCCAGCTCCTCCGCCAATTCAACCCTAGCCTGAGCGAAAAGGAGACGTTGGCGATCGCCGCCAAGCTGTACGCCACTACCAAAGGCGCAAAGACCAACAGGAAGGCGCTATATAAGCGACCCTTCTGGCGCGGCGGCACCGAGTCCTTCGTCTTCAACAAGCTTGAAGAGTTTGCTGAGCAAGAGCGGCCCCGCACCCCGGTCCTCGGCGCCGGGATCACCGAGGCTCTGATGAGCCGCTTCATGAGCAAGGGCGGCTACCTTACGTCGCGCATCAACTGGGCCATCCAGTCTAGCGGCGTCGACTATCTTCACCTCTTGATTGTCGCTATGGATTATCTAACGCGACGCTACAACCTCGCCGCCCGCCTAGCCATCACTGTGCATGACGAGATACGCTATCTCGTCGAGGACCACGACAAGTATCGCGCCGCAATGGCCCTGCAAATCGCCAACATCTGGACCCGCGCCATGTTCGCCCAGCAGGTCGGCATCCACGACCTGCCCCAGAGCTGCGCATTTTTCTCCGCCATCGACATCGATCACGTCCTGCGCAAGGAGGTCGACATGGACTGCGTCACCCCTAGCAACCCCATCGCCATCGCCCCGGGAGAGAGTATCGACATCACCGGTCTGCTGGCAAAAGGCGACCGCGCCCGCCTCGACCCGGCCATCGTCCCGGACCCGCGCTACGCCCCCAATCTGGACGGCATCTCCTACACGCCGCGCAAACCCGTCATGCAGGAGCTCGTCGAGGCTGAGGGTATCGACTCCGCCGCGCAGCTGCGCTTCATCCGCGCCCAAATTACCAACGTCGATGCCGAGTTTAGGGAGATCCTTAAAGAGATCAAGAAACCGGCTCCACCCACGACTACCACAAAAAACGTGTTACCATATCAGTCCAATGCCCGGCTCGTGTCCGCCCCCCAGCGGGAACCCATGTCGGTGACGGAAGCCCTCGGAGTAAACCGCTACCACAGCAGCACGTCGTTTGACCGCAAGTGGGACTGGGAGAGGATCAGACAAGGTTCCAGGACTACAGGCAAGCCCTCGAGGCTGTGAGTGGGGTCAGCCAAGGCCGCAATGTAAATTACATTATCCGTCGGGTTGACATTTTCTTTTGTCTTGTATATAAGCTGTCATCATTGCAAGGGGAGTCGGCTCGTCTTTCTGGTTATTGGTAAAGCATTTGTATATATATATTAAGGGGGGCGACCTGCTAGTGCAGCAGGATCGGAAGAGGTTACCTCGTGTGCTAGGTGTTCAAGGGGGGTGTGAGCTAGTATCGCCTATTTGGTTAGGGTAATCATGATACGGTGTATAAATATCTATAACCAATAGCTAAGGATTAGGATCTCAATCCCTCGTCACATCCGCCTTCTCATTCTACCGCGAGTCGCCCCTGGCTTAATTCCCGGATGGTCAACCAAGTCCTCGCGTTAATGCTCCTATCATAAGTACCAGTAGTCACGGTTCCTGTCCATGTTCTATTGATATGCACCAGAGCTGTACTATGGCTCGATGGAAAGGGGGAAAATCAGTCGAACTTCTTAGGTGACGAAGTTGAGCATGAGTACCTAGGACGGAGTTGCTGAGCAGCTAGATCGTTACTAGTAGGTAATTAATTAGCTAAGCTACGATAATCTGAAACCCGCCCCCCCCCCAAAAAAAAGAGAAAACAATCCGCTAGAGCGCCGTGCTACCATACGCAAATGTGCGTAAAGTTTATTTACGTGCGTCGTGATACGATAATCGTCTGAGAGAAGCATTCCACCCACCCCTTGCCCCCCTTTCCGCCCGAGTTACCTCCCAAACAATACAGCAAACCACCTCTCCTCGAATCTTACACATACAGGGTCAGTGGGAAGATCTACACGAGCCAAAGCGCCGCAGAGGAAAACGGACCCCGCCCAAAAACACAACACTACAAACCCTACAGCATAGGTAATCTTTACTCATCATACAATATGAAAAAGTTGCAGTTAAGCCCCGCGGCAGGAGGTCTTGAGAGGCTTTTCTTGTCAGTAGAGAACGGTATCCTCCTTGTCCTGGTCCATCAAATCATCGCCGGTGTCATCGGCATCCTTATCGCCAGCGTGAACCCTGGATGGTAGAGCCAGAGCGTGGCGGTTAGTATCTTGCAAAGGTGTGGGCTCACCGACCGAGGTTTCTGGCTGTTGAGACGGGGGCGGGCGAGGAACTCCCAACTCGTCGAGTCTCCGCTCTTTGCTGCGCCTGAACTCTTGCTTCTCCCGCTCTACCGTCTCTTCAGCTGCACGTATTTGCTTTTCGATAGTGAGTTCATCGTCTGCGGTGAGCTGCCACGGCCGGTAGTGCTGGGGGGAGTTGTTAGCATGCGAAAATGTAAGGTATGGAAATCTGGCGTTACGACTTACTAGTCTCGGCTCGGTCCTAGTCCGGAGACTCCGCGCCGCTGTCATCATGCTCGAGTGCCGGGTTCGCATCTTGCACAGGGGTTAGTTAAACAGCTTCTCGGCTTCGCAACTGGGGGAGGGGGGGCAGTGACGCCAACACATACCATTTGCTCATCAAACTCGACTTGGGCAATCTTGCGGACTCGGTTGAGCCTTGCTAACTTCTCGGCTCTGCGCCTGTCATCCTCGGCTCTCTTCTGCTGTACCTTCTCGTGCTGACGCCGGTCCATCTCCAGCCTCTTCTTGTGCTGTGAGCTGGATGTAGTCTGACTTAGCGTGTTGAGCAAGCCCCCGAACAAGCGCTGCCCCCGTTTCTTTTCCTCCTGGCTAATGTTACGGCGGGCCGCTGCTGCTGCTGCTGCCGCTGCTGGCGGCACAAGAGGCCTCTGCGTCATTGGTTTGGACCGCAAAGCTGGCTCTCCCATGTCGCCCGGTCTCTCGCCGCGCGCTGCTTCTAGTGGCTCTTGCTGCTTCGATGGCACCCCAGCCGGCGAAATGGTTCTGCCAGAGGCCTGGTCGACCCCATTGCTGTCGTGGCTGTGGCTGGCATCGCGGGGAAGCGCCCCGCCGTCGCTTGCCTCAACCTTAACACGTTTCAGCGCCTCATCGTCAGTAGGCGGAGCTAGCGAGGCTTTTCGTTTCTGCGAAGCAGTCTCGACCTGATCGAGCATCTAGTCGTTGCCCCGCAGAGTGTCGCACGAGCTGCCACAATACTGAGATGCAGAAATATCCGTCAAGGTTGCGCCGTCGCTGCTGCTCGTTTCAAGTAAGCCGGGTAAGATCTCGAATGGGTGTAGTCCGTCGGCCGTGACAAATTATCAAGGCTGTTCTTAGGGAGTCGAAGCAAGTGCAGGCAGGTGTGTCTGAGTGGGTTCAGCAGTGTAGAATCGCAGCCAAAGTCGCTGCGGGCGTTGAAACTTGGGCACTTGGGGACTAGGGAAATGCAGCTAGTGCCTTCCACCAATGACGATACGTAACAGAGGTGCAAGGTTGAGCTGCGTGCCCACGTCTGCACGCTCCGGGAATGGCGCTCTCCCCCGCCTCGCCTCATTTGGTTTTCATTGACCCCACAACTCACGTCCTAAATAAGAATCCCTCCCCCCGGCGTCTCTTTCCTGTATTCTTGACCCTTTGCCCCTTCTTCTCATATTATTCGCAATTGCACTAGTATTCAACGCGGCGGCGGTCTTGTACTCTCTATCTCGAGACCCCATCCGCAATGGCAGATCAACAATCGCGGTTGAAGACCATTAATGACAACCCCATCGGGAAAGGTCTCGATGCCTTCCGTACTTCGTTCACTTCGATTTGCGAAGGAGCCGCTATCTCCTACACCCTAGATGCGTTGGAGCAGCTTGGCCAGGAAGGTGAGAAAGTCAGCGTAGCTTTGTTCTTATTGGTCCCTCTAATTATCGTATAGACCTCCGGAATTTCGCTATTGACCTTATTTCGGTATTGCAAGGCCTCAAGGCCTCTCGTCTACTCCCCTCCAATAGCAGTAGTAAACCCCTCTTAGACAATATGTTGAGACTTAATCTCGCTATTAGTTCTAACGACTTCGACCTTGACCGTATCAAACCTCTCCTTATTTTAGCTCTCGATAGCCACTCTTATGATACCGTTATTTGGAAAAACGTCTACGACGTCGTTATAGAACCCACCCCGCCCCCCCCCGACCTATAGCATCTTCCCTCCAACAAACGCCCTCGCTACGCACTACGGGCAGGTTAGTGAACTCCTCCGAGTACCATAATAATATTGACCCGGTCCTGAAGTCGGAGCTTGGTCTTGTCTATGTCGATATTCGCCATCTCCGCGAAGCATACTTTGGAGGCGTAACAAGTCTTGAAACAGCGTCCAAGACCGTTTTCAAGAAGTGCGTGGACGGTAGTAATCCGCTCTTTGGTAGCGAAAGGTGGAGCGAATGGCCGGTAGGTGCGAAAGAGGAGCACGTACTGGCCTGGTTTGGCGACCAAATCCCAAAGCTAGAGGCATTCACAGGAGACTACAATTCCACCTCGACACCTCGACGAAAGTTGTTGGCGCAACCGAATACGCCCCTCCTAAGCCCCAGAAGAAAGCGCAGTATGCATATCAGATTCGTGAAGGATGACTTCACGTACGACCCACAGCAGGAAAAGATTTCAGATATCACTAGTCGCATGTCCTCGTACCAGGTGAACTGAAGAGTAACCCTTCTGCCGATATACCATCGATTACAATGATCTCTATCGCTACGTATACGAGAGAGGTGCTCTCCGCTCAAGATACTTGTCGTTTCGTCTTAGGCTTCACCCTCTATGGGTCCTATATGAATATATACGTTTGACCGGCTAGGGGGGATTGCGTCTGAAAAATTCGATATCAATAAGGAAGGACAGCAGTTCGTCTCTACGATACTCGGATTCTTGTGGATGAACGAAGAGGAGCTCGGCTTCGATCTGATATTTATAATAGCTAACGGTCAACGGTTCATTGTAATCAAGCGGAACGGCTTAACGGAGCGCCTCGTTATTGACGGGGTAATACAGCGGATACGCTATATAGTTGGCTGAGCGACGACTTGTTGGAAGGCCCATCGTAAAGAGGATCCGCAAAACCCGTTAGTTATTAAAGATTCGTGGCAATGGCCAAACCGAGACGAGGAAGGCGACTTGCTCCGGGAGGCGACAGGTAAAGGCGCGGTCAAGGTGGCCCGATATTATCATCATGAGACGGTCCAGGTGAACGGTATAGACGACGAAATTCGATGCAATGTTCGAAAGGGGCTGGACATCACGAGGACTCCTCCACAGAGATATCTCCATTAACAACCTCATGATCAACGAGGACGAAAATAACCCTTCCCCACCTTCCTTCTTAATTGACCTTGACCTCGCCGTCCGAATGGAATAAGAAGGTGCCTCCAGAGCGAAGGGAAAGACCGGCACAAGGGCTTTCATAGCTATCGGGGCTCTTCAGGACGAGTTACATTCGTTTCTACACGATCTTGAGTCATTCTTCTGGGTGCTCTTTTGGACGTATATCCACTATAACGCCCAGGGCAAAGATATTGAGTCAACCGCATTTGACAGCTGGAATTACCAGAATGACCACTTACTAGTTCAGTCTAAAAAACGGCGAGATCGTTAACGAGGAAGATTTTATCATTTCACTTTATGCTACTAGCCGTTAATCCCGTAGGTCAATAGACTACGGAGGAAAGTATTCCCAGCCGGAAAAAGGTGGAAGCGGCTGGAACCAGAGCTCTATTCTTCGATGAAGCAGATCCTTCGCGATGCTCGGAAGGACCCAGAGGTGTTGGCAGATAGCATTATGTAGCGTTTCACAGCAAAGCTCTACTCTCGAATGAGAGGCATTCTTCGGCAAGGCAGGAAAGACTTAGGTTGATAGATGTTTGTGACAGGCAGAAAACTCTTATTAGCAATGCTAGTATCTTAGATTAAGAAACTACAAAAAGTAGTATTTCCGAGTGGTAGGAGGTGAGAAAGAGAGGATACAGGATTATATACTCGGATAAGGGAGATTATTAGGAAAGCCCGAAAGGAAACAAAGGTGTCGTTATCTCCATAGCTTCCAGCTCCGTTTCTCCCACTTGCCTCGGTGAGTTCTAACTGTACTAGCGTTGGAGACGAGAGGGGATAGAAAGGCTACTATGACACAGGTATTAGGTACCCACACGGTACTTGTAAGAAACTTGTGCGCTTGGTGTCGAAGCCGCCGAAAATGGCGACACGCACCAGCCAAATTCGGCTGCCAGAACACCGCATTCTCTGTTTCCGGAGTAATATAGATATAAGTAGAGTTAGAGATGGGTATTGGGTTCCTATTCAGATGGGAAAAATATCAAGTCATTTTTGTTTGCTTTTTTTTTTGGAGAGATCACGGCATGCATGGCATCGCGAGATACGCCACGCCGCTCGTGTGTTTTTCCTCGCTGATAACGAACGGGAGGGGACGAGAAAGGATTCCATGCGCCGTTCGTAAGTTGGTTGGCGGAATCAAGATACGAGTTCCCCTGCGTAAGCAAGCAAGCAAGCACCCGAGGAGGGCTGGGGTCACTTCTGCTCTTTGTTCACTCCCTTCAAGTCAACTTGCAACTACTGCTTTACTTCACTTGCCAGCAGTTTCAACTAGATTCTACAAATAATTGCTAATGGCTAGCTGGTCGTTGACATATGTTCGTCCGAGAGTTTAGATGCCCTCTTTCCAGTCCAAGGCGAGAGAGACTCGAGATGTTATACTCTAGAAAGGAAACAATAAGCGTGTTAATACGAGACGCCGAGTGTCGAGTGAGAGAACAACCCAAACCAACGGCATTTCATCCCTTGGCCTAGCAGCAATCACCATTTCTGAAAACACGCTGGATATGTGATCAAGACTGGAAGGCTAGCACATCTTGATATAGCTTCAGCAACGACGTTGAATGTTATCAGGCCATTACTGCCAAGTGCAAGTTGGCCTAAGCATGGGCACCTAGTTGTGTAGGTTTTCATTATCCATCACGAGCAATCCATACCGATACCCGCCGCGTTCCTCTCCGCTGTCAACCCACGCTTATCTCTCTTGCGCTCCCGTTTTTTTTCTTCTTTCAGACGGTTTGCCGTGACAACCAACTACCTGGGAAAGACTATGGCATCGCTCCCAGCTTGAACTCCAGCCCAGCCAGACAGACGCGATATGATTCCCCGCTTTTCTCATGATTGATCCATCCTTCTTCCTGTGCGTCATCAATTCAGATGACCGTCACAACACGGGCGCTACCAACCCCCCCCCCCCCAACACACCGCCGTCCCCTCCCATGTAATATGAACTGCATAAAACGAGAGAGAAAAAAAGTTGACGAGATCGAGTTGCGTTTACTGGTCCATACCCCCATCATCATCCTCCGGCTGGTCAAAAAGGAAATTCGCTGCTAGTTCCTCGTTCTTGTCGCACGCAAAGTACGCCTGGACGGCTTGGTCCTGAGTAAATCCAAGCCGAACAAGGCGCTCAATGGCGTCGCGCTCCTCCTCGGTGACTGAGATCTGGTGCGCTCCTGGAGGGAGCGGGGCATCGTCGTCACCAGCCGTCTCGCTAAGAAGGCTCAAGAACTGGTCCGGGTGCTGCGCAATCAGCTGAGCAAGTTGCGGGTTGCCAGCACCAAGCTGTTGCAAGATGGGCTCCAGCATGTGGGGCTGTTGCTGGACAACCTGACGGAGTTGCTGAAACTGAGCATTATGTCTGAGAAAGTCCAGATTCCCTAGGCCTTGTTGTTGGCCGGCGGCGGCGGCGGCGGCGGCTGCTGCCGCTGCCGCTGCTGCCGCACCGCTAGCAGTACGCGCTCCGGACCCCGGACGGCCTTGTTGGGCCGCGAGGTCAAAAAGATTTACTGGGCCGTCGTCATCTCCACCGGCGGCAGCGGGAGACGCGGCAGCACCGGCAGTCGCGGCGGCGGTAGGTTGACGTGGCGCGGCGGCAGGGGGAGGCTGAAGGTTTTCGGGGATTCCCTGAATATAAGTCAGCTATAGGTCTTGGCCATCAGAGGGGGGGCGCATACCGTGAGGAGGTACTCGACAGCACGCTCGGGGTTGAAAAACGCGGCACGCATGGCAGCATCAATCTGGGATCGCTCAAATCCCATAGCCTCCATATTCGCAATAGCCTCGGCGCGTTCTGGGCCAACCGTCAGGGCATTGTCGTTGAAGCCGCCGCTCGCAGCAGCTTCCGCGGGGGCGGTGCGTGTGGGGGTAGGTGTGGATGGCGCGGCGGCTGCGGCAGTGGCAGACTGCGCAGGAGCAGCCGGCGGCGCAGGAGTTGAGGCCGGGACCGGGGCAGCAGGCGTAGCAGGCGGCACTGAAGAAGATGACTCGCCAGCGGGCTTAGGCTCTTTCGGCTGCGTCGCCCCATGTTAGCCTAACTAGACATCACTACCGCCGGATGGCGGCACGGCGGCGGGGCGACCAGTCCGTCTTACCTTGTTCACGACGCAAACCACAAACCCCTTCTCCTCGATCTTGTAAGACTCGACCGTCTCCTCATCTTTCAGGATTTTGCCTGGTAGTGTCAAGTTAGCTTCCCCAGCAGGCACCAAGCTGCCTCCACACTATTGGGTGCTTACCCGAGTAGATGAGCTTCTGGAGCTTGGGCTCCCAGCCACGCTCGTCGGAGATCTTCTGCTTGACGCTTGAGATCTATAGTGTTGTCAGTCTGGTGCTCGAGGGGCAGAGAGGGACGAGGTCGGGCGGCGGATGATGTCGATGTTCGGAGTTGGTGGTGTGTAGAAGACGGCAGAGCGGCCAGCGGGCACCCAAAGCCCGACGGTGGCGGGGAAGGAAGCTGTGCGATGAGGGGTAACCTACGAGGTCGGTGGGCTCGACATCGAGCGTGAACTTCTGTTGCTTGAGATCCTGTAGAACGGCAGCGACGGCGACGCATTAGCAAGGTATCGGCGGTGAGGGGCGGGTGAGGGGCAGATGCGCGGGTGCGGGCGCGAGGCGAGTGGCAGGTCCCGTTACTGGTGCCCCCCAGGCTGAGCTGGGCGACGGACCAGACAGCGACTCTTGGACATACCTTGAAAGTCACCTTCATGGTGGGCGATGAGGTGCAGCGGACAGCTGCGTCGTCAAAATCTCGCGAAAAGTGTCTTGCTGGATGAGTTGACGGACGGGGGCAGCTAGCCAGAGCGGCAGGGGACGGCTTTCTGGAGGCTGGAGTGCAGTGGTGTTGTGACGAAAGGGCACTTCCTCGCTGAACGGCGACGAAAAGGTGTTGAGGCGGAGAATTATTAGAGGCCTACGGGAGCGCGCGGCACTGTGGTCGCCTGGCTAGCAACAAACTGCAAGCGCAGGTGCACGCAGTGGTGGGCGCTGGCTCGCTGGGGAACGAACCGTCGGCCCACTATTTCTGGTCAGCCTCACCCAAGGAGGCCATCCAGTTGGTCGCCAAACCTTTGGCCCTAGCCGCTAATCCTGGTAGTTACCTAGTTCGTTCTGAACAAGCAAATCATTCCAGCTGCCTTGTGTTGACGACTTGGCTATTAAGGCTGGAGAAAGGCAAGGTGTCAAGGCATCAAGGCATCGCTACCTTACCGTAAGGTACTTGCCGCTATCCGAGAGGGCGTTGAACCGGCTTGAACCCTACCCAAAGAGTGAAGCTCCAAACCAAGTCTCACGTGCACCTTCCGATGACAAGTCTTTCCAAGGCTTAAAATCAACTCATCGACAAGGCCTCCAAAAAAAAGTGAAGGTGGGAGTGTTGTTTGTGCCTTAAAGTTGGACCACAGTCTACGTCTTGTCGTTTGATAGCTCAAGCTTATGCAAGCTAGAACATGTCTTACATTCCTCTGTTCGACTTCAAGGCAAGCTTTTCGGTAGCAATGGCAAAGAAGGCATGTTGCGCTTTCTCGCTCTCAGAGACCGCGGTTCAGAAGAAAAATATATGATTTTATTTTCCACTGCCGCATGTTACTCATAACTATCGTCATGAAAGGCGGCTTTCAAATCAACATTTCTAACCGTTCCTTTTTCAGGAACAACGCCGCGCCAAGGTATCACAATTGGTATCTCGTTCCACAAAAAACCGCCCGCCAAAATATTCCAGGCCGTTTCCAACACAAGGAAATTTTTAAACGTGATAGTCGTGCGCCAGCTGCTTACTCAGCTCAAGAGTCGGGGCATGGCATGTCGTCACTCGTTCCACAAGACAAACGAAATAGCTTCGTCACCCGCCCTTCACACCTCGGTCACTGGCGAAGCGTCTCCATCGCCCGGCGTCTTAAGCTTTCGGCTATTGTAGCCAGAAAGACTAGTCCGGCAACCAGCGCTCAAAATCCAGTCGGGAATCGGGGGCGTCATTTTCCTCTCAGACTCATTGGCTGCCGTCTCGTCCTCCTCGCGAATCTCGGGTGAGCTGCTCTCCGTTCTCTGATGGAAAGAATCGAGCGACCCCTGCCTGCTTAGAGTGCTTAGAGGGCTCGGGTGAGCCGGGAGACTCCCGCTGCGCATGCGCGTGAGACTGCGAATGCTCCGTATGCTTTGCCTGTCTGTTATTTGGCCCGCATTTGGCGCCGCCAGGACCACAGTCCCTGGTGTCGTGATGGCCGGTGGCGCAGGCGAGTCGGAGCGGAAGAGAGGGTGAATGTGAGATTCACTATGCGATGAGTGTTGCGTCAACGTTGGCCGCAGCGTCTGCTGGGAATTTGTTGAGGCAGGGCTGTAGCTTCGGCTCCTCCGTCTTGACCGCGGCGGCTCCAGGTCGAGAGGTGTGCCGGGACTTGGACTTCTGCTTGTGGTCGGACTGGCGGGGATAGTTTCTAGGAATCGGGGCAGCGGCGGCGATGATGTCTCCAGAACAGTCTGTCGGTTCTGTGGGTCGACATTTGAAGTGTCCCAAGAATCGAACCCATCCCCGTTGGACCGCGGCCTGTGATCGTGAAGAGAAGCCACTTCGAGCGAGGCAGGTCGACGAGATGACCGCTGACTTCCAGACAACAGACGCGTCTTGGACGATATGGGCCGCACGACGTGGGATAGCGATGATCGAATCGAGCTCATAGTTTCGGTGGCTGACCGTCCGCTGCTGGATCCTGGCGGGGTGCGCGAGTCGACCGACATAGTGCTGCTGGTTTTTGTTGCTGGCGCACTCGTGTGGTGGTAGGCGATGGCCTTGATGCGCTCGTGCGATCGGTTACGGTCCTCCTCGACCTGGAGCGCTACGCCGCCGTTGTTGCCCTCTATCCGGCTTGCGACAAAGTGGAAGACCAAGAAAACAAGCTGGGCAGCAAACGCGAGCCCAAGCGTCACTGAAGCACCGATCAAGAACTTTGTCGCCTGAGAGCCCAGTATTGTGTTGGGTAGATCGGCGCTGCCAAGGCAAATCATAGCGGCCACGGACACGGCGGCGGCGACAACACAGAGAAATAGTGCCGCTCCAAACCAGATGCCACTGAGTTTCCTCAGTTGAGGAATCCGGGGCCGCGACGCGATATGTGAGTAAGACAGACAGGAAACAGCAACAAGTGCCACGGCCTCGAGAGTTCCGGCGACGATAGCTGTTATCCTGACCGGAGATGTGGAATCTGTTAATGATTGGGCCAGAACGATGTGAATCACCAGGATTGCCGTAGTTGGAAGGATGGCAATCGCGCCCAGCGCTGCTGGGAGCGCGTGTGGAACCGCCATGTCTTATATGGCTGCCAGAACCAGAAAAGCGGAGAGCAAGAGTCTACCGGCGTCTCCGCCTACGCCAGTGGGAGCGCAGATTCAAGCTGCTATGCGCAGCTGGTAACAAGAGGCCGAGTTAAACTAGAGGTTGAAAGGACGGGGCCTGGGGCGCGGGCCGGATGTCTTGCTAGTTGTTACCGCAAGCGTCACCAGAACGTCGAATTGGTCTGCCAGAGACGTAGGCCCAGCATAAAGTGCCCGGTCTCAGCCGCGGCGGATGGTGGAGATGGAGGGCAAAGCTTGTCCAGTCGACAGCAAGCGTGCCCTGGTAATAGCGTGATAGGCGAGACACAGTTTGCCAGCCGCGTTCATCTGTGTCCAAGACGGCAATAATGGGCGTCCAGAGAGGCCGGCCTGTAAGTGGGCGCGCGTCCGTTGGCCGTTTCGTGGCAGGCCAGCAGCGTGAACAGAAACCAGGGAGAGGTCCAAAAACAAATATCGTGGATGACGGGGATGACGGGGGGGAGGAAGAAAGAAGGCTAGGCTAAGGCTAAGGCCTCGATATCAGGTCTCAGAAACCTGTCAGCGAACCCCAGTTCGCGGGTGTCTGATAACTGTGGGTGGTTATTGGCTGCGGCGATGCAATGCAAGGCTCATGGCGGCAGCAGAAGCTAACAAGTAGTAAAGAACGAACAGCCTCTTTGGATGGCGGATGTATGGATGAATGAACGGACTGGACGAGACGAGACTGGACGGGAAAAATGGCAGCAAGAGGTTCGGAGAGAAGCTGGGGATTCGCTGGAAGGGGTGCAGTGGGCTGGCCGGCTAAATGTACGCACGTAGCACACTCGCTCGTACCGTACACACACAGATAGATGGGAGGAACGACGCGACGCGTAGAGCTCCCACCTCCTACCCCCCGGCCCCGATGGGCTGTTGTTGTTCGTCCCGGGCTGCAGGTTGATGGATGCCGTGCCTCTGCGAACATGGATCCAATGGATGGTTGTTGTGGAGGTGTGGGTGCGCGGAAACCACCTGGATGCCCGTTGGATGCCTTGCACCGACAGGGATCAGCCCTGCTCGTGCTGATGAGGGCCCGCTCGACCCTCCCAACCGATGCTAGGGTCGATGCCCCCGCCGCCAAGCCCAGGGGAAAACAAAACATGAGTGTAAAAAAGACGAGATCGGGCGCCACTCGACTCCCCGCCCTGCCCCTCGTGGCCGTGGCTTGCGCAAGTGCCCGAACGGCCTGGCCTTGGGGCGGCGGCGCCCCCAGGTGCCCAGGTCTGACCTAACGGGTGTCTGCCTGGTTGACAAGTCCTTATTTTTGTCTTGCTCTATCGCCTCGCCGATCTTGAATGGCGTTTTCGCTATTCCCTTTTGACCGCAAAAGCATTTCGTCGAGTTTCAGAACATCTCTTCTCGAATTCCAGCTCAAGCCACCCGGTGCCTGCCAATGAAAGTCGGCGGTAGAAAGCACCAACCTGGAAAAAAAAACCCTCCGAGGGCGATCAGTCATCGTAGCAAGCCATTGGCTGCTAACTCAAATTTTCTTATAATTGCTGATATTCCGTAGAACCCCCAAGCCCGGCTTGCTGTGCACTAGGCCTGTGCCAGACTCCAGATTACAGATTCGTCTTGGACAGCCATTCGTCGCACTAAACAACATTGGTTGGCACTTATCGCGTACCACGACAGGGGATTGAAAACTCCCACGTACATAACTGGGAGGGTCTTGAGCAAGCACTTGCGGCGGTAGATACCGAATTGTAAACTTGGTACGCGCTAAGTAGGGGTTTGGGTTCTCTGGCATTCTGTGAGGCGCCACAGGGTCTTCAATACCTGGTCTGCCACGACAGCGCCTCTCGTCCGCACCCCTAGCCTGAGGCAGCTTCATGACCGACAGCGAGATGACTCGCACATCTACTGTAGAGTACTGTACGGAATAGCCCTGGTAGTTATCCGAGCCCCGAATCCTTCTCTCGAACGCGCCTCGGCGGACAGTCCAACAACGTTGCAACAGACGGCCGCGTCTAAACGTGTTGGTGTAAACGCACCCGTGGACGGTCTAGCGCGCGCCTTGACTACCATTTGTAACGGACTACCGAGTAAGGGTTGCTCCGTCTCTCGTACGCATCGGGGTAAACACCAACCGGCTGGCGGTTTGTTTTGCCTACCCAAAACATGTGGCTGAGCTTATTCAGACACTAGTGTAGTACTCGCGGATTGGGGCTGACGGAACACCATTCGGAGTTACCATGACCCTTTGCGTCTTCCGGAAGACACAATGTGCCCGCTAGGCAGCCTCTTCATCTTGCACTTGCCACCGATGACGTGAGGAGAGAGATGGGCGATTGATAAGAGTAAAACAAAACAAAAAAGTAGCAGATAGAAAATAGACGCTAAGGCGAGCCGGCCACACTTTTCCGAGACACGGCGGGCTCAACTAGGCAAAATGCGGCGTGGCAGCGGCGTGGGTCTGCCCTTTCATTATTCCATTTATGGCAGTGGTTCAGATGGATTTGAAACACTGAAGCATGCAGCCAGCGGTTACACCAGATAGCTGGAGTCGAAGATGAAAGAAACAAAAAAAAAAAAAAAACACAGAAAACATCTCGGATCTAAGACCTTGCAGACAAGACGTTGGCGAGAGATGAAAGTCGGCACTAACAATGCAGGTACGATACCCCGACATAAAATGCCTGCACTGCCCGCTGCCAGGCTTCCAACGGCGGCTCCCGCCCATGTGGTTTGTGGCTGGCGCATCACAATCTACGGATACCTTACCGTACCGACCCCCATGCACACTAGTTCGCCCTGCAAGGCCCTACCCAACAAAGCAAATCCCCGTAGGGCCGGCCAGCCGATCTGCTAGAATCGAGGCTCCATCCAGCATGTGTGGAGGGGGAAAGCATGCAAGCGCGGTGCAAACTCGTCATTTTGTCCAGACAACAATCGACCGGAACCCCACGCCCATCTGGCCTTGTTTCCATTATTAGCTGCCATCCCTGGCAAAGGGAGACAAGACGGCGGAGACAGCCAGGGGGGGACAAGGTTCTCGTTCTCTCTTGTAGAGTGGCACAGCTGCCGGTTTGTGCTCCTGAAGGTTGCGTACCCTATGTATGTGCCACATTTCCTTTGGTCAGAAAGACTGGAGGGAAAAAGAAACATACAGAACTGTGCCTGCTGGGCCTTTGCGTGCCGGCGGATAACACAGTGCTTGGTATCAGGGCCGCTTCCTTCGCTTCCTTCCGACTCTTCTCGTCGCCGAGGGCCCGGAGAAGAAAGCATGGGAGAGAACGCCGAGAGCGAGCAGATAGACGGGTCTAGGGGCCAGGGAGAGAGAAAAACATAAAGGACATTTATGTCTCTTGGCTATCGCAGACCCAACGAAGACCGGGCGTTTTGTGTTCGTCTCTGTTCTCGTGCGCCTCTCCCCGGTTTGGGCCTGTTGTGTATAAAGGTATTGTATGCTGCAATTATTCCGCACTCATTTCCAGACTTGGAGCCGTGCAACAGGCATGCTCCCTGTTCTCCATCGCGTTCGTCTCCCGGTTGACGTCGAATTGCGCTGCCCAATGGGCTCCAAGAATACTACTAAAAATTAACGAGCATCGAGGCGGGCGCAGGATGTCCCTTGCACCCACGGGGAAATTCCCCGCCTGTGCGTTCGTCACCACACTGGCAGGCCATTGGCTGACGGCGGCCCAGAGCGGATCCGGGCTCAAACGAGTGCCGAATGGCAGCAGAAAGCTAAAAGGGAGGATCCTTATTAGTCTTTCTATGATCTCCAACTCGGAATCTCACAAACCCATCTCTTGGATGGAGACTTGGAGACTTAATCTCTCCCTTGCTGGGACTGCCCGACAATTCGCGGTTTGTTTACTGACAGCAACGAGAAACAGAAACAAACAACGAGAAGAAAAATTTCAGCATTGCTCCGGGCAACTGGAGCAAAAATTGCAGACTTTGCGCAAATGGAAACAAACATGTGGGATCTTGCCTTGAATAAATCAACATGTGGATATCCGGCGTCGGAAGTCGTCGTGCGTGTGTTGCAACCAAGGCGCAGGCTCTGCTATCTGCCCATGGGCACAGCACAGGGGAGCAATCAATGTATTCGGACGGCGAACATGGCGTCATTGTCGATGGCCAAACGGCCGAACCAGCCCATTATTAGTTCCGGTGTACTGGTATGCATGCCTGTGGTTAAGATCTAACTGCGCGAACATGTAACCATCCTTCGTTGACTCTGGCTGGCGCTCTCATTCGTTCGTCGAGACTTGTCCAAGTATTTATCTTAACCCGGCTTGTATGCCCTGTTCTCTCCCTGTACAACCCCTTCTTTCTATCCAGTGTAACTCGCCGGGAGGCGGGATGGAGCAGGCCCAGAAGCAGCATCATTCTTTCTCTTTCCAACTCCTATCGTCGGGATTGAAGCTGTTCTCGTCTGCAGCCGCTAAGAGATGGTCTCGCCGCCACCTAGCATCTAGCCCTGTCCCCCCTCTCTAAGCCTGGCCAGTGCATATTTATGTCGAGGCATCAGACATGAAACATCAAACCTAAAACATATGCCCATAGATTGGCTACCCCCTCGGGAATAACCAGCTTCATGGGACGGGAAAGACGGTCGGTTCTGCTGCCAGATTCCAGGCACATGTCATGCTATGGCTACACGAACAGCCGGACCTTGGAAGGGGTCGGAAACGCAGGCACCCTTCATTCTACGGCGAGAAAAAAACCTCTTTCGTGCCCTCGTACCTGAGAAGCCACCCCGCCTGCTGTTCCGGCGTTATGCTCTTCGGCAATACTTGTGAAGTCCCCGGATGCTCCATCGGCCATCGAATATTCCTAAGACTGCCCACCGTATGAGGTTGTCGAGAAATAAGTAAATCATCCAATAAAACAAAACAAACTCTTCGGTAACGTCCTCCATCAGGGCTGCCCGCTAGCACGCACATGTCAGAGAGGGGGTTTTGATCCGGTTTATTTTCTCGTGAAGCAACCAACCACGGAGTTGGCCGGGCCCGAAACCTCTGGAGCTTCGGACCGAGACTCGTTCTTGGACGGCCCCGGAGCGGATATCGTGTCGACCGATATTTTCTGCGGCAAACGGGCCTGGTCTGGTCCTGTTTTCTTGGTGGTGCGTACTGTTCCTAGCCGTCCACCCGGGTCTTCATTCTCGCTGGCCACTCGGCAGGCTGCACGAATCATAGATAATCCCCCCCGACCCCCTCCTTCTTCTTCCCGGCTTCGAGAGCCGAGTTTAGTGGGGGGGGGGGGACATAGAGCTTACCGGCCTGCTACTCCTTTACTAGACGGGCAGGTCAAAGGACCAAGCCAGGTAGCCCCAACCTGATAAGAGAGAGATAGTCAGGCAATCAATACGTAGAAAAGAAAGGGGGCAGGCGGCGCTGACCGTAGATAAACACAGCCCACGCGAGCCTCCATGGTCTGACAAATGCTCGTCGAGATGCAGCTTGGACTGGAACAGTGCCGTCTTAGTTGTCGATGTGTTAGCTACCGTCGACGATTCCCGCGACGTGACCACAGACATGGGATGCCAAACTGCACGGTCTCCCTTCCATTGTAGGCCGCAGAGCCTTGGATCACAGCTATGGTGATAATGCAAACGCATTGTTTGCCACATATCATCGTCATTGTCTTCACCCTTGGCACAGAAAGGGTTCCTACCATGCGAGGCTCGTAGTCCGACGTAGATGCCCCTGTCTTCAAAGCCTCCCTTTCTCATACCTAGCACGCTCGACGCCCCAATGCTTCCGTCGTCCGACGTCGTACGCTCCCTCCAACGGGGTTAGTGACGGCGGTTGGCATTGCAATGTATGCGTCGTTCACAGCACGAACAGACCAAATCCGTCCAAGCTCAGAATTCCCGCCGAGAGTCCTCGTCTCACAATGAAAAAACTAGTCCATTCTTTCCACTTGTTGTTATTTGTTCGTTTTTGTCTCCCAGTTCGAAGACCACGGAGCGAGCGATCGAGCATTGCCATGAAACAGGCCCATGTATGAAGGCGGGGAAGCCGTTGTCGAGTGGTCTGGTTGGACGAGAGAGAGAGAAGAGGTCCCATGTCGACCATACACAGCAGCAGCAGGAAGCAACCCAGATACAGGGCAGCACTTTAATTAGCGCAATGATACGTTTAGTATACGGAACAACCTAAACACAGCATCACCCCCCTCCCCCCCCTAAAACCCTGTCGGTCCGGAGAAAATGTGTCGGTACATACATTATCTAGTGTCGGTAGGACCGCCTAGCTAGCCAGTCACTATAAGCTACGGGAGCAAAGTCGGGTTCTTTCCGTGTGTGTTCTGATCTGGTGGATTCTGACCCCTATTTACATGGCCCTAGTGGTGATTCACCAACTCCTGGGAAGGTAATCAGTTTGAGTCGGGATCTAGATTCAGGAGGGTCCCAGAAGAGTGCATTTGTATCTGACACTGTATGCCGCAGTAAAACTCCAGCAGTTTACGAAATACTGATACTGAAACTGTGACACTAATATCTTCAACCCCTAAGTATAAGCCATTTTAATATGGTAAATCCAACGTTGTGGAAGTCGCTTCTCAATAGAGTTGACGAAAACCCCTTCTCAAAAACCCTCTGTCAGATTTCTCTGTACGAAAGGGTCATAAAGTTTTAGTATCAAAATAGCATTATGATATACCCATTACCAAAAGCCCGTCTGCCCCACTTGGCTGGTGATACCTAGCTAGAAGAGGGACTGGACCATCGTGCCATGTATATAAATCATACATCCTTGTAAGCCGGCCCTTCTAACCCAAAAGAAGGAAAAATAAAGATCACAAGTCATGAGCCTTTCCTTCCTACCAGTGCCGATTCAATCTGCTTCCAATCCCACCATCCCATAATCATACAATCCTAGCCGTATCAGAAAAAGACGGCGCCATGTTAATTTCCTAGCGATCGGAAACCCCCTATGCCATATTACTGTAGCCACAACAATCCCACACCGTCCATACATTATGACGTAAAATGGCTCATAAGGCGTAATTATAAATCCGGACTATCGGGATATGCCTCGTTGCGATATCTATTCCATTTCACACCGTTGACGACAGTTAAACGTGCTTCTATCGTGGGTAGTTCATGATCATCAATGATATGCGAGATCCACCTTGCCTGGAGCTCTTTGCGGTCATGCCCGGACGCCAAGCCAAAAACCGGGAGTTGAGAAATGCTGGGAAAAAATGGAACCTCTCCAAGTGATTAAGCTCGCCAGGGTCGAGTTATCTGACGAAGCGAGATAGAAAATGTGCCACACTTGTATGCACCTGCTGGAATATAGATCAAATGCTGAAAATATTAAGGAGAGAAGAGAAGAGCAAGATGGCGACCAAGATCGGCTGCCTAATTAACGAGAGCTGCGTGACTTCCTTGTCTTGCCTGCTCCAAGGTTGCTGCGGCTGTGTCTCTGGCATGTGTTGCTGTTCCAAGAGGCGGTGGATGCGGACTCCGTGGCGGTGGCAGTGGAGAGTTGATCGGCGGCAGCTGAGGCTCCCGAGGGACAGGACCAGAAATGCGCTCTTGTTCCTGGCGAGTGGCCTGTTCTCGCCAGTCATGGTATTCCACACCACCCGGCCTTGATACACCTGGTTCTGAACTCGGTGCTCCCTGGACCCCTGGCGGAGGAGACTGTAGAAGCGCTTGCTTATCACCCGCTGACTGGCGTCCCTTCCTCTTCTGCTTTGAGTCTGGCAGGCCCGGCGACGAAGCTGGATATAGTGGATAGACGCCTGCGCCAGTACCCGTGCCGGCACCCGGACCGGGACTGCGGGGTTGGGGCGCAATCGTTGGTCCCGGAGACGGGGCAATGGGGGCCGGAGAGATTGGCTGGTACGCTATCATTTGCGGGGCAGCCTGGCGCGCCAAAACCTCGGACTTCGGAGGCCGTCCGCGCCTGCGACCGGTAGGAGCCGCGTTTAGAAGAGACCCGGGAGTTGGCGGTAAGGTGGTAGAGGCGTAGCCGTTCGGCCGTGGCTGGATATTGACTGGCTGTCTTGGACTGGTGGGCTGCATGCCCAAATTTCGCGGGACTGAGTAAGGGACCGTGTCTCCGAGCAACGGGTGGAGGGCCGCGAGCTTTTTGGGAATATGGTCGCTAATGTCCCCGAGAGATCTGCGCTTCAGGGGTTGGATGGCCGGAGGCTGAATTGGCGTGCTGAACATATTCTCGGCAGCGCGAAGACACTGGTTCATGTTGCGGCCTGACAACGCTCTATTAGGAGTGGCCCAGTGGGTTTGCATGTTGAAAAGGGGGGGAGACATACCGCTAGGAAGCTGCATCGACAGCCAGTCTGGCTGGATTCCATGGAGTTTGATAAAGTCCACGAGAATGCCCACGTCCATGTGGCTGGCCTTGATCATCTCGGCGAGGACGAAGCGCTGATGAGAGCGAGCTCGGGTTAGGAATGCGCGGGGCAGAAAATGGGGGCTGGGTCGGGCTAGACGAGGGACCAGGGTGCTGGACATACCTTCTCGAAATCAGTAAAGGACGACTCCATCATGAGCCTCAGTTTCCCTTGCCGTCGTGGGAGAAAAGGCGGCGATGGGAGGAAGTAGTGCGTGGGCCGTTTGGATAGTCATTTGATAGGCACAAAAAAAAACGACAGATCACTCATGTGAAAAGGGGCGAGAGAGGGAAGAGGCCGCTCGTGATCAAGAAACCTCGTCACAGTAGTGGCGAAGCGTATACGTTATTTATGAGGCAGAAGGGGAAGCAGTTTGCCGGTCCACAGGGCGCGCTGGCCTGCGCGCCCAGGTTCAAGCTGCGTCTAGAATCAAACGAGTGTCGACGGTCGCTCAAGGTGAGACGGTCATGGTAGAAGGGCCCCCGGAACAAGAGTACACATCCGGGGCCACCTCAAGATGCTTGCAGGGCCCGGATTTGAGTGGTGGACAAGCAATGGGGGGGAGGCGGCAAAGAAGAGACGCGAGCTGTGGAAGCGCGCGTCTTTGGTTTTGCGGAGAGGAAGCCGAAGGGGCCCAAGTCCAACCTTGCTAGCAGCAAGCCCGCCCGTAACTAGCGAGTCGTGGGTGCCACAACGAGGGGGCCGGCCTAGCCCCGGGTCCCTTAAACCTCCCCCTTGTTGCTTGTCCCCTGCTGGCTTTTGTTTCGTTTCTTCCGCTTGGCCTGGCAGTGGCTTGTTTCTTTAGCACGCCTGGGATGGGGGATCTGATGTGCCCTGGTCCGCTTGGTCGCCCGAGGATCAACGTTCCGTGTCGCGCAGCTGCGCAGCCCAACAATTGCCAGGATGAGCCGTGAGGGTTGCAGCTGCAGCCCGATCAAGTGACTGTCGAGGTGGTAGTGCGCGGCCAGATCGGGTCGTGGTGGTGTGCTGGATGTTTAGGTAAGGTGTGCATGTGTGGACTCGACCCGTTCGCCAACGGAAAGAGAGATGAGAAAAATAAAATAAAATGCACATGGGCGAGCGACGAGCGACAAGCAAACGGACGCTCTCAAACACACACCTAAGACAGCTAGGCGCCCGATCCGCTCCAAGCGAGAAAGCGCCAGCAAGCAGCAGTTGCCGTCGGAACAAAAGCCGAATGTCTCTCTTTTTGGAGAAAAAAAAATTGGTAGGCAAAGCTCCAAGCGGCAGCTCGAGCGGCAGCTGATCGGGTATGTACCGTATACAGTACAGTAAGTACTGAATGTATTTCCTCGGTAGCTCATCAGCTCCTCAAGGTCCTGTCGTTTGAGTGAAGAGCTAGCTGCACGTTCCTCCAAAAGACCGGACCTGAGGAAAGGCAATCGATAGATACTTACAAGTCTGCGATCCTCGAGCTGGGAGAACCATCTGGCATATTGCTGACCCTCCTCCCGTCCCGCTCGTCGCTCCTGCCCAGCGACGCCCAGGCGGCCTGTTCTGGGCAGGAAGACACTGCTAGTGGTGGACACTGGACCGGAGGAGTGCCAGCCCTCGAGGTTCCTTCCCAAACTAGGCACGTCAGGTTCGGAGGCATGTTGCAGGTGCCAGGTACTTGCGGGTTCGTACTTTGCACCACCGACGCACTCATCTCCTTCAGCAGCCCAGGTGCCGCTGATGACCACTGCCAGCGCTGGAGCGAATGCACGAGTGCCTCATAGCATGCAGGCCTGCTCGATTCTTTGATTGATGAATGGACAGGCCACCTGCACGTCGCTTTGAGGTGCAGATGCACATGTGACCCTCCCCCCTCTCTTGCAGCCATGATAGGATGCAGTTGTCTGGGGAAGGTGCCCTCTGGCGAGGCCTTCAGAGTCCATATCTGACAGCCGCATTCGGAAAGCCCGCGGTGGGCAAAGGATCGACTTTGGACGGCGGTCAAATCCCCTCGCCCGGTGCCCGCGATTGAGCCGCTGCCATGTCGGACAGAGGGCTCTCACTATCAAAGCAGCTTTCCAAGTCTGATCGACGAGTCTCGAATCATTTTCAAAGGCTTGGTCCAATCGGGCCCTTGCGTCGTCTGGTGTCGAGTGTCCCCACCTTTGCGAAGGTGGGAAGGCCCGTTTTGGCGGCCATTGGTTGCGCCGCCGAGCGCTCTCGCCAATGGCATTGTTCAGCAGGGCATTTCCTCTTTTCTCAGAGACCGCTGGCAAAGAGCCGCATCGCGTTTGCGAAGTGGGACGACATGTCGGCAGTGGCCTGCGAATGGCCGGTGACACATCTCCTCGAAGCTTTGATGCGATTCTGATGTTGCTCGACAGCAAAGCGCGCCTTCTGGCTCTCCTCATGGCGTCCACAGAGGCCCTTTAAGTACTTTGGGCTCCCGAGCGCTTCTCCACCATACATGCTGCACGATGAGCTGGCAGCGGCAAGCGGATGGCATGGCGGTGGACTTTTCCAAGGCTCTTGCAGGTTACCAGCTATATAAAGGCCTGTCTTGGGCTTGCAAAGAACGCTGTCGTGGTCTGAAGCTGCCCACGTAGTTTCTGTCGCTGCCGCGATGCAGGGCATGCATTGCTTTCGGTTCCATCTCAGGGGGGGGCTACGCCAATCTAGGTTGAAGCGTTGGGCATCATCGCTGCACACAGGACAGCCGTGCAACCACACGGACGTCGGGTTTCAAGTAACAATAAGGCAGATGTGCTGTTGATCTTCACACAGGGCTTCAATTGCATGGTTCCATTTCTGTTAGCATCAGGAGGCCGCGTCCGTCATCTGCTTGACCCCAGACTTCGCCTACACCATTGAACGGCAGGAAGTTGCATTACCAACGAGCGCGAATTGTGTACTTTGCAAACAACCTCCAGAGGCCTCATCGGTGACTTGTTTGTTGCCTGGCTTTTGTAACTGCAATCCAATTCATCAATCGCCGTTAAGCGGGAGCTTTAGGGAGGTGAGAAGCCTCACTACATTCCGTAGAAGATCTCCCTGTTGAATGTTGGAACGATCAGAACCTTTTTACAGAACCCCAAACCTCATCTATCGGCCCCAAAATGCTTAATAATCAGGAAATTAGATTGTAGAAGGCAGTTGCGGGCTTTTACTCGGCCATTGGATTATACAACGACTCACAAGGCGGCCGAAAGCTGTCCTATGATAACACTACTCCCCGTTGGATGGGATACCTACCCTTGGCACATGGATGACCAGGCGACAGAGTGCCGGAATACGGAATACGCACATGCCAGATGTGGCCCCCGGTAGACCGACTCGACAGCACGACGACATGCTGGCTCTACTGCGAGGGCTCTGGGCTGATGCACGGTGAGATGGAAATTGGGTGAGGAATGCCGGGCTATCAACAGGGACATCGATGCTCTCGCTTCATGTCGAATAAGGGGTATCACTCCGTATATAAACGGCCAATCGGACAATCCAGTCCAGCCTTACCATCATTAGCCCACCCTCTTGTCATTCTGGGAGGTGAGTATGGAATGCAGAGCAATAAACTCAATCGACCGGAATTCCTTTGTCAAACTGGTGATGTGCGCTTGGAGAAGTTAAGCTTTTGGAGAACAAAGAAAACACAACCCATCAGTCTGAAAATCTGGAGAGCCATTGGAGGAAAGTGAAAAGAACTGGGGCTAAATCTGCACTGAACCCCCGATGACCCTTCGAGTCCAGTCGATGCGCCGGGTTTGGGGCGCCTACAGGGGCGGAACATAGTCGGGCCGGCGCAGAAAACGTTCAATCCAATTCATCCACCCCCATGTGCGGACCACCCTGTCGCAGAGGCCCGGAGACGGCATCTTCTCGACTGCCCTGTGCAATTGACAGCCGAATAGCGTAGTGAAATCGCACCCACGCTGCCGTAAACAGCGAGGTTGTGCTGGAACACTCCTTCCCCGTGATTCAAGAGTTCAGGCGTTTTTTTAGTCTGTTCTAGCCCCGCAGCTCGGTCCCAGCTGTGCGCAATGTCACAACATCACGGCGAGGACGCAGAATAGCTTCCTGGCCTGGGATTCCTCATCTCTTTGCTGCCGCCTCGAAGGTGCCCGTCCCCAAATAACGAACACCTTACCTCACCCCGTCCGTTCTTCTACCTCTCCATACCTCGACCTCCCACACCTCGACCCCCTTTTTCGCATAGAAAACACCTTCTACATGGGCTCTGCACATAGCGACGTCGATTTTAACCTTCTGCACTCCCGTTATCGGCTGGGCTCGCCGCTTGCCATTTTCTTTCAGTCATAGCGCGGCGGCAACACTACCCCGGCGAATCTTTGTCCGTCGGCGTGCTTGGCGCACACCACACCTCGGCCACGATGGACGAAGACGGCCGCGCCCAGAGCACTGTCGGAGGCATTAAATCGGAGGAGAGGCTCAAGACCAACGGTGTCAAACAGAAGAAGGACGACACCAGTCTTACGGCCACACCCAACGATTCCAAGATCAACTCGAGAGTTTCCAGCATGTCGCCCGACGATGCAAAATCTGCCAGCGGCAGCGCGTCCACCCCCGAAAATGGCACCGCGCCAAAGCTGTCGCGCAAGTCGTCTCAAAAGACGATCAGAACTCTGCCTCCCCTTTACGGCAACCTCCCAGACGTGACAAACGACGCGTGCGCGACATTCCAAGTGATACCCGATTGTATCTGGGGCACCCGCCACATGGGATCGTCAGAACATGATGCGTTGGACTGTGACTGTGCTGAAGATTGGCGTAAGTTTGCTCCTTCCCGGCACCTAGTCTCTAGCCAGACTACTCCTAACACGACCCGTACTTGCAGGCAATGACCAGAACCACGCTTGCGGGGAGGAATCGGACTGCATAAACCGGGCCACCAAGATGGAATGCGTCGACCGCGAATGCAATTGCGGGAATGGTTGCCAGAACCAGCGGTTTCAGCGCAAGCAGTATGCCGATGTTTCGGTCATCAAGACGGATAAGAAGGGCTTTGGTCTCCGGGCGAATGTCGATCTCCAACCCCACGACTTTGTGTTTGAGTATATCGGCGAAGTCATCAACGAAGCAAATTTTCATCGGCGTATGCGAGCGTACGACAACGAGGGAATCAAGCACTTCTATTTCATGTCCCTGACCAAGAGCGAGTTTGTCGACGCTACCAAGAAGGGCAACCTGGGCAGATTCTGCAACCACTCGTGTAACCCGAACTGCTATGTCGATAAGTGGGTGGTTGGCGAGAAGCTGCGCATGGGGATATTTGCGTTGCATCCCATCCGGGCTGGCGAGGAGCTCGTCTTCAACTACAATGTCGACCGTTACGGTGCCGATCCCCAGCCATGCTATTGCGGTGAGCCGAATTGCGTGGGCTTCATCGGTGGCAAGACGCAGACGGAGCGCGCAACTAAGCTTGCCCAGGCGACCATTGAAGCGCTCGGCATCGACGACGGTGATAACTGGGATACTGCGGTTGCCAAGAAACCCCGCAAGAAGAAGGCGACCGAGGACGATGAAGACTTCGTCAACAGCATCCAGCCCCGCCTCCTCGACGAGGAGAGCGTTAACAAAGTCATGGCTACTCTCATGCAGTGCAAGGAGAAGTGGATTGCGGTCAAGCTGCTTGCCCGTCTTCAGGCTGCCGACGATGACCATCTTCGCCATAGGGTGGTGAAAATGCACGGCTACCAGATTCTGAAGACCGCACTCAACACCTTCAAGGACGACAACAATGTCGTTCTGCAGATTCTTGACATATTGTACAAGCTGCCTCGCATAACCAAGAACAAAATCTCCGACTCGAATATAGAGGCAACCATCCAGGGTCTCGCGTCCTCAGACCACCAAGATGTCGCTTTCGAATCCAAGAGATTACTTGATGAATGGAGCAAACTGGAGACGGCATATCGCATCCCCCGCAAAAAGGCCGACTCGACAGCTCCTGTGACAATAAATTCCTTTGAGGAGGAGCGCCGAAACATGGACCGCGAAGAGATATCAAAGCCTGTCAACCACTTCGCCAACATGGTGGTTCCCACCGGGCCGCGGAGCACCATTCCTCAGCGAAATGCGGGCTTCTTTAACGGCCAGCGACCGCCTCGGAAGCTGCCGACGAACTTACCGCTGGGGTGGTTTGTTACGACGGACAAGAGCGGTCGTTACTATTTCTACGACAAGAGCGGCAATACAACATGGCAGCGTCCTACGGCCCCTGCAGTCGAAGTTCCTAAGGCGTCTTCTAAGGTCAACCAGGACCAGAAGACGCTGCAAGACATCATTGACAGTCTGACTAAGGAGCCGACGCCAAGACATTCGGCCAACCACACCCCACAACAAGCCAGCACTCCCGCGCCGGAATCTAAAAGGGAAAGGTGGCGTTCTCTTCCTGTCGAGAAGCAGATGAAGATTTATGAGAACACGGCAAGTTCTTACACGGTTTCTTGGTCTAAGAATGTGCTAACCCGCCGCAGCTTTTCCCACATGTGAAGTACGTTATGGATAAATTCCACCACAAACTGCCCAAAGACGACTTGAAGAAATTCGCACGGGAGGTGAACAAGAAGCTCGTTGCTTCCGATTATAAGAACCACCGTGTCGAGGATCCGACCTCCATCACCCCCAAACAAGAGAAGAAGGTCAAGAAATACGTCTACAGTTTCTTTGAGAGGGCATTGGTCAAGTACAAAGAGCATGAGAAGAAGAAGGCTTCTGAGGCCAGCGGCAAGATCACCGGTGCTGTTGCAGAATCGAAGCAAGACGAAGCAAATAATGCGGCTTCAACTCCGCCAAAGGATGACGCCGCGCTATCGGACGCCGAGGACGCTAGCACCCCCGACACTAGTCCGGGCCGCAAGAGAAAGCGGGAGGACGACTTGGAATCGATGGGTGAGACCCCGTCCGAGACCCCATCGCTAAAACGTGTCAAAGAAGACGACAGTGGGATGCCGAGCCCCCCACCACCTCCACCCCCGCCTACCGATACCCCTATAACGGAGACGGATGAGGAGCGATCCATGCGTGAGCAAGAGGAAGCACTCATGCGGGAGAACGAGGAGGCGCAGCGCCTAGAGGATGAAGCCGAACAGACGCACCGGAAAACTCACGATGGTAGTCTGGCGGCGAACGCACACGTTGGTCCCCGAGGCCCTAAAGATAAGAAGAACGATGGTGCCCACTCGTGTGGCCCAAGCGGTGGACTGAAAGTAACCAAAGGCTCCATGATGGATATCGATGTCGACGGTTTGACGGCCGCTGCGGGGGGCAGCGACAATAACGACAACCCCCTTGAGCACAAGGAGGTCCACAAGCAGGAGGTGCTGAGCCATTAAGCAAGGTCACCTTGCATTAGATAGCTGACATCTGATCGGCCGCGCAAACATGTCTTCGTTGTCCTTGCGCTTTACATATAATTACGAGGTTTACATACAAACAAATCCTGGGTCTGGAGGGACTTGCCCGATTTTATTTTGAGGTTCAGGTTTTTCCGTTCTGGGTGTGGGAGAGTTGGGGGGTGTTTTTGACCAACATTTTTTTTTCTTTAGGGCAAAGATCCTTAACACCTTTTTCTTCTTCTTTACAATGCATGGAACAAGGCGAACGAATCTGTATCATTATTATATCATGAGTGGCATTCGCATTCTCAACTAAGTTATCCTAAACCTACCTGGGGAATAAATTTTTTTTCTTTTTTCCCTTTTGTTCTTTTCTTTTTATAATTTTTCTTCCAAGTCTGGGTCAGCCTTGGGGGAACAGAACAGAACAGGCGGAGCAGGAAGGAAATCAGCCAGCCAGCCGCATGCATCATATAGCCACGCGTGGTACGTACGTATTAATGCCAGTAAGAGAAAGAGAGAGCAAGCAGGGGAACGAGATACCCAGGCAGGGGAAAAAAAGGATTGGTTAAATCGCCAGGTCGGACATTATTATCGTGGGGTGACGGAATAAAATGATTTCGATGCTTACGCCTATCAAGTACGTATTCTCTGTATATAAATGGGAGGCAATATTTGCCAGCCAGGAGGGGAGAGGCATGGACAGCCAGCTTCTAGCCAGCAAGTAGTATCACGGCGTGGGGGAAGGGAGTCATCAAAACAATCATATCAAAACCTACATGGAACCAACAACTAAGAGAGCGCTGAATGTAGATTTTTGTCTCATCAGTCTTGATAGCCTCACCCTACGTACTCCAAATACTCATCGTTACCTTCGGCTCGTAACATCAACCTCAAGACGTCCCCCATAATTCCTGAATAGAATAACTCCCGATACCCCTTCCCATCCTGTCACATCTTTTACATATTGTCCCACACTCTTCTCTTCACAGGCTTACAACTCCGCTGTTTTCTGTTGTCTGAGAAGTGCCCTGGGCTCCTCCCATCTCTTTACCAAGATTTGGCAATGTTCTCGAGCGCCTCAACCAGGATATCGGCATGATGCTCCTGGAAGATAAGCATGGGGCGGAGGCGGACGGCCCACTGGCCAGAGCCGCCAATGTTGACACCGAAGCCCTTAGCACGGGCAAGGAACTCGTCGCGGCGGGGGTTGTCAAAGGCAATAAAAGTGCCCCTGCCCTTACCGCGGAGGTTCTCAAACTGGCCCGGATACTTGGCGGCGAGCGCCTCGATCTTGGAATAGAGGTAGTCGCCAACACGGGCCGTGTTGCTGACCAGGTCGAGCCGCTCGATCTCGTCGATAATGGCACGGAACAGCAGCGCACGGGCCGGATCGCCCATCCACGTGTTGAACTGGCGGTAGGGCTTGTTGGGGCGCAGCTCGGGGTTGCCAAAGTAGTAGCCAGCCGTCTGGGCCTTCTTGCTGAACGTCACCATGTCTGGCGGATCCTCCAGGTTCCAGTGCTCGTGGGCCCAGAACTTGCCCGTGGCGCCGACGCCCGTCTGCACCTCGTCCACGATGAGCAGCACATTGTGCTTGCGCGTCAGGGCACGCAGGTCGCGGAAGAAGGCGGGCGAGGCGTGGTTGTCGCCGCCCTCTGATTGGATGGGTTCCACCACTACGGCGCAAGGTGGTACGTGGTAGTTGAGGATAAGGTGCTCGACTTCTTGGAGGGCCGCTTGCTCGGCCGCCACGTTTTCTTCGGCGTGCTTCTCAAGAGGGTACTTGAGCGCGGGGAAGGTAGCCTGGGGCCAGTCAAAGGCTGGAATGTCGAGCTTGTGGATGGGTTTGGACCGCGTGGTGGACAGACTACCGAAGAGGCGGCCGTGAAAACTAGTCTTGAAGCTCATGATGCTCAGCTCCGAGGAGCCCTCGGGTGTTTTGTTGAGCATGGCCGACGCCATTTCCTCCTCAGTGAACTCAACATGGGCGCCGCCGCGCTCGTGCTGGCGCCGCCACATGAAGGCGGCCTTGTATGCCGTCTCGTTTGCGTCGGACCCAGCCATGGCGGTGAAGACCTGATTGAGCCCCTTTGGGGCGACCTTGAGGATGCCCGTCTTGAGCACGTTAGCCCAGTCGGTAGGGGGGAAATTGCCCAGCGCAGGTCGGTTAATGAGACTGCTGATCATGTCGTCGCTCAGGGCCGCCTCGCGGAGGGCGGGGTTATTGTAGCCGACGGGTATGGATGCTATCTGGGCGTAGCTACATGGTTCCAAGTGAGGTCAGCTGCTGCCTATAGCCATCGCCATCACCAGTTCCCGCACTCCCCCGCCCGACTAAGGCGCGGTGCCAGGTCGCAACACTCACACGTCGAGCAGCACGTTGCCGTCGGGGTCGACAATGTAGTTGCCCACGCTCTTGTTGTAGTCGGTGAGCATGTTCAAGCTGCGCGTATCAAAGACCTTGTCCAATTCAGTGATAGCAGCCTTGGCCTTGGGGCCGGGGATCTTTGTCTTGACCGACGGGCCCTTGGGCTCTGAGGAGTAGAAGGGCGCCATGTTGCAGGTCGAGAGGGCAAAGGCGCGGCGGGACTGGCGGTGCAGGGAGGGCGAGGAAGACAGCCGGGGTCTGATTCTCGCGGCAAGAGAGATAGGAGAAGCCGGAGAGGAAGCCGAGACCGAGACGACGCGTGAGATTGCAGCTCTGGCCGCCATCTTATTGCGTGAGGGAAGCCGGTGCAACTCGGTTCTTTATACCCCAGTAGCCTCAGAGCTATAGGTAGGTACCTTAGGTACCTAGGCAGGCAATAATATCGGGTAGTTCACAAGTAGTGGTTGCCGCTATCTTAGTTGAGGCAGTCCCGAGGTGTTGCAAAGGTGCCACGACGACGCACGTCTCGGGAGGTGGAGAGCCAATTGGTCTCGCAAGGTGTCTACAAAGGCGCTGTCGCGGGTGCCGAAATGCCCTGAGGTCTGCAGAAGATGCGGAGGAAAGGAAGCGTCACCGCATTGATCAAAAGGCTATCGCCGGCTTATAACCCCTCTCCAGGCCAGGGCCATCCGTTGGCGGCGAGAACAGACCAGTCGTGACCAAGTAGCAGCAATGGGAAGCGGGGAAAGCTCCAATCCCAGTCTTTCTTTCAAGCTTAGCGTCCCGATAACGTCACGGGCGCCGCTTCCTAAGTAGACTAATAAGGTACTTGAAATGGTTGACCTGTGCTTCGGAAAAGAGTCCCTTAGCACTTGGTTCTATAAGTATTGCGTGTCCTCGGACGAATTGGCCAAAGGACGTCTTGGTATATGGCGATGCCGTTTTGCATCCGTGCCGCAGTGAGTCAATGATGTCAAACACTAGCGAGCAAAGACACAGCGCGTGTTCTTGGCCGCTTCCGAGACTAGCCCCGGCCGCCGACTGTTATCGATGAGGGGTAGCTAGCTGCACATCCCCGCTCGCGAGGCTGATGACGCCCTGACAATCAAGCGAGAACAAGGTCAGGCCACTGTCTCTCCCGCAGTCCCATTCCGCCGAGTAAGGCTTGACGATATGAATGCTAAGGACGAGAACATATACAATCTAATCCCTGAATGTTTGTTAGCGGGGGACTTTTCTAAGATCCGAATGGCCTTAGCATCTTGCAACTCGTCGTAAAGGCTTGTCGCGAAGGGATGTAATAGCTATTTGAATACCTATTTTAGAATCCTAGAGGTCTATCCCTTCTCTAGAAATACCCATCAAAGACCTTTCCTAGCCGGTTCATTTATTATTTTCTTTTCCTTCGCAAGAACCACGCCAATAAAGATTCAGGGATTGGATTGTATGTAGGTAGGTATTTATTTACCTCAGCTAGACTTGTCTGTCACCCAATGATATCTAGATCACAGAAGTCCACGGTTCAAAGAGCTACCAGGCACATACACAGCCATATTTGTTAGTTTCTAATCATATGACATCTCAGGGCGCTTGGTTGCCGCTTCAAGGATTACACTGGTAGGTATTCGAAAGGACTTAGTAACAGAAGTCGTCTACGCTTCCGAAAAAAAAAGTCGAAATGAAAAGATATACTAGAAATAGTGAAATAATGCAGGGTGGACACGGTAGCCCCTTGCCCCTTGCCCTTTGCCCCTTGACCTGACCCGACCTGACGACCCTCCCCCCACACACACACAACGCCATATAGCCTAATAATGTCCACTGCCAATGATTCCCAAACCATACCAGGAAGGACAAGCCAAAAAACAGACGGCTAATACATCGACGCGAAGAGCAACATCGCTACCAGCCACCTTGCCCCGAAAATAAGAGCCGTGACATAGAGGCGCTAAATCATGGTTCCCCAGAGCCAACCCTCTATCCATACAAGTAACAAGAAAGGTGTTGAGGATGACACCGGGTATATCCTCAAAGAAACAGCAGCATGTCGAACTCCTAGTTGTTCGTGCCGGGCTCTTCTTTTTGCTGCGGTGGCTGCAGGCCCGCTGTCTGCGCCATCCTTTTGTACGCCTCGAGCTCGCGGTAGAGACGCTCGCACTCATGCTTGAGTTTGTCATTGGACTGGCTGAGCTCGGCAATGGCTTGCTCCGTCAGAAGTTTCTCGAGCGTCCACTTCTCGATGTTCTGTGTCTCGTTCTCTTTGAGTTGCGTGATAAATGACACGGCGCGCTGGAGGATGGAGCCTTTATTCTTCTCGCACCCCGGGACAATCTTTGCGAGCTCGTTAATGCCTTCATTGATTGTCTCACGACGCCGGCGCTCGACTAGGAAAAAGGGTTAGAACACTGCAGCACGAGATCTAGCACGTTGGCCACCAGGAGGAAATGCCTACCTTCTTTGTGGTTGTCCTTGCGCATCTTGTGCCACTCCTCAGAGCCCACAGCAGGTTTGGGGTTGGAGCCTAACCCATATCTCGCGTCCTGCGAGACCCCGTTTGGTTGCATCGAGGATGACGAGGCCATCGGGAGGCCATCGGGTTGACTGACACTAGAGGCGTTGAACGAGTCATCGTGGTGGTGCGAATCCGCCACGGCCTGGGCCGCAAACGTCTCTTCTGTAGAGGGCGGGACATGTAGTGTGGGATACATGTTCAGGGCCGCAGCAGCCGTGCTCGAGGCATTAGCCGTGTCGGCTGCATCGCTGTGATCAGCTGTGGCCTGCGCTAGAGCGCTGAAGTCATCGACATTGACATGATCCTGCGCAGCCTGCGCGATGCTCACAGTGTTCTCTAGGAACGCCTGCGCGTCGGCATCAGGCACAGTCATGGCGGCGGCCGGAGCTCCCCGCTTGTTTCGGCGCGACTCCGGAGATGTCGAATCCGACGCGCGCTTCCTCTTGTGGCCCGGTGTAGTTTGAACATCTGGGAGATCAGGTAGTTCCATACCAACAGTGGCCATCCCGAGGCTCAACAGTGGGGAATCCAGGGCTGGTGTTGATCAGGTCAGTCGGCCAGTCACAATCCGGCAATAATAGAAGTTGGCTCAAATATGCAAAGCAAGTCGCAGTGCAGCAAAAGAATAGATGGATACTGAGACAAGCACTTGCTTAGAAGGAGGAGGGGGGGGGGGGGGGTCGTGTCAAGGGACAAGCTATAAAGAAGCTTTGCTGCCGGCGCGGCATTGGCAGGCGCTCTCTCTCTGTAACCGCGCGTCGCGCGCCCAGTGTCGCGCAAATGCGTAAAAATGCGACCAGCTGACTCCAGCTTGAGGCAAGACGGGCAAGACTATTCTGAGGCCTTGGAGGTAAAAGACAAGACCAACACAAGACCGTTTCAACTCTGCAAGAGGCAAAGTACGGGCGAAAGATAGATGCTGGGTAGGCATGGGAAGCTTTGGCGCTGCGCTGGGCGGCGCTCCTGAAGGGGTATTCGTCACCTGACAGCGAGCGACAAGGCGATCTTCTCACGGTCGCGGCGAAAAGCAGAGGAATTGACGCCGTCGCAGGACTTCAGATGCGACGGGCGCAGTGCAGCGCGGAAGCAATGGCAGCGCGCGGCACGGTGTTTTTTGCTTGTCTCGTCGATGGGAAACGCTATCTCTGGCGATGAACTCGTACCTTGTTTGTCGGGTTTGCCTGGTCTAAAAGGTCGAGGTCATGTGAAGAACGTGACCAAACACGAGACTATCGGCCAGTCAGCCCAGGGACGAAACCGCCGCCGCTGCAAACTCGACACAAAAGAATTAACGCATCAAGCCAAAAGAAATCCACAGATATTTGCTGGCTCACATACCTAATAGTCGACAGATAGAGCTTTGTTATCGTTGTGCAGGGGGTTCCCAAGCGTCCTGGTCGTCGGAGAGTTGATTGAGAGCAGGAAGATCATGTGAGCTGAGGTCTGGAGGTCAGAAAACGCGGTTCCGGGGAGGGTGAGCTTTCGGCGCACGGACCATGCCCTTGTTGCCAGTGCCGAAAAAACCCAGCCCAGCCTTCTTTCTTCGAGCGTCTGCGAGAGGGTCCCGTCTGGTCTGGCGCCTGCGCGCATGCGCATGGGGGGTCCCGCGGGGCACAGTGTGTTACGGCCCGGCGCCTTGTCTTGCTTGGACCGGTTTCCCTTCGTTTTGCCCCCCTCTACCGCAGCGATGCACACCTGACTGACGGCTGACGGCTCTTGGCCTTGAAGCCTTTTGCGCGATGCCGAAGAATGGATACTCGAGAGTCGGAGAGCAAGCTTGGTGTTCGTTGGGCAAAGACCATGGTTGCAGTTACGGCGGAACGAAGATGGCGTCTCGTTTCATGCCATCTGACAAGATTAAGACGATTTGTATCCCCCGCGGACAAGGGCGGCCTTTTATTGAGACTCGCCCTTGATATGATTAAGGTAGTTCGGTGTGGACTATTTCTATCCGGATCATCACGGAATACATCCTCTCTGCCTGGTCTGTCTCGCGCACACCCTCCACCCTCCACCTTGCACCACCACCACCCTCTCACATAGTTGTTTTAGTATGTAGTGATGAGTTAAGAACCTAGTCTCAGAACAAACCGGAGGAATCCGGGAGAAGAGTTGACATCTGTTCCTCCTGATGCAATCAGCTCGAGAAGGATTCTTGATCCAATCAGTCAGTCATGTCATATGGAGGGTAAGGTAGTTCGTTAGACCTGTCGCTGTTCAGACCACTACTCCTCACCACGGCATTTGCCTGGCTCGACTGTATGAACCCCGTTGAGACAGGGGGGGTTGGAACTGTAGCCAGTTTGCCCGTGTCACGAGCACCATCACCCCCCATATCCAAGGTTACCATCTGAGCCTCTCGAGTTGCGATGTGTGTGTGCCACCACTAACACAGCCGAAGGCCACGGGATTGAGCACATGCCGTGCCCATGTATGCCCGTATTAGCTTTGCAACCATAATATCTGCCATCCCAATACCTTCTTGCTCTTAAAATCACGTCTATCGAAATTGTCTCTCGCATACTGTCGACATTTCAAAATGTTTGTGTTTTCGTCTGCAAGGGGTAGGAAGCTGTCAGCGGCGAACCCACGACAGGCTACCTACTGCTGCTGCTAGTAAAGGTGAGGGGGGCTAATCGGCCCTCCGCCAAGTGGGTGCGTCACACCTGCCTGCCCTGCCCACATTGATGATTGAGCTATCATCCCGCCGCTGCCATCCATCTCTGGATGCATCACCACCACACCCTATGCCCAACACCACCTCCCCGCCCGCCCTGGCGAGCAACCAAAAAAAAAAAAAAAACCTGGCCCTCTCTAGACTCGCTCCGTGCCCCGTGACCGACTAACATGGCGGATCAAGAAGCGTCCAAGATAAACCTCGACAACCATCTCCTCCTCGTAAGTCCGTCTTGTCATTTGCCACCCAGACGGCCGCCGCATCGAACGGACAGCCAGAAAGACAAGGCTCGCTGTTATCGTCCCACTTCCGACGCCAAAACTCGGCCGACACTGTTTGCTCGCTCCGCTGCTAACTTGGCTCCTCCTCCTGTCTAGGACCAACCGCTCCTCCGTCTCCCTTACGAGCTTCTCCGCAAGAACTTCCGATCCGCACATTTCACCTTCGAGAAGGACTCCACCTTCGTCAAGAACCTGTTAAAGGAGACGGCCAACGGCTCGCTCAACGGCAGGACGACACCTCAAGATGTCGTCAAGAATCTGGATACCATGCTGGCAAGGATTCGAGGTATGAAGCGGAAGCTTTCGGCCTACGCTGACGAAGAGACACGCCTCCACCGCCAGGTCGATGCCCGTGTCGCCCACCTGCGCGAGCTCTCTGGTGTTCACACCGTCGACGACGTCAAGTACGACGCTTGGTCCCGTCAGCGGCTCGACCGCCTGCTAGTAGACTACCTGCTTCGCCACGGCTACAATGCCTCGGCCACTTCCCTCGCCGAGGAGCGCCAGATGGTGGACCTGGTCGACATTGACACCTTTGTGGCCATGAGCAAGATCCGCAAATCGCTTGAGGATCGCAGCGTACAGGAGGCGCTAGCCTGGTGCAACGAAAACAAAAAGGAGCTTCGTCGGATGCATGTGCGTGTGACTCTTCCCCCCACCATCTATGGTCAATCTCACCACCTGGCTAAACTACCCGCTAGTCGAATCTCGAGTTCATGCTCCGCTGCCAGCAGTTCATCGAGATGAGGCGTGCTGGCACTCCCGCAAAGATGGCCGAGGCAATTGCGCACGCCAAGAAATATATCGCGCCCTTCAATGACACGTACACCGAGGAAGTGTGCAACATGGCGGGCCTGCTGGCGCATCTCCCCGACACTAAGCAGGAACCCTATGAGTCGCTGTACAGCCTGGAGCGCTGGACCAAGCTCGCCGACGTATTTGTCGAGGCACATAACAAGCTACTGGGCCTGCCGTCCTTCCCGCTCCTGCATACGGCGTTATCGTCGGGCCTTTCGGCTCTCAAGACGCCCGCATGTCACAGCAGCACGGCCACGAGCTCCTCTCGGCCCAGCCACAGCACCAGCTTGACGACGAGCGTCTGCCCTATCTGCTCAACCGAGCTCAACGAACTGGCGCGCAACGTGCCATATGCTCACCATAGCAAGAGCCACGTTGAACACGATCTGCTTCTCCTGCCCAATGGCCGCGTCTACGGCAAGGACCGCCTTGAGGAGTACGCCGTCAAGGCCGGTCTGCCGCCGGGCCAGGTCAGAGATCTGGTGACTGGAGAGTCATTCGCCGTGGATAAGTTGAAGAAGGTTTTTATCACATAGCAGGCCTTGGTATCTTCTGACATCAACAGTCCGTTGTTGTTGCACCAGGCCTGCAGGATCAGCTCAAAGGTGCGACAAACATTGCTTTGGCATTCTTTGAAGAGAGAGTGTGTCTGTGATTAAGGTATTCACTTTTACGGGTAATTGTGTGAGTATAGTTCCATTCAGGACGGAAGTGTGGCGTTCGAGAGAGGCGAGGGGTCTGGCTTCCATCATCATTATCACACCATCAGCACCATCATCACTACGGAGTATTGAATACTTTGGTTTGGTCAAGGGACAGATTCCACAGGACAGGGCATTTTTGTTTGGACCTTTGATACTGATATCAGGGGCAAGGGGGTTGGGTCGGCAAACGCAAATAACCTGGCGACGCATTTCCTCGGCGCCTTTTAATCTCAACTATTAGGTATTATGCCTTTTGATTTGTGTACAGTACAGTGAGCAACTACGAAGTACACAAGAACGCGGTTAGGTAGGCAGACAGAGGAGCGCATGTAGAATGAGAGTGCCAAAAAATGTCAAGACAAACAAACAACACATGATGCCGTCACAACCGGTCCGCCTCTGCCCCCAACGGCCGTCGGCCGTGGTAAGGCCATACAAGTAAGCTCTACATGAACACGGCACTGTAGGTCCCCGAACAAGCGGTCGGTGATAATGCCCGCCAGGGAGCGATCCATTACATCATCCTATGCGCAAACAGTTGATATCACTTTTCCCTCAGCGGCGGCACACAAAAAGAAAAAGCCTGCCTGCGCCATTTTACAGCCCCTTAACTTTTGAATTTTGCATACCAAACCCGCCCTAAGAGAGAGAGAAATACCCCCTCGTGAACGAGGTGGGCGCTTACACTCCAATCCCTGGATGTTTGTTGGCGTGGTACCTACTTGGGCAGAGTACATACTATAGCCTAGCAAACCGGTCAGAAAAGGCCTTAGGTGTTTTAAAGAAGAGATAGGCCTCTGAAATTCCAAAATAGGGATTCCAATATCTTATATTCCCGTCGGCGAAAAACCTAGAGGGCGAGCCGTAAGGAATTGAGGCCTTTTCAAATCGTGGAAAGTCCCTTACTAACTATGACGGCGCCAGCTCACAGCACCCACTACCGCTGCGCTAGAACCCCCAAAAGGATGCCAGAATTGCAAGTCGTCGACTTGCAACCTGTAGTGGGTTATAGTGTGCTACGGCCGTTGCGCGCCGTGACACTAACAAACATTTAGGAGTTAGAGTGTAGAATGTGACTCGGAGGCAACCTTAAAATACCTCACCTTACCTTGCCTTATCCATGTCTGTACCGGCCTCCAAGTGTAAACAAAACACACACACACTATAGTTACACACAATAGCCAAGGTAGGTAGGAAAGAAGGCGAACGACCCCGGCGAGCCAGCGACGACAAGACACAGGACAACGAGGTGCAGAATAAGACTTTTCCATGCGCCGTCGCGAGATTGGAATCACCCCAGCCAGCCACCTGGGAGGAATGGACCCAAAATATGGAGTATAACCCCAAAGAGCCCCCGAGCAAAGGGTGCTGGTAAGTACGCCAGAAATGATCGACCCTGCCACAGAAAGGGACAAACCAAAGGAGCAGGGAGATGAATTCCAATGCCAAAAAAAAGGCAAAAGGCTTCACTCTTTTTTCCTTTTTGGTATTATGGCGGTAGAGTTTCTCGCTGTTTCGGTTTCTGAGTATTCCCTCACACACGCAAGCGCCAAAACACACGCGGTCCCCCATAAAAAGTGGTGAGATAGAAAACAAAAAGACAACGAATACAAACAATTCCTCGCTTGGCTTCACTTTTTAGGAACGTCCCATCGTACATCTCCGCTCCCACTCGCCGCTCACCAACGCTAGCTAACACATTCCAGTGTATCCGCTTTCATTTACCTTCCATTCCCACCGAAAGCAAACGCTCCAAACACACCACCGCCGCCGCCGGGCGTCATCGGTCCCATGCCCATGCTGTTGGTGTTGTGTGACGCCGCAGCAGGGGTGCTGACTAGGCCGACATTGGCCGTGTTTGGCGTGCTCGGCGTGACGTTCTGAGCGCCCGTGCCGTTTTGGCCGCCCGGAGGTGAAATATCGGCCTGGCCCCCGCCTGAATTGCCGCCGCTACCGATAGTCATGCCAACAAGTGAAAAGTCGGGGACCCCGAGACCCCAAACCTTGCCGACTTGGTCATCTGCAATCTCGCCATTGAAGATTCGCTTACGAAGCTCGAAAAACACACGTCCCGTAAGTAGGCTGTCAGATCCAGCTTGGTGCGCGTTGCCAACGCGCTTGATCTTTAGCGTCTCGGCGATGTGCTCGAGACCTGATTTCTGCTCGAATTTCTGGAGAACCTCGACCGTGCTTGGATCATTAGGGGTCAGCATGCCGCTATTGTGCAGCTTGATGGCGTGCTTCATGAGGTGCTTGACGTCGTATGTAGATGGGAAATACAGCTTCATGATCTTGTCGAACTCAACCTCGTCATTCGGCAAGAGGCGACAGATTAGGAGCTTCGTTAGGTACCCAAAGTCGTAGCCACCGTGGAAGCTTATCCAGCGGACTTCGTCAAAGCACAGCATGCCCGAAGGGATTAAGAGAGAGGCGAAATCGTGCGGGTCGATGCCATCGCGCTCGAACAGAGCAAAGTCGATGCCAGCTTGCTGTAGCGAATCGATCGATGCCTGGTTGTACATGTCCTCGGTGAGCGAAAACTTGAAATTAAACTGCCAGGCATAGGGAAACGGCGCCTGACTGCCCCCCCGCCGACCGCCAACGCTCAAATCGGTAGAGTCTGTCGACGTGGGTCGCGCAGGTGGCTGCTCGCCGTCCTCATTGAATAGTGCTATGCCAATCTGGATGACCTTGAGCATATCGACATTCGTCCGGAGGCACTGGTAGTGGTAGTCACTCTTGCCACGGAAGCCGCCCATAGGTCTCGATACGACGCCCGGGAACTCGGTATCCTAATCAGCGTGATTCGTAGTTAGCTCAGTGTCCCATCAATGCCAATGGCAGATATGAGGTTGTGACGCACCATAGCTATATATGGATATCGCTCGATGAGCTCCCGTAGATTTGCCATTTCCTCAATCAGGTTGTGTTTCCAGACCTCCCGTATCCGGCCTCGATTCTGAGTCCGGGAGGCGTGGTCAGCCATGGCGTGGGCCTGCTGCTGCTGCTGTTGCTGGGCATGTTGGGCATGCTGCATAGGCTGAGAGTGCTGTTGATGCGGTTGCGAGTGAGATTGTTGCGGTTGTTGCTGTGAATGTGGCTGCGGCTGAGTTTGATGTTGTTGCTGCTGGTGTTGTTGATGCTGGTGTTGTTGATGCTGCTGTTGTTGCTGGAGGTTGCCCCCATGTGCAAAGCCCATGCGCGCGGCATGGCTCGCGAGGCCCGAGTCTCCGCCAACATTGAAGCCGCCACCACCGAGTCCGCCAGCCAGGCCTAACAAGTTATTCGCTGCCGAGAATGGGTTTACCTGGTTGTTCGGATTGAGGTAGCCGGGGTTTCCTGTTAGCGGGGGCCCATGGCTGGTAGAATGCTGGGCATGGGAGAACTGCTGATGGTAGGACGAAATAGCATTAGGCCCACTTGGAAAGCGAGAAATTGGCGGAGGCATCACCGCGATGGGTCCCGGGGTGGTAAAGGTGGGAGCTGGAGGAAAGAAAGAGCCTTGGTGGAGGGGATTTATTGAGGTAAAGCACCCAGAAGGGTCACTGTACCAAGTGGCGCGACACGAAAGTTGAGAATGACGCTGAAGAGCTGGGAGGCAGTAATCACGGCCGTGCCGCCGACAGAGACTTAGGAGAGAGTGTGTATGAGTTTTGACAGCTCCCGATGAATTGTCAGGCGACGAAAGCTAGCCGTCGCTCGAAAAAATGTCGATGCCCTGGGGCTCAAAGGCAGGCCTGGTGGGGTCTAGACGGTTGCTTGGCTGCGAACTGCTAGAACTAGAAGAAGAGCAAAGGTCTGGAAGGTTGTCGATGCCAGAAGGTTTAGGAGGGTTCTCAAGGCCTCGAGCTCCGCCACGAGCCGAGCACGGTCGAGGCTCCGAGGATTCTGTCGTCGGGTCGCCTATCCTGAAGTCGGTATCCTAAGAGCCTTGTCGGAGTTTGGTCCTGATGCATCCACCATTCCCGGCCGAAGGAGCAGATATTAAACGAGTGGAGGCGTGGCCAATGTCTAGGTTCCTCCGAGAAAGCTTGCGCAAACCGAGATGCAGAGAAGGGGGCACGCGAGTGTTGAACCGACCGTCCCCGCCAAGATGCAGCCCAATGCAATTGGTGCAGCGGAGGATATCGTATCGTGACCGTAACAGCTGTTTGGTTGGGGAGTGACCGTCTTGGATGCAACACAATAAGTATTTTCGCTTGGTGGACAGTTGTCGCCGTCGAGGCCGAGAAGTGTAGTCTGTACGACGTTCGTGTTTTCGACTCGAGATGCTGCGATGGCTGATTCTTAGTTAACAGCAGTCGTCTTGGAGGCGATTGGTAGACGCGAGCACGAGCCACAGCACAAGCGTAGCGCAGACTGCTAGGGAAGCCAAGCCAGCACAGACCTCAGGCGGGCGGTATTATGTAATCATTCGTTCCTGACCCACAGGCCACCCACCACGACTGCGTTGATCGCGACCGTCTGCCAGGGAAGCTTGCTAGCTAATGAGGCTGTCGAGCAGACGACAGACAATTGCCAGCGCCACACGATGCAGCCTACCAGGTACGGCAGGTCTCCGTGCCAAATCAATGCCCAATTGCCGAATGCTGACCTCTTTTCGTCTTTGGGCATCGCAGATTACTACGAGCCGCCCACTATGGCGAGAAGCCCAACATCACGGGCTTCAACATTAAGAAGTTTGTCGCTGCTGCCGGACAGCCGAGATACGATCCGTGGGAGGGCCGGTTAGTTCCCCCACTCTTCCGTCCCATTCCTCAAGGCACCCCACGGTCATTGTGACGAGAGACCAATCCTGAGGGTGACAACGACGACGACGATGACGGATACACCGAAACCACGCATTTATGACCGGCACTATATTGAAAACAAAGCGATGCATGAAGCTAACCCAAGCCCCGGTGACGGCGAGCCGAGATACAGAGAAGCATGGCGCTACAGAGGCCTGAACACTCGGTTTAATCGGTTCAAGAGGTCGGTGCCCGGGTTCGGCATCGCGACGGTGGCCTTCGCGGCTTACTGCACGTACGAGCACTTCTTCCTGCAGGACGACCATGGCCACCACGACAGCGGCCACGCTGAGGAGAAGCACCACTGAAGTCCGGGGTGGAGGGGCGAGGAAGGCAGGGATTGAGAGGATGACTACTACCTCTGCTAGTGTATGTACATACTGGAATCTTGGAACTGCATGCGTCAAATGGATGGTACAAGGGACACAAAGACTCGGCCGCAAAAAACACACCCATTACCTTCGTGCCGTGGAGAATGCAGTGGTCTGATAACACCATCTAACCTGGTGCCCATACCTGCTATGTGTGACATCAGTTAACATCAGTTGAACATGTTGAGCGGCCCGGCTGAAAGCGCCAACAGTCGAGCACCGAGGGCGGTGGCTGAGCTACTCGCAAAATATCGCCGTCAGATTCAACAAGATAGAATGTGTTATTTTCTAGTAAGAAATAGCTCCGGTCCATGCTAGCCCCAAAATCCCAAATCTAGGTATCCAATTTGGCCCCGCAAGTATCCAACCAGGCGGCGAATTTGCCGACTCGTATCAGCAAGCCAGTCTTCCCTCCTCCTATAGCCAGTCTTGTGCGACCCAGCCTTGATATCCCAAAAAGTAGTCACTATAAATGCCGATGATAGCGATGATAGCGATGATGATGATGCTTTATGATGCAGCTATGTGTTGCACGCATTGTCTTGAATGCCTCTCGGTGATGCCGATGAACACCCATGCGATCCCCGCTCCAAGATTGCCATTTCATAACCCAATCCCGTTGACGAAATCCAAAGCTCCCTCCACCGCCACCTCCAGCTGGCCTACTCGATGCTTTAGATGCCTATTCTCGTCTCTGAGCAGACTGACAGTATCCCAGGCCATGCTGGCGTCCTGACCCTTGCAGTTTCTGCAGCCGTTGGTGCCCGCAGCGTCTTCCGTCTCGCCAGAAATGTTTTTGATGATCTTTTGGAACGTGCTTATCTGCTGCTGGCCTGCCCTCGGCTGCCTCAGTGACGGGGGCGGCGCAAGGGAACTGCTGCTCCTCTGCTGTAGCAACGTTGTTGCGTCCATCAAACTCCCGTCTATGGCGCCGTGGGTCGGGCTCCGGCACCGCGAAAACACGCTCTCGCTCCCCGCACTCTCCTCATCCGTGTCAAAGCCGGCTCCTGACTCGGTCGTGGAGCCTCCGCTCTTCCGCTTCCACCTTCGCTGTTGGCGATCATCGTCAACGCCAAGGTCCTCGGACAGCACGGATCCCTCGGACGACATTGGGGCCGCGAAGGCCTTTTCTCGGGACAATAGAGCCATGCGCTCTTCTGCTCTCACCTTCCTCTCGGCGGCAAGCTCGTCCATCAGCTGCTGCATGGCTCTTTCGTGATCCTGTGCCTTCAACGCCATGCCCTCAAGCTGCATCTTCAGGTGCTGTGCCCTCGTTTCGGCCTCCTCAAGCTCGTCCCGCTGCGCCGACCGCTCGGCCTGCAGATCTCGTAGAGCCACCACACGTTCGCGGTATGCGATCTGCATCCTGGTCAGCAGGCCCACTGCATTTAACTGCAGGTTCTTGAACGCAGCTGGGGAGAAGGCGTCGCGGTCCACGGGCGATCCCGGAGCAAACAGGGTGGCCTCGACGTCAAGGTTGCATAACTCATCGTCTAGCATGGCCGGATTTGTGGGCGCTACCGGGGTGAATCTGGATGAGATCGCCGACATGAACCTCGACGCCGTCGCCGTGACGGTGCTTTTCGGTGTCGTCGACTCTACTGCACCAACACTCGCGTTGGTGCTCCCCCGCGTTTTCGTCGGCGTCGTGTCCGGAGTAACGTCTAACGTCGGGGCGCGCGGCATCTCTTGCGAATTGGTCGAGATCATGCCTAGCGCATTCCCCGCCGCAGTACCGCTCAGCCAGCTCGCCAATCCTCCCCTCGGACTGCTGTCTGCTAACCTGAGGCTGCTGTTCCTCCCGTCCCCGGTGTAAGGCATCTGCTCTGGGATCCTGGGGGTCTTCCTTGACGGCGACGGCGTTCTGCTCCGGAAAGAGAGCGGCAATAGGTTTGGGAAGGACTGCTGTCTGCGGTGGTGATTGTTGTTGGCCGGGCTGTAAGGGAAAGAAGGGGAGCCGAGGTCCTCATCGGAAAAGCCGCTGTGGTATTCTTGCAAGGGCGAGAGAGAGGGGCGAGGGGCATTGAAGCCTTGGTACTGGTGCTGCGAGCTCGGCCGGGAGTGCGAGACAGGTTGTGGCGATGGATGCTGGCGTGGGGAAGCGTGGCCGTCCGCAGCGGCGACCTGGTTCGAGGATGCTCGCACGCCGCCGCGAGCAGGCAGGGAGCGAGCAGAGTAGAACTCTGGCTGCGGGGACGGCGACAAAGCAGGGTTGCTGCTTAGCATGATGAATTAATGTTTCGGTTTCCGGACGGGACAATTATCCTTGGATATCCCTGGGAATTCCCCTCGCTAGGTGACCGCCGGATGTTTCGTTTAGCGGGGCCAAAGGCGAGGGATGGAATTTGCTGTCTCTGTGGCAGCGGCCCAGCACGCCCAAGCTGAGGTCGAGCTATCGTAAAGAAATATTGCGGATTTTGTTGTTGTTGCTGTTGGGCTGCACCTTGGGTCGGGCTTGCTCCAATTCCACCGAAGCTTTCCCAGCCCTGCAGCGGCCGTGACAAATTGAGGTACCACCTCAATAGCAATGATTATATTGTACTAGACGCACTGTGCAGCGTCACTGAAAGGTACACTTATATTGGAATGTGCGCAAGACACGTATGCAGCAGTAGTTTGCACGCCGGTTAGCAGCTTGGTTGTTGCCCAGAGGCGGGGTTGCGAGTCTTCTCTTTCACGTAGCGGAGATCTCTCACGGGCCCGATCAGCCCAAGGATTCCCCAACCGCAGGAATGCAGCAGTGCGAGGAAGGAGCCTAGGGACAGCGGGAGACCCAGAATACGGCGCTAGGCAGGTTTATGCGACGTGTCTAATGTTTATATGGACGGCGTTATAGCGGCAATGAAGAGGTCGAAAGCACGGAAAGAAGAAAGAAAATCTGGTTAACAACTTGGAAAACACGGCTTGGATGGAAGCTCGTTTTGTTATGATTTTATTAACTGGGAAAAAATGCTGCGCCACGGTGCTGCGCTGACGTCGATGCCCTGCCGGACTTACCCACTAACGTTACCCTAGGTAAAGAGCCCGCGTCGAGATTCAACGCTTGCCGTCCGTCTCGAACTCATCCATCCAGATAAGGTGCCTACGTTTTCACTCTTCGTTTCACAAAAAGTGCGAGTGGAGACCGCAGGAATGAATGTGTTTGACGCACACTCACGTTCTAGATTCGACTCCTCTGTCTGCTGCATTCACAAATCATCTTCTGCTCCCCCACAGGTCGAATTCCTCCAATCCTGCATCTATACGTGGGACATGCGTGGCCGTTGCCCTGAGCGTTACAGGCCGAGGTCTCACCACCTACCACTATTAGTAGTAACTAGGGTGCCGAGGGGGATTACAAACGCCAAAATATGCGATGGCATCGCTCATATCTGCGCGCACCTACGGAGTATTTCAGGTCCGGACAAGCAGCTCCAGTAGCCGCAACAGTCCCCGAGCCACCAGTCGCACCGGCACGGCCCAGAGCAGAGCTCGATGGGTTAAGTTTTCCGCCGTCCAGGGGATATTCATACTACTAAAGGACTGTGAGAAAGTCGGGACGAACTTTAACATGGGATTTGCGGCAATCGACTGAACTAGTAGAGACAGTCGGTTATCTAGCGGGACAGCCAGCCCGCCGTTCCACCGTAAATGGTAGTTCCCCGAGGCGGACAGACGCCCGCGCAGTAAGACAAAGACCAGAAGATCATGGGGTTGCGTTAGGGCTGCGTTAAGAACTTACATATTTTTTTGCGGATGTGTCTGCATATTTTGATGTAACCTACTAGCGTAATCCTTGAACCCTGGCCGAAAGTTTCCTGAGCTTGAAGCTTTCGAGCCATTCTCAAACCTGTTGCCTCCGCTGTGGTCTTAGTGCCATGGCGGACGGCTTGAGGCAATTCGACATTGTCTCGGGTGCCGGCAAGTTTGATCAAGGCCCCTCTCTCTATGCTGTATTGTCTAGATATTTGACTTTCAAGAGGCTATTATCCGTATACGCGTTGTCTAGATGCCTAAAACCAATCCGAAGGGGCTCTCTAAAGAAATAAAAAAAGAGTCGAAAAATGCATCACAACCCCAACCCTGGGTCTTCATCCCTTTTTGGTGAACAATGAACATTACTTGCCGTTTTTGCAACTCAATGAGGTTGGTTTCGCACACTTAAATGCCTCAGCCGCGGGTTCAATTCTGGTTCAATTTTATTTACGTATTCCATACAGTTGACCCCTATTTCTATGCTCTGCTAGGTGAAGCCGTAGATAGAACTGCAGCCGTGGCGAGAAGCCAAGTCCAGAGATAAATCTCACGTTAGGTTTCTCTCGCACTCAGTGTCTAAGGTTCTGAATCGTTGAAGATACAGCAAAGTAAAACTATGCAAGCAATCACAGGTGGATGCTTATTAGGGGGTGATTCGCTCGAGCAGTAGCAACAACAGCAACTAGCTGTGCCACTGCTTCTGAGCTAGGCGACTTCGGCCTCTGATATATGCCAGACTATCTGCCATCATCATCATCATCATGATCCCATGTCTACCGGACAATAGGATATGTACCGTAGGCTCCTTATGTAGAGCGGAGAATGCACCACTCAAAGCCAACCTCTTCTTTAGACCAACCCCCCACTTCGTCTTTCGCCCAGGTTGGGAACTTAGTAGAATGACTCCACCATCGTGTCCTTCATACTAGTGTTGATGACGCCCGGCGCGGCGCCCTCGCCTAGCCGGAAGACGCTCTCGATAACACTGAGCTCGGGGGCCGTCGTGTCGAGCCCCGTGACGGCCATCCAGTCGTTGACCACCATGCCACCGCCAATGACGTTGCTGCCGCGGTTGATGCTGCCGGCCACGAGGGGCACCTGCAGCAAGCTGCTCAGCTCGTCCTGGTCCTGGATGCTCGTCTTGGGGTGCACCAGACCGCCCTGGTTGCTCAGCGCCATGTAGCTGCCCACCAGCACGTTGTCGGCGATCGTCTGCCGGAACACCTCGACCCCGAGCACGTCGGCAATAATCTCTTCCGTCTCGCGCTCCAGATCCGGGTGGATTAGTGCGATGTGGTCGTTGGTCACAATCACGTTTCCGAGCGCCGATAGCCGCTCCTCGATCCGCTGAATCCGGATCGAGTCGGGCAAGCTATTACGCAGATGTTGCAGTTCCTGGTCCGTTGTCGTCGTCGGTACGAGAAGTCCTTTCCGGTTTCTGTAGTTCTCAATTAGGCCTGCTTTTTTTCACTTTTCTTTCCCTCTCTCATCCTTGTTGCGCCGTGTTTCCCTGCATCCAGGAAACCGAGCGAACAAACCAAAGAAAAAACAACACACCCTGCTGTTAACCGACCAATAATCCGCGTGCCAGCGATTGTGGTTCTGCAAATTGGAATGACATCTTGAAGCTCCGACTCGAAGACGCTGTAGAAGTTCTCGCTCGCGCCGACAGCGACGAGGGCGTAAGAATTTGTTAATGTAGCGAACACACCAACTCTACAAGCGGGTTTCGCAAACAGCGGTTAGCAAAGACACGCCCAAGTCTGTCGCGTGTATGCGCAACCACCAGCCATCAATCCATCACCGTGGGGTGCGGCGGGTTGGCAGTTTGAGCAAAAGGTGGGGTGGGGGGTAATGTACTCGTTGGAGTTCTCAAACTGCGCGCGGACCGCCATGATTGCGAGTTACTAGACGGAATTTTCTTTTGACGCTGGTGGGTATGAAGGAGTAGTCGGGACGCGAGTATGCTTTGCGATATGGCTCTGAGAGGGCGTTGTGAGAGATAATTCCTGGCTGCTGGGTGCTTTTGACCTGAAAGTGAGAAAATCGATCCTGGGCTTCGAGACAAGCGAAAGAAGGGTGGGGTAAGGGTCTGCCAAATCTTTTGCGACTGGAGCCCCAGCGCTTCTTAACCTTCTTTCAGCACTGGTCTTCGGTTCGCTTCAGCCGTGTGCCTGAGGTCTCAGCGGCTTGCCGATGACTCAGTAGGTTGCGGCAGCCCTTCCACCATAGAAGCACCGCCACTCACGATCAGAGTCTACTGCCGCATTTCACTATGATTCATCGCTAGTAATTGCGGCACTGCCTCGGACTCATGTAATCAAGGGCTTTCGAGCAGGTTACATGCTTGCGTGCTTGCAAATCATGGGCTTTTGCTGTTCATTAAGTATCTAGGTACGAGATACCGATACCCAGACTATATGCAGTTCCAAGAATTGCTTTTACCAGTAACGCCGCCCCATACATCCAGCCAGATTTGACAGACTCTCCTGGGTCCGTAATGCGAGGGCCAATGATAACTTGAAACATTTGGGCTAGACATGATACGAAAACAATCCATAATCCATAAAACGCCAAACCAGTCAACCGTTATGTCATGATTACACTACGCCAAGTCATCGCCCAAAATACGCCAACCCGGCTACCTATATCGATTCACCGTAATTCAACAGAAGGGAAAGACCGGGGCCCTGCAAAGCCATTCGCAATGACGGTCTGAATGTCAATATTCTGGCGCGGGTCTTCATGTGTGCTCCACATCTTTAGCAAGATGAAACGTCCGCTCACCGGCGGATCAAAGTTGATGGTGCACCTATTCTCGTCCAGTCTGATGTTAAAATGCGCCAGAGGAGCCAGCATGTTAGCACCGACGGCCCGCACCGCGTCCTGGGTCGCAATCTGGGCCGCGTCTTGGGCCTCCTCAAGCGTCATGCTTTCCGCCTCGGCACGATCCCATTCGCGCATTCGATGCCATCTAAGACCTGCTAATGGGAAGCTGGATGCAGCAGTCCATATGTCGGGGCTGTTGTCGCCGTGCTGGCTCTCAAAAGGCAGAGTACCAATCTCGGGAGGTCGCCGAAAAGAACGTCGACCTGATCTCTCACTCTCATCGCCGCTACACTCGGTGGTAACATTAAAAGGGGCTGGCATGGCATTGAACTCTGTAGGGATCACAGCTGTCAGATATTCGTCGCCGTCTCCCATCCCGTGGTTGTGGAGCCGCTGGTTCGGGTATCGTGTGAGAAAAGGTCGACTTCCATCAGGGTCATCGGGGTGACGGAGAGCAACTAGAGCGCCAGGCCGGTGAGAAGGAGGAATGTTTCTTCGGCGAGGTTCCTCATATAGGATCCGGTAATTCGTAGTGCGCTGTAGCACGTCATCCGAATTCATTGACACGAACACCATGCCTTGGCGGATCCTGTCCAGCACAACAGTCAGCCGGCATTATTGAAGAGAGGCAAAGCAAAACATACGGGGATGAGAACCTTTCACCAGGAGCCTTGATTATCAGCTCCTTGAGACTGAACACAGTGGCGCCTTGGTGTCGCAAGACGATATTGCATCGGTTCCCCTTGGTGCAGTACACTGAGTTATCGTCCTTCAAGATGTTCTCGGGCACGCAAGACTCTTGGTCGTCGAGTAGCTTCCCCTCGTAAAGGCCACCATCACAGGACACAATTTCCATGGTGAGCTTGCCTGGCTCGAGCTGGCCGTACCTGCCATAGTGAAAACCCTTGAAGGTAGATGTAATCTTATTCGAATCCAACTTCCGACGCTTGACACGGTGGCTCTCTTCAGCTTGATCATGGCCATGGGCCGGAGATGAGTCCGAGGGTTGTGCAAGTGGGGGCGTTATTATCGGATTGTTGGTGAAATCCAGCAAGGCTCTCAGGTGCGAGTTTGCATTCTCGAGATTCCGGTCCATGTCCTCGAAACTGGGATTTGTTGACCTGCTGTGAAGCCTAGACCGGTGCCTCTCGAGAAAGCGGTCGGAGGCTCGAAGTCGGCCAAAATGCCCTCCCGAGCCTCCCGAGCCTCCCGAGCCTCCCGACGACGCCATGCCGAGGCGACCACTCGTTCCGAGGGAGCGAAGGGGCGGAAGTGACGGCGGGTTGCCAACTACAGTTGAGGTTCCCGGTGCCGCCCCGTCGCCCTGCTGTGGGTCTAGGTTGAATCTTCGTCGCAGGTCCCGTTCGGAGCCCGAGGACATACTTGTCTCTGGGGCGGCCTGCGCGGCTGAAATATGGTGGTCACGGTTGGCCCTCCAGTGGAATCTCTCTATTGCTCGATACAACTCTCCGGACGGGCTCACAGTGGCAGTGGACAGCCGGTCATCGAGGATGGACCGGACTAAGCCGTTTGCGTTTTGGTACTGCGAAGGGTCCAGCGGAGGCTGTTGTGATCGGTTGCCAGGCTGGTCCAAATGAATCCGTCAGCACCGGAGCACAGATTAGGAGCCGCTCTGGGCCAAAGAAAGGACGAGCAATGACTGCTTGGGAGTGGGAAGAAAGAGGAATCTCGTTTTATCCTCGAAGGCGAGGCTATCGCCTATCCCGCACGACGAACAAGTGTGGAAAAGGACCGCAGTCTGCCTTGGGTGGCACTAGGCGAGTTAAAGACGACAAAGCCCTCGCCGGGACAACTCACTCACTCACCATCAAGCAGATTTAAAATAAGAAAAAGGGAGACCCGTAGGCCGTGCAGAATGAAGAAGAGCCGGAGTCTGCTCGGCTTCTAATAACAAAGGCGAATGTCGAGGAGAGGAGTGGATATTGAGGCTAAGAATTGGTGGGGATGCATGTCCGAGTTATGGATGGGGGGAATGGAATGGTGCAGTCAGCCTAGAAGGCCAGGCAAAGGAAGGAACCTCCCTTGTAGTTAATGCCACTGGACTCGAGCGAGTGCGTGCGGCCAGTACTGTACTAGGCAAGGTAGGTCAGGTTTGCTAGCGTGGCGGGGTTCTGTGCAATCAGAGGACAAGACATGTAGCAGGTACCTTCATCTCCTCATTAATTGCTGTTTACTAAAGGTACTACTTAAACTTGCATGGCCGCCAAGCAGGCCAGCCACTGTTTCCGCCGAGCGAGCACCATCCCGGGCAGTCTTATGTACGGATATGGACACCACAATATCCGTACAGTCACTCGTTCTCGCGTTTTCGCAGCTGTAACAGTGCAAATTGCAAGATGAGGACGACAGTGTCTTGAGTTCATTTACGGGTTACGGCTTCCAAATGAACGAGAGACCTTCCGATTTCCCTGCCGTGCAGATCACTTCTTTAAGGCAGTCCACCAGTTTGCTTCATCGGAAGAAAAAGAAAACGGATGACTGAGGTGGGGGGCCGCTCTCGCGATCTGCATTCACGGCTGCAAGCCACCTGCGAACGCTCAGTGTGCGTGCTGCGTAAAAGGCCGGTGAGGACCAAGAACATCGAGGGTTGCAAAGAGCGTATTCCGTATTGAACTTCAGCCACGAATAAAATAGGCGAGAGCGGCATTTTGTTCGTATGGTCTCGCTTCCTTTCCGTCTTCGCTCTTTCCGCATCGTCGATTAAGGTTGTCGTCGCCCGCCGCTCGCCGCTCAACCCCCTACCGCCCAACCTTATCCTCGTCTTGTCTCACATGCTCGCTTCTTCGCCTCACCACGCCTCAACTCTAAAAATGGAGACTTCAACTCGAGACGGGCCCGCCGAGAGCCATGGTAAGGGCGATAGCTCAGTCCCGGTGCCTCCCTCAGAGGGTGGAATAAGTGCCGGTAAGTATGGGACAGCAGCCTCGTCGGACGACCAAAGCTGCACGTCATCTGTGCCTCGAGCTGACAAAACGCCAGACGAGATCGCGCTTTATGACCGCCAGATCCGTCTCTGGGGCATGAAAGCGCAGGAAAAGATACGCAATGCCCGCATCCTGCTCATCACCATGAAGGCACTAGCCAACGAGATCGCAAAGAATCTGGTCCTGGCGGGCATCGGATCTCTCACCGTTGTCGACCACGAGACGGTCACCGAGGCCGATCTGGGCGCGCAATTCTTTTTGTCAACCGAGGGCAACCACGTTGGCATGAACCGCGCCGCTGCTGCCAGTGCCGCAATCCAACGGCTCAACCCCCGCGTTAGGGTAGCCGTCGACACGGCTGACATTCGTACGAAGCCGCCCGCCTTCTTTGCCGACTTCGACATCGTCATAGCCACAGACCTGGATGCCCAGACACTAAACGTCATAAACACGGCCACGCGCCTCAACAACCGCGCCTTCTACGCCGCCAGCTCACACGGAATGTACGGCTTCATATTCGCTGACCTCATTGAGCACGACTTTGTGATTGAGCGGACCAAGTCTAATATGGCGACGTCACTAGGGCCCGAGACCAAGACTCGGTCTATCGTGGCCGTCTCACCAAAGAAGGACAGCTCCGGAGGTGACGACCCCAAGATCGAGCTTGCCACCAAGCGCGAGCTCTACAGCACCTGGCTCCTCGCGTCGGACGTGTCCAAGCTGCCCGACGACATCCTCAAGAGCTCCCGCCGCCGCAAGGTAGTGACGCCTGTGCTGAGCTGCTTGCGCGCCTTGTGGGAATTTACTACCCTGTACGGCGGAGTGCCGAGTTCCAACGACCACGCGGCGCTGGCTCAATTCACGCGCCTGTGCGGAGACAAGCACAAAGCCCTTGGTCTCCCCGTCGAGACGCTCCGTAGCGAGGTGCTGCGCTCGTTTTTGCAGAACATTGGCGCCGAGATCGCCCCAGTGGCGGCCGTCCTCGGCGGCCAGCTCGCCCAAGACGTTATCAACGTGCTCGGCCAGACCCAGCAACCTATTCAGAACTTTGTAATTTTCGACGGCATCACTCTGGATGCTAACGTATACGCGTTGCATCCGGACGACGCCCTTGGAAAGGCACTGCTGTTGTTGCCGGGGTCTGGTTCCGTTGGCGTTCAGATGGCGGGCATGGGCGTGCCTGCAATCAGCAATGGGGGTATTGGCACGTTTGGCGCAACCATGCTACCACCTGTAGTTCCATCGGTAGACCCGTCCCAGGTCATTGCGTTGGATGACTGATATGGTATAAAGCCTGGGGAGGACCCAGAACAGGACAAGGCGATTTCGAATGCGTTCATGTACAGTACAATTTCACCAAAACTAGGCCTGTGGGAGAAGGTCGGGGGATGGGGCGTCTTCATCGTACAACGATGGCGGTTGATTTATGTTGAGGAGTTGGAAAGGAGACGGGGCCCATACCCGTGGCGTATTTGCTCTCCCCTAGCCATCATGCCAACAGAGGCAAGCAAAATAGACAGCCATTCATGCTACTCGGTAGCGACTCTAGAACTGCAGCCGTCTAAGCGCGTCGCGGTCAGGAAGTCTTGCTCCATTATGCTCCTCCCCATGGCAGTCACGAGTCTGTAGTTCGACCAGCAGTCAGACACGCCCGTCTTCGTACAGTTAACATGAAGATGCAATTCCTCGCCCTGGTATGAAAAGTCAGGATATTTAAACGTTTGGAGGGGTTCACATATGCGTTATGTGTCCGTCGTTGGTGTTCCCGCGCACTTTTCCAGGTGCTTGGTTGCCTGCTATAACTGACGTCTTCGTGTCTCACATACTTCTGTATACCATGATTCTACGGAAATCGTGATTTCCTACTTTCTAGTCTGTCCCCTCGTCCCCGTCTTCGAGATCGCAAGCTGTCTTTTGTCAGCCACTTCTTCCCCTGAGCGTCCATGTCGATGCCTGCTACCTAGGTAAGAGCCGAGATTGAAAGACAATTTCCTACAATTTCTTGGATGGTAATCCTGGGGCTGGGAATGTCGTCACACGGCGCTAGTCAGCAAGTCCCGTTCCACCATCCTTCGTCGTCAACCGGCCAACTACGTAGGTAGAGTTGGGTTTCCGCCGTTGGTCAAGAATGAGGCTGGTGGGGAGAAGGGGTTCGGTGCTTGAGCGCCTGCGTTTTTTAACAAGCAAAAGGTGATTTTCGTATCTGTTTACAACCTAAGTAGCAGCCGCAAAACCACGGTCTCACACAAACACATACACTCTCTCTCTGTGTGTGTGTCAAGCAAACAAGTATTCTACAAACGTTAAAGAAAATCTTCTCCAAGATGGAGCACCTATATATCTGTTTCACGTCAAAATGTATTTATCTTCACGTCCGGCCCAGATGAAAATGCGGCTGACAGAACGGATCACCCTGCTAATGTATCGTTGATATATACATATATATATAGCTTTATAACCGGGCTAGCCACTTGAGTCTCCGGCTTCTTCTTTTTTCTTTTTTTTTTTCGGCGCTATGCTGCCATGTCATTGGCAGTCGAAGAACCCCACAATACGCCTTGTAAAAGAGAATACTTCCTTACTGACTGCGTGTTAAGCTCGGGTTGAGAACAAAACCAACTAACCAACTCGAAAAAGCAGTCGGTCTATTTAAAAAGAAAGTCGAAAAGACCATATTATCGTTTCAATACTATCAGCGGAAGGGGGTGTTTATCAACAACTAGAATATGCTAGCCACATATTCAGGGTCTACATTATTGATCGCAGATATTTTCATTACCCAAGCCGAATCGCAGTTTGGGACGTCGGATATGCATATTCATATATACACATGACACACCATGAACAAAAAGCTGCGAAGAAAAAAACCGAAATTTATTCTAGATGATCAAGACCGAACTCCGCTTGATTATGCCATCTCGTTAGAACATCCTGTGCGCTACCCGCGACTTCCCTTATAAGCATATTATATTCTGACCAAGCCCAAGCTGCGTTTGTCCCCCCCGTATAAACCATACTGTCTCTTGCGCTGTTCGCAACTTCACTCCGCATTGTTGCTCCCCTGATTCTTCATCCGGGAGGCGTATTCTGAACCCTACACCAGTCAGACAAAACTCATCGCTTGTGATCAATCTTATTCGAGCCTTTCTTGGGCTATCTCTCTCATAACTTCTCCACGACTACGACAGTTCGCCACTGCCTTCCGCCCTACTCAGCTATCCGCTCACTCACCGCGATCAAGATCTTGGTGAAGACCACGCAGCATGTAGGGGCTGCGTTCCGGGACTTCGTGACGTGCGCTGACCACGGCTTTGGGTCGGAGGCGCAATACCTCAGGGACGTCGGTGTGCTCTTGGCTCTTCTCACCAGAGAGCTCTGGCTCCTTCTCCTCCTGCTTGCTAGTCTTCACGACTATGCGAATCTTCTTTTCGCCTAAAGTCTCTGGGCCCTTCTTGCCAGTAGACTGGGGGCTTTCCCCTCCCCCACGCTCGGCGGACTTCAGAATTACGATGCGCCGCTTGACCGGCTTCTCATCGACTGCATCTGCCTCGGGCTCTCCTAACTCGGCGCGCTTTCTCTTGACAGGAACCTTCTCCTATGATGGTTCGTCGACAGGGGCGTCGCCTTTTGAAGAAGGCCGTGATTTCTTTAGGTTGTTATGGGTCCACCCACGAATATGGGTCGGACCATGGCGAGGCGGTGCTTCCACCGCAGAGTAATCTTTGATGGCTTCGCGATAATCAAACTGAACTGTCCGCAGCTCCTGGCCGTTGCCCAAGTAGCCTTGGCGATGAGGTGGCGTCGGGGCTGGCTCAAGCTTCCGGTACTTTGAAGACGAGGCCGACGAGCTGCCGGGACGTGAACGTGGCGAAGCAGCCGACGCCGACTGTCCAGGCGTATTGGGGAGCTGCGGCATGGCCTGTGCAGCAGGCGCTGGAGCCAATACCGGCGTAGGTGCAACGAGAGGAGGGGCGCTATGATATAGCGGTGGTGACATGGGATATGGGCTTATCTGTCGTGCTTGTGCCGACGGCATCCCAGATAAGGGTGGGCCCTGGGTAGGAGTGCTGAGCGGCTGCTGCATGATCGGGTGCAAAGGGTGGCCTTGCGCTTGCTCCTGAACCGAGAAGGCGTTATGGAATGGCCGATTTGGTGCGGGAGGAAAGAATGCGCCACTGTTAGAGACCACCATGTTGAGATGCTGGGGTACTGGGCTGCTGTGCGGCTCTGGAAGAGGGGGCGTGTCATTCAAGAGACTTCGCACCGGCCTCAATGCCGGAAGCCCCTTGGCCATGCCCGGGTTCGAGAACGGCGCCCGTCCAGCTCCCGAGCCCTGAGCCTGTGCCGAACCCATAAGGTCGCCTGGGAAGTCCTGGGGAGCTGGCAATGGGGAATAGTCTGTCGGCTGCGGATTCAGGGCAGTCCGGAGAAAATCGTTGGCTCTAACCGGCTCGCTGGAAGCGCTAAGCTCGGCCTGTCGAAGGTACGGGGAGATTGGCGCCAGCTCATCGGCCTTGGAATATCCGGTAGGCCTGGGACACTCAGACTGAGCAAAATCCCCCATATCCACAACGCCCCTAGCAGGCTGCTGGGTTGGAACCATTGTGTAAACCTGGGAGCCCCCGGAGGGCCGCTCTTGCTGTACAACATAGGCAGCCCCTGCAAGCGATAACAGCCCAGTAATATCAACCTGGGCTGGCACGTCTTGCTGGACCTGGGGCAGGGCAGTAGACGGTGCGCTGGCTCCGCTGTCGGTAAACACGTCCCGTATCGCATCATATGGTCGAGATGGCTGCGACCGCTTGGCCGAGGTCGCCCGGGCAGCCCCCTCTTCAGCTTCAATCATAGATGCCGCGCTCAATATATCGTCGGCAAACTCGTCGAAGGCCAAAGCGACGTCTGGAATGAGCACCGGCCCCTGACGTGGCAAGGATTTGGCGCTCATGGCCGGTACCTTGTCGGGGTCGACGCCCCTGGCGACCAGTTCTCCCCTCCGATACTCTTCCTCATCAGGGGCGATGCCCCTAGCAATCAGCTCTTCTTTCCGATACTCTTCCAGGAGGCTCGGGTCCGGTGCGATCTCGTCTTCTGCGATGCCATCTTGCTCGCAAAAGGTATGCAAGAGCCGTTGAATCTTGGCCCTGTTCTCTATCTCCTCCACCTTTCGATCCAGTCGAGCCAGCGGAATTGTACGCGACGCGTGGATGCGCTCCCCATTGGGGGAGACCATGACGACGGGCCGCCACCCATCCTCATATGGCTTTGGCGGCTCTTCCTCATTAGTTGAAGTAGGCAAGAACAAGCCCAACTTCGGGTGCAGGCCGTGTTTCTTGACGAGCTCCTCTTCCAGCTCGCCCTCGGCCTTGGTCGAGTCCCAGGTGCCAACTCGACGATCGAGAAAGATGTAGTTAGAGTTTGGCTTGCCGATGTACTTGCCCCGCTTGGCCTTTTGCGCACCTTTCTGGGTGCAGTTGGTCGAGTCCCGGAAGCCGATCTCGTGGTCTTCCCACTCGAACGTGTTGGGCACCATTATGCGGTTATTTGGTATGTCCAACCGCGAGGACCGCTTCGAAATGATGCGGACACCGTATTCGTCCGCACCCGTCGCGCCACGAGGAATTGGGATCTCCTGACCGTCCTTGGGAGTTGCCTCCCCGCTGCCCTGGGGCTGGTCGGCATTCTCGGGCGCCGGGTCCTCGGCCGGCTCAGGAGCCGGCGAGCCACTCTCGCCAGGAGTGGCGGCTCCGTCCTCGAGAGCCTCAACGGCTGCCAACAGACCGCCCGAGTGCCGCGGCAGCTCGGGGGCCGCGTCGTCGTCCTTGGCGGCGGCAGCGGCCAGCTTGGAGTTTGGCTGGCCCTCTGGCTGGCCCTCGGCCTTCCGCTTGGGCGTCGCCTTCTCGGGGGCCAGTTGCCACGCCTTGCTCATCAGCTCGCTCAGAAGCGTGCCAGGGAATGGCACTTCGACGCCGCCGCGCATCTCAATGTACTGAGACTGCGAGTCGGCCTGCTCTTGTGTGATATCCTTGCGGATATACCCGGCATCTTGAGGCCGCTCTCGGAGATCGACAGGCAGCTTGTTGTCGTATAGATGCTCGAGGAGGTCGACCTGAATCAGTAGCTGCCCATAGCGCTCTTCGCATAGCTCTGCAACCATGCGCATATGCGAATCGTGGGCCACAGATTTCTCTCCCTCATAGACGTGCTCGGCCATGTTGAGGCCATAGACCAGCTCCTTGTGGTTTATGACTAGGCAGTCCTGGAAGCGGTCGCTGAGGAACTTCCGGATGGTGGTGAACTCGGGGACCCTCTCAATGGTGGCTGGGTCCTCGAGTATTTCGGCGATGGAGCAGTCTGCGATCTCCTGGACAATGGGCTTGACGAGCTTGAAGAGGACGGAATATGCGGCCTTGAGCTCCTGGCAGCGTTCGTGAGCGGCCTGGGCCTTGTAAGAATCATAGGCTTTGTGGCGGCGTCCTCGGCCCAATGTGGGCTTGGGCGGTGGCGGAGGCTTGGGGGCCTTGGTCTTGGTGCGAGGATAGCGGCCTCGGCCTTTGCCCTTGCCGGACCCCGGTCCTGTGGCCGGAGCGCCCTTGGCTGGACTCGCCTGGTGAGAGGGGCTTTCCTCAGACATGACATCGTCGACGTCTACATCGTCGGCGGCCGGGAAGGTGGGAGCGTGCTGGCTCATGGTCGAGTTGCTTGTCCGGTTAGTAGGGCTGGTATAAGTGTGCAGCCGCTGCTGTGCAGGACCAGTCTCAGGCTCGGACTCTTCTGGATGTGGCGGCAGACGGCTGGCTCTCTCCATAAATCCTGTCAGGCAGGATTCGAGAGCAAGACGAGAGGTGAGGGAAGGGTGAGAAAAGCCGAGGTCGTGGTGAGATGGCGATGAGGCGGTGACGATGAGAGAGCTGGCTGCAAAAAATGGAACCCCGGGGCCGCCCCCAAAACCACACAGCGAGCTGAGAAGATGTTGTCGTTCAGGCGTAAAATAAGAACGGAAAGCCGGGAAGCCGGACAAGTGCAGACCTGGGACTCGCCGGATAGAGACGAAGAGGTGCGCAGCGGTAATTACAAGGAAACGAGGCGCGACCTGAAAGAAATGGACGAAGATGAAAATGGGTGTGAGACGTGACTTTGCACTCTCTCCAACATGGACATGGATCGGCCGCTGCTGGTAAAAGAGGAAGAAGAAGTAGAACGACAAGGAAAAGAAGGGGAGTACTATATAGCCGTGCACAGCAAAGCAGACTCGCAACCATCAACAGCCAGATGAATAGTTGCTTCTCAATAGTGCATCGCCGGGGGGGGGGGAGGGGGGGGGAGCAGCAGCTATTGTCGTTACGGTGCAGGTTGACGGCGAACAATAAGAAGATGAGAGCTTGCTTTTCCGCACCCCCAACGGCCAGACCCCGAATGGAGCCAACTCAATTGGCTGGAGCCCAAGGCCTGGTCTCCACCGGGGCTTAACCGATGCAGCCGGCCAATCAGACCGCTCCAACTCCTTCCAAAACAGGAACTGCAGCCCCCCTGTTAAGGAACATGAACGAACGGGAACAATAACAAAATCTGTTTTCTCTTTCTCGCAAACAGCCAGAGTGCCAGCACCAATGCCAGTGAGTCAAGTGAGAGGCACATGTACGAGGCAATGTTCTATTGAGGCATGTTCTGTGTTACCGTGGCTGTTACTATTGTCACTATTGTTTTGCCTTGCTCTGGTTATCGATAAGCATCATACCGGCGCCAGAGAGCAATCCGAACTTGAACAACCAGCAAGCCAGCCAACCACCAACCAACCAAACCCGACCCAGCAGTGACTCTAGACTGATATTCTAGAGTGACTCTGACGAGTGTGACTTGAAAGCGATTCTATATTTTTAGTCCCATGCAGTGGGAAGGGAGGAGGAGGCGAAAGGTCAAGCCAGCTCGTTCCTCGGGGTTTTTACTTGACTTGACGGCTTACAGGCTGAAGCAGATGATGAATCTTAGCTCGTCAAATTCATGCGTCCACCGTCATTTCTATTTGCTCCGTAATCTAATCAAGTTTGGTCGGACTATTTCTCACTTCTGCCGTGCGTGCCGCATTTCCCGGACATGTTGACGTGCACTGGCAGCTACCTGCCTTAGTTGTCGACTGCTTACCTACAGAGAATGATAGCCTGCGCCACCGCTTTGCTCTTGGACACCATTGAACCTAGCCCTGCCGTTGCCGGATTCTGCTGAACTGCTCTGTAACTACACATCTTATTTCAAACTCAAAGTTGCCCAAGCCGATAAAACAAGATACCTGGCATGCAAAGTTTACTGTCTTCTAGCAGATACTAGCTCCGTTTGGCGTGTTTTTGGTTCGTTAGAGCTTGAACTCTGTTACGCACTTGGAATGTACAGTACGGATACCTTGGCGGGCTAATAAGATTGCAGTTTCCGGAGCGTCTCGTATGCTGTGTTGAGAAACATTAACTTTAAAGAAAGACTGTTTTGAACCTGCTCTCCATGCAGTAATAGAACCTAGGGGCTTCGGAGAAACGGCTAATTTTTGTCTAACACGAATCTGACTTCATCGTAAGCCGGCCAACTCTAAGCACGCCTGGTCTCATGCTCCATTGGTTAAGGCGCCTGCTCACTCGTATTTGTAAAGACAATCCATAACCATTACCTTACTTGGTAGTATACACATGAGTTACCGGGTCCCGGCGTGAACAACGAAAGTCAGAGACGGTCCTGACAGAAATAAAAAATTCGAACGGAACCTCCGAATTAAATTGGCTGTCATTCATAAGTACCCTCGCTTTTAGGATGCCTTGGCTTCTCGCTTAGCTAGCGGGTAGAGCCGAAGCATGCTGAGCGGGAGCTAAAACAATTTGTTTAGCGCGGAGCTCCTTGCCTCTCTTGGGAAGGAATTTGGCTAGACCAGGCACTCGGGAAAGACAGATCGAAAAAAAAAAAGGAAAGAAAACGGGAACGTCACCCCGCCCTTTTTTATTCGACCCCGATCCGACAACCCGGCAAGCCGGCAAGCCGACAACCCAACCCGTCCGCAAGACAACCCATCGACCCGTGGGAAAACCGGCCGGCTCATGGGGGGCAAAAAGCGCGAGGTGGCGCGGAAGAGAGGCGGCGGGAATGGGAGCAGCAGACCGCAGGCCAAAAAACAAAAAACCAATGGCGGCCCAGCCACCTCCTATTCCAAGTCGCCCTTCAGCAACACGCGCAACAAGAAGCTGAAGAAGCAGCAGCAGCGACAGGCCGATACCGTCCTCCCCTTCACGCCGCACGAGACCATCCTACTGGTCGGCGAGGGCGACCTCAGCTTCACCGCCTCGCTGGCCGACCACCACGGCTGCACCAACCTCACGGCCACCGTCTTAGAAAAGGACCTGGCCGAGCTGTCAGGCAAATACCCCCACGTTACCGACAACATTGCAAAGATTGACGCCGCCGACGGCTGCCGCCTCCTCTACGGCGTCGACGCCCGCAAGATGGGGCCCTACACGCGCAAGAGCGTCAAGGGCCGCGTCACGACGGGCATGATGGACCGCATCATCTTCAACTTCCCCCACGTCGGCGGCAAGAGCACCGACGTCAACCGCCAGGTCCGCTACAACCAGGAGATGCTCGTCGACTTCTTCGCCCGCGCGGCTCTCTCCCTAGCCCCGCGCGGCTCCATCGTTGTCACCCTCTTCGAGGCCGAGCCCTACACCCTCTGGAACATCCGCGACCTGGCCCGCCACTCGGGCCTCGCCGTCGAGCGCAGCTTCCGCTTCCAGCCCGCCCTCTACCCGGGCTACCGCCACGCCCGCACCCTGGGCGTCGTGCGCAACAAGGCCGGCGAGGTGGGCGGCGGCTGGAAGGGCGAGGACCGCCCTGCCCGGAGCTACGTCTTTGTTCGCAAGGAGGACGTGCCCGAGCCGCCGGCCGCCGGCTCGAAGAACCCGCGGCCCGACGGCGATGACGATGACGATGACGAGGACGTGCCCGAATTGCCGGCCACCGGCTCAAAGAGGCCGCGGCCGGACGATGACGATGATGACAACGACGACGACGACGATGACGATGTTAGTGACGATGATAGTGATGGAGCTACTTCGGGTGGTGATTGAGGTTAATCTGGGTTCTGGGCCCATCAAGCTCGTTTGGCCCGCCCTCACCTCGTGCGTGGCATATCAATGCTTAGATGGTGCATGTCTTTTAAGAGACACATCCACGCCCCCCTCCTGTTCGACCACCACTCTTGAAGCGTGCGTGGCCTTGATGCACGCCCAGAAATTAACAACGCCGAGGAAGGTAACCGCCCGTACACTTCTAGAGCGCCCAAGGCGCGTGCCGCCTGCCTTGTTAGGTTTCGGCAGAAAACACAAAATACTAGCCTCGAGAGACTGTGTCCGCGTAGTACATACATGCCTACCTTCAGACCGAGTAAGTAACACTTGTCTAGCGAGATGGGGCCTGAAATCATCTAGAGATAGATAGATGCCACTTTGCTATATAGAGTGCTTCGCTGAGTTAAACGATAGGGGGGAGGTGGATGCCGAGGGAGTAAGATCCACCTCAATATTTGAGAAAGAAGAAAGAGCTACCAGCATTACTGTTTGTTACGTAGAACCGCAAATTCATCCAGTACATACACATTTATTCTTGGCCGTGATCTTGCGACATGCTTCGGATGTAGTTGGGATGATTTTTTAAGTATTTTTTGATGGATAATGAATGACACCGTCCAGACAATGGCTTATTCCTCTGCTCGTCCAATCTCGCGGTCCGGCTTTGTTCTGCCCAGATACAAGACAGGCAGGCACGCATACAGACAGAGACAGTGGGCATCGTATTGCCAGCCATCCATTGCCTAGCCCAACTACCATCTACTACAACGTTGCATAATAATAATAGCGACATTGTCTAGCTCTTTGCATACCAGCCTATTTGTTCCCCAGAATCGGGGACGAGGGAGAATATGTGGGGGCGAAGGGCGGCATACAAACCCCTCGGGGCCCTTTCACCAGAGACTGACATGTACAGCCGAGGTACATTGATGGACACATTCACACAGGGCAACTTTGGGGGGCTTTCGCCGTTACGAGGGTGGGGGTCATGGAACAGAACCAAAGAGAAACGGCGACTTAGAAGAGGGCCAAAGGAACCTCAAAACACAGTATACATGCACGAGTTGGCGTACTATTGCAAGAGTCTCTCGGCGCTGCTGCAAGCACCCGTTGGCTACCCTCTTCGCGGCCCACCCCCTTTTCACCCCGTTTTCTTCATGGCGCACCCACCACAACAACCCGCCCAGCTCCTCGCTAACATAACCTTCCAGCCACGCCTCCTGCTGCTGCCGCCTCCCTCGGGGTGTCTCGGCCGTTCCATGACCGCGAAGAATGAAACGAAGAGACGAAGAAAAATGTCACACACGCACGCTCGAGTCGATATCCGGACGACCGGCCGGCCTGGCCGACGACATCTAACGCATGCCCCCCACCTCCCATCTACCATCTAACCTACATACCGATCGACCTACCTACGGGTTGGGGAGGGAGGAAGGGAAGGACCGGGGACTGACTCGCCGTCTTCTCCATTGTAGGCGAGCTAATGCCGGCAGCCGTGGCGCGGGCGCGGGCGCGGGCGCGGACGCTACGCAAACATGCCTGTGTACATGACATGTATGCCGGGCAAGCACGTCCACACCCGCGCGCACCTACACACCACCATCTTATTCTCTCTCTCTCATCTTTTCTTTTTCTTCGAAAGTAGGTAGGTAGGTAGGTAGGTAAGCAAACAAAACCCAAAAAAAGAGAGGGCTTCGTCGTGCCCGCATGGCATTTCGTTACCTATCTCCCGAAATACCAACACATCTACCTGCCTCGCACGGGAGCAACAATCAAGGAAACTAGTTGCACAAGGTGCACGTACATACAGGAGCAGTAAACACCTTCCTAGCCGAGGGTCTCCGAGCCTTGGAGTATAGTGCTAGAAGGAAGAGACCCCCTTCGACGGACGAAAGAGAGAGAGAGGGAGGAGGAGATGACGGAAGTCCCGATGGAGAGCCCATGCTACAGGGCTGGCTGGCTGATATATCCACCAGCTATTAGTTACACTACCTACCTACCCTATCTTAGATGCCTCGAAGAGAGCAGGTTGGCACTAGCAGCCCAACCCCAAACCCAGATTGAGAGAGAAAACAGGTGAATAATAACCCACGTAGAAAGCAAACCACCGTCTGCGTGTTGGGTGAGACAGCCAACCAAAAACACGCACGCATGTCCCAAGTACCGGGCTATTCTTCTTCTCCCCCCCCGAAAACCCCGGATATGCAGTCCGCCCCCCACACGACCCTCTTTGCCCGGGGAGACAGTCAAGAGAGGTGGAAGTAGAGGCGAAGAGAGAGAGTAATGATTAAGAGGAAGAAGAAGAAGAAGAAGAATAGACATGCAGAGAGAGCGAGAGAGAGCGGGCCCCAAAAGAAAGGATGTTTCTGCAAACCTGCATGGCAAAAAAATATGCAGCTTGCCTTCCATTTCACCCACTCACCCGACATACATGCATGACCCCAATTCCCATGTCCAGCTGCCGACGTGAGTGTGATTGCCCTCTCTACCCCGAGGCAGGGTAGGTAGACGCGCGTAGCGGCGTGCCCGAGGGACTCCCTCGTCAAGTCTCGGGAGCTGGGGGATAGGGGGGCCAACAACAAGAGATAGCAAGCAGGTGTCTTTACAGCAACGGCGGCCAGTCGACGACGAAGGAAAAGGAGGTCACAACTACACGCGTGCGTGCGTGCTTTCCTGTTTGTTGTCTTGTTGGCTTGTAAACATGTCCCCGTCAACAAACTGGCTGGGGCCCCATAATGTCACGATAAGGAAAGAGAAGCCGTCATCGCTCACTTATTAGATTCACTATGCTCACTACCTAGGCAACTTCTTCTTCTCCCCCCAGCTCATAGAAGAACAGGGCCGCTCGCCTGTCGTCGGTCTCCTTTTTTTTAATACCCGAGAAAAACAAGAAAAGACCAAACAAATTCGAGATTCACTTCTCGCACCAAATTCCCTTCCATCCTGTCTCCTGTCTCTTCCATTGACCTCGGGCATATTTTTTCTTCTCTATTCTTTCGTGCCTCGGAGGTCGCCCATAATATCCCAGGCAAGAGCCGGGTGCTCATTCCTCCCTAGCGGCATGTCTCTCGCCTCGTTCCATCGCCTCGCTCCAACAACCTCCCAAAAAAAGTGTGCCCAAACCGTAGAAAGAGACATCGCATGTTCGCCCACTTCATGGGGTTCTAACCGTACTACAGCAGCCATTCCGGGCCGCTGCCAAGCTGGTAACCCCCCGAGAAAGAATCGTGAATGCCCTAAAAAGGAAACTGCCAGAAGAAAAAAAAGAAACCACGACCGCCAACTAATCATTTGCCTACGCAGTGAACCGCCGGCACCGCCCTGTAAAGTCGAGACAGTAAGCAGTAGGGAGACAGCCAAACAAATAAGGCAAAACACTAAAAGCAAGTTGCCGTGACCCAGATTCGCCAAATTGCGACCGAGATTCAATGTAATGCAGCCGAGCCTAGATCCGATATCCACCATCTGTCCTTCATGAACGCCTGCCCGTGCACAATATCTGTCACACCACGTAGCCTCTCGGTCAGAGAAATGAAACTGCCTCTCCGGGATCCTGGGAATTGTTTCCCACAAAAACACGCAGCCGCCGGACCCGGTAATGCGGCGTCTGAATGAAATGAATCGCCCGGATCCTATTGATATCGGAACTTGGTGTCCGGAATTGTGTTCCCCGATTTATGAGATACATGTTGATCTAAAGTGAACCCCTCTCACTCTGTCGGCCACCCGACACTGCTGTTTTCACCCACGAGGCGCAGGCGGCATGTTTTTATCGAGTGTAACCCCTCCAGTTTAGTTGGGTAAAGAGCAATTTGCGTACCGGCTTGAAACCAGCGACATCATCCTCGTTACTGGAGCGGGCCCCGGTTCAGGGGTGCCATCTTCAGACCGCTGCTTGGCACTGCTCGTCCGTCGTGCGGTAGGTGAGGTAGATAATTTGGGTAGCTCTGTCCCTGAGGAACGGGGGGTTGGCCAATACTACTGCTTCGAAACATGTTGGTGGTGTGAGGTAACTCACTGAAAGAGTATTGGTGGCTCTGGTTGATCGGAACGGCTTGTTGCGGGACAAAGGCCCCCGATGGCGGCTGCGGTGCTTGCTGATGTGGAGTAAAGGCATATAATGGCGCGTTTCCTGGAGCTGTCGTGGCTTGTTGCCAATGGCTAGAGTAAAGCCCAGCACCGGAGGGCCCGGGCAGCTCTGCTGGCGAGTTATACAAGGGCTGCCGGCGGCTCGAATCATGCGCGCTTGGTATCATGTCCTGCATCTGTATCGTGCCGTGTGTGTGAAGCGGCGCCTGCCCCCCAACCGTCATGCTCCCACTCTCAACGTACGAGTGCTGTTCCGAGCCCAAGTCTGATGGCATTACTGGTGGCGGATACTGGATACCCCGGACGGGTATATCGCTCATGAAGGAAGAAGCCCGAACATTGGTCGCTGGACTGTGGTCGTTTCCTGGGGCCGGCATCATGCTGTGAGGTGCAGCCGTCTTGGGGGGCGACACCCGGGAAGACGTGACAGAGTGGGCCTTCTCCTCCTCATCCTTAGACTGGGCAATATCGTCGTCCGACTGGTAGTTGTCTGGTATTTTATCATCTGCCATGACAAAGACTTCGGTATTTCCATCTGAAGGGGGTCAGTTACCATTCACAAGCAAGCCTGAGTGGGGATTGTCGCTGACCTATCTCGCCGTTCTTGTACTGCTCCTCGACCTTGGCAACTTTAAATATCTCCTTCAAATAAGGCTTTTTCTTGGCATTGCCGGGTTTCTCCTTGTCGGCAAACCAGGTAGACAGCGCATCCATTGTCACATCCTCTAATTTGGCGACGTTAATGTCCAGCTTCTGAATATCCTTGTGCTGTTTGGCATTGGGCTCGACGACCATGCGTAGAATGTGGTTTAGGAGATAGAGCCGCTCTGTTTCCGTGTTAGAGAATGCACGCCGCTGCTCTTGCCGTCAGGGCCAGACTTACCTTTCTTCCACAGATGGTCCGGCTCCTTATGCCGAACCTTCTCGTCCTTGGTTGTGCCCCAAGGCTTCGGCCACCAATCTGGAGCTCTTTCGTCGCTTTGAGTGTAGGGGTTGTTGGACTGCTTCTTGGGTGCGATCGTCTTGACGAAGATCTTGGCAATAAGCTTGCAAGCTGTTTGCTGGCAATTCCTGAAGCGTTGGTCGTAGAAACTCCACACTTCCTCAGAGTTGCCAATCTTGATGCCCTTCTTTGACGATACCATCACAGGTGGCTCATCGTCATCGAGATCGCGTTCGTACACTTGCGCCCTTGGTCGTTTCCGGGTCGTCCGCCGCCCGCCTTCATCATCGAAAGGGTCTATCGTCTGAACACGACGGCGGTCGTAACTCCGACGGCCGGCATAGTCTGGCCCACTGGATTCGCGGTGATAGACATCTTCGTATGGGAATCCCGGGTCGTCCTGAAAAGAGCTCGCTGTTTGTCCCTATGTCAACAAACGATGATCGAGACAAAGCTCCATGAATCTTTCGCCTACCTGCTGGGCCTCGTCTTTGGTGATGCAAGAACCTATCCATGTCGAAAATCTTGCGAATCTCAGATGTCTCCAGGCGTCTGGGACCTGAAAAGTATTGGTGACTGCCATCGTCAAGACGCGCAGCAAGAAAGTAATACTGAGCATTGATCTGGCATTGCTCTCGAAGGGCTCGGTCGATAGTCTGGAGACTGGTTAGCATAAGGGTGGGGGATCTGCTGGATTTCATCTGCAGCCGTACAAGAGGAGGAGGCCTGATGGTTCCTAGTTCGTAGTAACGATCGTCATTTGGAGAATGTTCAGGAGCAGACCTGTCGTTCTGCCAATGCGGCCGTGGCTGCTGACCGCTCAAGACCATGGTTGCGGCTGGCTTCGTGGAGACCTGAAAGAGGCCCAGGTGATAAGTATGATCAGGGCTGCGAGTTGTCAAGGCTATATTTGACAAGGTGGAAATAGAGTGACGGAACGGGCGCTGGGGAAGCTTATATCCGTCCCAGGTAAGAAAGATGGCAGGTATCGTAGAGGGGGCCAGGTAAGTGAGACAGCTGTCGGGTACAGGGAAGTTATCCAAAATGCTCAAGACTACCCCGACAAAGACGACGGCGTTCGAGCTAAGACGGCTCCTATCTGCACAAGCGGAGGCAGTACAGCATGCTGTTCCAATTAGCCAGAAACGGTGCAAGAGGAAATGACCCAGCGACAGAAGAACAAGATAGGACCGGCCTAGTCAAGACTTGGGGGAGGCAAAGAGGACGGCCGAGGGCGTGCGTTGGAGGTTGCCGTATGCAACGGATACGTGCTTCCTGGTCGAGATGAAGACAGCACCGAGACCAAATAGGCCAGAGACTCTTGCTGATAGGCTGGGAACAACTTAAACCTTGCGAGCTGATCCAGACGGATACCGGGGCGCACCGGGAAACAAAGGAAGGCGACGATGTGGCTGAGGGTGATCAGGCTTGAAGTGTTTGCAGGCCTGTTGAAATTATGGAGACGAGACGGCGAGATCGTGGCCTTAAACCGACGGGTCAGCTGGTGTTTGTAAAGCTGAGCGGCAGGACCTTACAGTCCTCTTTGTCTCTCGTGCGGCTACGAGACATCTGGCGGTCCAGACTTTCCACGTGCTGGAGGTGCTGTTTCGCCTGGCCCCCACATGCGTCTCGACGTGGATGTATTGAAAGTGTGTTAAGGGCGCCCCCTACGTTGAAGTTGATATTGGGCGGGCATAGGGGGGTTAGGGGAGTACGGCACTTTGGCTTGGTGGGAAGGATCCTTGAGCGCAAGAGACCTTGGGGGGAGAAGATGATCAGGCCGGAGAAGAGGGGGGAAAGTGGTGACGACAGTGACTATGGAGGTGGGACAACACCAGCCAGAAAGCCGCTGCGGCGCTGACGGAAAGAAAAACGGGAGTAGGCCGCCAGCTGTTTGATAGAGCCTGGACTGCAGGCGGGTGGCCCTTTGAGCAGACGGGGATAGTTAATTAGGTGTCCCGATGGCAACGGAAGAACGCAGGTGAGGTGGAGACGTTTAAGAGCTGGCCCGGAAGCCCTAGCCGTACAAGACGTGGACGATGTCCAGGTCAAAGTTATCGAGACAATCGAGGGTGCAAGTTGGTGTCACGCCTCATACTAGCCACTAAAAGACGTCCTTAATCCCTTTTCTCTCAGGCACTGTCGACCCTTCTTTCGATCCGCGACAGTCTGACCTCGGAGGTCAAGACTCGTCAACCAACCAACGGCCAGGCGAGGGAAAGACGATCGTTTTCGCCGCTGCTGAGGCGACAATGGATCGTTGAGGGCCAGGAAAACGAGGCGACTCTTGTCGGTGTTGCTGCTGCAGTCGGGGGGTGTGGACGACTACGTATCTGGACGGGCAACACGATAAGATGGGGGTTCCGTTCAAATTGGCCCAGCGATCCAGGCTGGATGGGTGAGGTGCGAGGACGGGACTATCAAGGAATAACGACGCGCGTGGGCTCATGCAAGAATTGGACTCACGGCCACGAGAGCTGGGTGGGCATGGAGGTTTGATCTGAAAAGGCGGGAGTCGTAAAACAAAATATAGTGAAAGAAGTACTGAGCACTCGGGACCCTTGTCAAGGAGGCTAAGGAGGAGCTGCTGCGCTAAAGATAAGGCTTGAGGGACGAAGCCCGGGGTAAAAAAAACCACGATGATGGATCCTCGCCTGCCAAAACTAGAAGCCGCAGGAGGAAGCAAAGCAAAACGAGGAACTTGCAGACAACTGCAGACAGACGATTCGGACAAAATACACAGCACGACAGACACACCATGCCGCGCCACTCCACTCAACGGCGAATACGGCCGAAGACGAGGACAGCGCACAAGAAGAGAGGTGTGCTCGCTCACGGACCCGAATCCCGCGTCGTCGACTGGCTCAGCGTCCGGCGAGCAGCAGGGAGCCAAGACCAAGAGCAAGGAGTAGACAAGACGAGACGAGCAAGTAAGTCGAAAGAGGCAAGCAGGGCTGCAGGCAGGCCGTTAAGGCCTATGGAGCGGAACTCGACAGGACCTTGAGAGGCAGCGTTGTACTGTATCCGGAAGTACTCCATACTGGGGGTGTGTGCGTACGGGCTCCGTAAATAAGTGTAACGACACTTATCCATCCACGCCAGCAGGTCATGGGCTCACGAACGCCCATCGGCCTGTATGTACGAATACATACGGTATTGAAAATGTACAGTGTACATACGTACATGTACATACCGACCTACATACTGCGAGGACAGTACGTACGAGGTAGCGCGAAGTGCCATTGCCAGTGCCAGTGCTAGGCGGATGGAGGCCAGCACAAACCCAGCCAGGGCAGCGCGCGACGGATGCAATGCCACGACCCCGCCGCGACGATACCGATACAGCCGGCAGACGAGGTGGTAGGGGGTAGACGGTCGGTCGTAGAAGAGCCAGCTAGGCTTGTGCTTGTCTTGTCCAGTGTCTACCCCCAGCTCTGTTGGCCCAACCCAGGTGCTTGGATGCAGTGCAGGAGGAACCGGCTAGGTATCGTGCATGTAGAGACCACCAGAGCCGGAGCCAGAGACAATCACCAGAGAGGAGTGGACCAGGGTCGCCGGGCGCCCGCCTCTCTAGCCTCATCTCTTTTCGTGCTCTTTTGCTGAGGAGTCCCGACCCGACTTGTCGAGGTGAGGTGCCAGTGTGTCCTAGTCAGTGTGTGCCAATGTGTGTGCGAGCGCAGGAGCGAAGGCGACGGTGAGACTGGCCCCCCGCGGCCAATGACACCAATGCTCGCCGCCATGCTCTCTCATGCAAAGCTGCGAAGCCAAACCCGAGGTGGACTTGGAAATCGGCGATTGGCGAGCACTGGGTTTCGCCAACAGCACCACCCCCTCGAGCACTAGAAAACGTTGCTCATTAAAGTTGCATTGGACGCCCAAATGTACGAAATTGCTAGGAAATGGAGAAGGAGACTGAAAGAAAGAAACGCCCCCAACAGTTAAGGTGTAGCTTCGCTTCGATGGCAAGTACCTAATACCTTGGCAGGCCGTGATGGAGGCGACAAAGACTACTGGAGCTTGACAAACGACGACTATTCCGCAATAACGATGAGCACGATGCCGGGATTGACGCCGACAGCAATGACAACGACGAGGGCCCTGACGAACCGGAACGCTGCAGCAAAAACGCGGTTTACATTATGTGTGGGAGGACCACCCTTGTCGTCGACAAGGGGCCGAACTGGGGAGCGCTTTCTTCAGCGTGGAGCAGAGAGCCGTTGTGCCCCACCATTTACACTACCGTGCCTTCCACGACGCGCCTTCCCTGGGGTCTGTGTCTCCTTAACTCCTTCCGTTGACTCCAGCGAAAGCTGAACTTGCTTGTTGGTAGTGTCCGTACGCACTGTGCAGTTTGGAGGGAAGTCTCGACTCAAACGCGAAAGCAAAAGATGGAAGTTGCGCAGGCATGATCCAGACTGCTCTGTAGTAATTCGTCAGTACCTGCCTGCCTGACTCCTCACTGTCCGGACTTCCCTCCCTCGTATTATCATCCTCAGTTTTGTTCCTCGGCCTTGCTTCCCCGAGCTCGGCACCCAGGACGGACTACCTATCTATTTATTACCTTTTCAGGGCGCCAAGCATCCTTTTGGAACTGTGAAGTATCCTCTTATTATTCCGTAACGCTCCTAGCTATCATCTCGTTCTATTCTGTTTCTTTCTTTCCACCTGGCAGGCCCATCCACATGCCCGCCGACCCTAAATGATAGGTAGCTATCTGTACAACACGTACTTGGTATGTAGTAGGTAGGCACAAGAGTTGAGCTGAGCTGAGCTGCCGCACGGCATGCTTTGGGCAATCAGCTTCTAGAATAGGTAAGTGGCGAGCAGTGAGTACCGACTACAAGCCAACCGCAGCTGTGGTCAAGACGTCGACCAACAAGACCTGGCAGCTGAGAAGACGTGGAACTAGTCCGCTTGGTTGGTTGGCTCGACTGGTTTGCTCGGCTCAGTTTGACATCCTCAACACTTTTTGCTACCTGTATTGCTGCAGCTCCTATTAAATGCTAGCAGCAGCAGCCAGCAGCAGCCAGACAACGGGCATCCCTGAGTGGACGAGGCAGCGACGACGACGACGATGACGATGATCTTGATGGCGATGATAGAGGGCCCAAGGTGTTTGCTTGGTTGTTTGGCCTGGCGCGTCAGCCACTCGAAGCAGCTCCCCCAGGCTGCATGCAGCTGATCCCTGCTGAGAGCCCATCCGAGATCTAGATTAATAGCTACCTTAGCATGCTTGACGTCGCTATTGGCCCCGCGGAAAACGATCGCCAACTTGCTGTCCAAGCCTTCACATCGCCAGCTCGGACTACGGATATCTTAGCCATTCACTTCGGGCCTGCGCGTTCCACCCGTCTAAGAGTCGGCACAAGCTACAGCGGGTGGCTGTGTTGATGATAGGAGGCGTTGGGGCCGGCGGTAAGTTCGAGTCCCGCCTCGTGGCCGATATTCTGCGAAATACCCGGCGGTTGGACCCTTTGAGCTGTTTGGCGGAGACCAACCTGCCTCCTCGCCGCAGACAGAGGCAGGATCCTGATGGCGCAAAGCCGATCACCTGGCCCCGGCATGGATGCCCATGTCTCCCGTCTGTCGACAAGGAAGCCTTGGAAGCCAGCGAACGCCAGATGATCCATTGACAAGGCCATTTGGACTGGGCTGGATAGGATGGGACGCCGGTACTTCACACAGATTCCCGGAACATGCCGCTCGAAATACCTATTCGATCCTTCAATGCTCACTTGTAGTATACGCAAGGAACTTCTTGGAGTGGCCCCTGCTTGTCTGGGGAGGAACTGGACAACCAGGTAACCCGATTTAGGGACACATACAATACAGCCTCGTGACTGGTACGCTCCTCTTGCCAGCCTGATGGTGTGGGTGTGAGGCAGAAATACACAAGATCTGTACATGAATGTTTTTACCATACTCATGGTGCGAATTGCTGCGTGTAACAGAACTACCCTACCCAACCTAAGGTACCTACCTATCTTACCTTTGGTACATACCCAAGGGAGGCAAGGTAGCTCCCAGTCACCATTTTGGACAGCGGGACGGTGCGTTGCGGGAAAACGGGCCGCCTAAGGCTCATGATTAACAAGATTTATCAAGATCAAGATTAACATGACGAGTGATCCAACAACCCGGAA